ATGTTTGCAGCCCACAGTGTCCAGAATATTTCATGACGTGCTAGAGCGAATTGTACAACAAGCCGGAGAATTTATCAGGTTCCCAAATACAGAAAATAAAATCAAATTATGCAGGCCAAAGAGAAATGGTTGACCGGGTTCCGTTTTCCCACAGCTATTGGAGTTATCGACTGCACGCATATTCGTCTTGATGGAAAACCAGCCCAATTTGGAGACGAATATGTAAATCGAAAAGGTTTTGCCAGTATTAATGTACAGGTCACATGCGACCAGAATTCTGTTATAACTAGTATAGATGCAAGTTGGCCTGGATCAGCCCATGATGCTCGTATATGGAAAAATTCGGCAGTATGTGAAGTCATGAAAAAGACAAGAAACACTATTCTTCTAGGGGACAGTGGGTATGGTATAATGTCATGTCTTATGACTCCTTACACCGACCCCCACGAGAAATATCAGAGAGTCTTTAACAGGCTGCTTGCATCAGAGCGAGTTGTGATTGAGCATACATTTGGGCAAGTAAAGCGGCGATTTCCTATCCTGAAGTATGGAAGCAGAGTAAAACTGACCAGTATTCCAAAAGTTATAATTGCGTGTGCTGTGTTGCACGATATAGCTAAGCAATTAAGAGATGAAGATTTTCAAGAAAATGACGAAGATGAAGAACAGGACTTGCCATTTATAGAGAATGAAAATGTAGATGCTATTCGCGCACAAGGACAAAGGCGGCGAGAGGAATTAGCTCGTCTTATTACCAATAATAATATAGGTGTATAATTAGGATTAAATCTTTCATGTAATGCTATGTATATGTCGTTTGCTTCAAACGTACAAAGATGTATTTACTTAAACTAAAAATAAACTTACACGTTTGAACTGGAAAAAAACGTTTAATTATTTTTTTTGTTATAAATAATACATATTACATATACGTCTATTTACAAGTTTTGGTAAATATTATCTCCAACAACAACATACTCTTGCGGGGCTTTTTCGTTTGATGCGGCGATTTCCTATAGTATGGAAGCAGAGTAAAACTGACCAGTATTCCAAAAGTTATAATTGCGTGTGCTGTGTTGCACAATATAGCTAAGCAATTGAGAGATGAAGATTTTCAAGAAAATGACGAAGATGAAGAACAGGACTTGCCATTTATAGAGAATGAAAATGTAGATGCTATTCGCGCACAAGGACAAAGGCGGCGAGAGGAATTAGCTCGTCTTATTACCAATAATAATATAGGTGTATAATTAGGATTAAATCTTTCATGTAATGCTATGTATATGTCGTTTGCTTCAAACGTACAAAGATGTATTTACTTAAACTAAAAATAAACTTACACGTTTGAACTGGAAAAAAACGTTTAATTATTTTTTTTGTTATAAATAATACATATTACATATACGTCTATTTACAAGTTTTGGTAAATATTATCTCCAACAACAACATACTCTTGCGGGGCTTTTTCGTTTGATGCGGCGATTTCCTATAGTATGGAAGCAGAGTAAAACTGACCAGTATTCCAAAAGTTATAATTGCGTGTGCTGTGTTGCACAATATAGCTAAGCAATTGAGAGATGAAGATTTTCAAGAAAATGACGAAGATGAAGAACAGGACTTGCCATTTATAGAGAATGAAAATGTAGATGCTATTCGCGCACAAGGGCAAAGGCGGCGAGAGGAATTAGCTCGTCTTATTACCAATAACAATATAGGTGTATAATTAGGATTATAACTTTCAGGTAATGCTATGTATATGTCGTTTGCTTCAAACGTACAAGGATGTATTTACTTAAACTAACGATAAACTTACACGTTTGAACTGGAAAAAGACATTTATTTTTTTTTGTTATAAATGATACATATTACATATACGTCTATTTACAAGTTTTGGTAAATATTATCTCCAACAACAACATACTGCGGGGCTTTTTCGTTTGATGGCTTGTTTAAATTTTTTAGCTTGGCAGAATAATATTGTTGTTGGAGACGAACAACTTTCAGTTGTTCAACTAAAACTAATCGTTGAAGCTGGGTTGGCGTTAACTGCCTCGTCTCGTCAGACCCTTGTTTGCCCGAAGCAAAGGTAGGCTTCGGAGGATTTTTTTTTTGCAGCAACCTCTTCAACCGATGTGTAGGATCGCTTTTTGTTAGCTACTACTTGAGGCATAATCATCTGATGAGCGTCGTTTTCCACCATAATGTCATCATTTGAAGTAGGTAAAGAAGGTTGACTTGCCACGCCAATTGCAAGAGCCCCTAATAAAAATATACATGCATGATAAGTGCCTACAAGGTAATAGTAAAGACCTGAATCTATTTCTCACCTGGTACCCGACTTAGTACAGGATTTATGTCCGCATCCATAGCCTTTAACATAACTTTCTCCCAGGACAAAAGACGAATGGGCTTGTTCCCCGTTTTATTTTTATCAGTTTTATTTTCAGGCGCGTTTTCATATTGTTCACTTTTTTCATAAAAGCTTTAATATCCGTCTCCTTGCCAAATAAAGTAACGTATTCCTTAACGATATCAGTTAATGCAGCAGTTTTCTTCATTTTCATCGGTGGAACTTCAGATTTCTCGAGAATATCCGGAAATGCTTAGACTTTTTCAGTGATAAACATCATCTCGTTAGGGGCATCTTCGATAACTTCCTGTTCAGTATCGATGTCAGAAATTTTAAATATTTTATTCACTTTAAAATAGCTGCAAAAATAAGTTAGATAGATCTTCTTTACATCAATTGACCTACGAACTGCTTTTAATTATGAGACAAATAAGATCAACCCCATCAGTTACAGACCACATACGCGTTGATTGCACGCTGCAAGTCATCTCTTGTCGAAATCGCTAATCTCCGTACCTTTTACTTTATTTTCCCGAAGCATTTGCTACGAATTAGAGCAGAACCTTTCACTTCTACCTTTTGCTTGTACCTTTTTCTTCAAAGTAAATGCTTCATTTTTATAAATACGGGCTATGATCCTTCATCAAAAAACCAATACCGAAGTTACTTTCATATTTGTCCATCGACCCCCGATACTGACCTCGGGTTCGTGTGTAGCAATAAAAAATATATAGTGAAAAAATATAGTGGGACCCCCAGCTTGCACCATTTTTCTTCCTACGCCACTGGGCGAGGAAGTATTGCCATAGCGATAAATTTCGAAAATGTGATATTGTGTTTTTTGGATGTTGGTTATATCACGAAAAAGCATTTCGATAACTTGAAAAACATCACTCGGGACGGATTTTAATGAAGTTTTCACACAGGGCTGCTACTATGCCAAGGACTAAAAAGCTACTATTTGAGAATACGGTCCAGTGGCGGCGGAAAAGAGCTAAAAGCGAAAAAAGTATAAATATCGCTCAAGCTTCGTTTTTTACGTTTCAGAAGGCTCTGATCATTTTCAGAAAAAAAAATTTTAGAGGTTGAAATTAGGGGTTGTAGGGGGTGGGGGATGCTATAGGTATGAAATTTTTAAATCGCAGTATATTTATACGCTTCCTACCCCGGTAATTATATGCGAACCTATTAGTCATATTTAACACATCGTAGATTTCCTGGTACTTTAAAACTAGAATGATAGAGAAATGTTTTAGCTCTGCGTACTCCTGGTATCTAAGCTCACCGCTCGGCGAACCGATCCGCACGGGTATCACGTATCTTGAAAAGTGACATTATGCTGATTTATTTTGACAATATGTAGGTTAGGTTATTCTACAAGACGTTAACTTAGCACTTAGTTGTACGTGTTGCCTAAACGTCATGATGCTTGTTATCAATCTTTGGCCCTGATGTGATGTAAAATCTGCTTCTGAGATGGCATTACTGGAGGTCTAAGCTCTAAGTTGTATGTGTCGATGACAATTACATTGGGTTCTTGTCTCAAATACACTTAATTGAGATTCAAAGCTAGAAATTAGTTGCGCATCCACTTTTCCTTATCCATTCTGGAAATTACATATACAAATTTGTTGAATTTCAAAAATGAGGGAGATAAGAAATAATTATATTCACTGTTCACTGTCAAATTACAAGCCATATACATGCTAACAGTAATTACACACGGCCGTGGCGATAAATTCCCGTAATTCTCCGCAGTTTTTCGTAATTTATAACTTTGAACATAACCTCTCTTCAGAAAGCGCAACATATAAATAACCCGTCATATTCAGCATATTCAGTAATGATTTTCTCACACAGCAAATATCACTGATTCTATACACATGCAGATCAATACACATAATCATCCAGATACGATCTTGTTATTCAACCAACTTTCTTCTTAGAGATAAAAACTAAAGACACGGATCACGGATCATTCAGCCTCACAAAACTATGCAACCAGTAATGCGTGTATAGTTTAGTTGAGTGATTCCTTCATAGATGGACGTTCACAACGATCCTAGTGAGCAAACGTGGAATGACTGTTTGCGCCCTAAAAACTACCTAGTCTGCAAGTTGACATCTTATAGGTTTTTTTTTTTGACGTTTTGTAGGTTTTTTACATGATACCCGTGCCGGCTGCCTAATCTATCTGCACTGTAACGTCAAAAAACATATATGTACATACATTATTGCATTATGCGCGGACTAAAAAGTAGCTCTATTACGGAATATGCACGAAATGAAGGATAACTCGCTGCAGCGATGTAGAAAGGGACAACGTTGCCAGATGAACAGTTACTACCAGTAGGGCAGGGAACGAATGTCAGTCGACTAATTATATGGGCCTATTTAACTGACTTAATCCATTTTATTTCACTGTTGTACACGTTTGTAATTGATTTTTTTCTCAGAGGGTTTATATTGCGGTGAACTTAATCGTTTATGTACTGAGATCAGCGTTGCGTAGGAAGTGCAATGTCATCCTATTTGACACCATTTTTTTGTTGACCTGTGTAATTATATCGTTCAAAATCGTCACCAAAATGTACCATGTAAACGTAAACTGCATTCATCGTCTAATGTAGTGTATATATTTTCCTTTCAGGTAGACCTAAGGAAGTAGAGTTAGTAAAATCGGAAGACGCATTAGGACTGACGATCACTGACAACGGTGCTGGCTATGCATTCATAAAGAGGATTAAAGAAGGATCGGTCATACACAGCATTCCGCACATAGAGGTAAGCTCCTTATTTGAATAACAATATATCATTTGTAACTCACGCTCGTACATGAGAAGCTTTGCAGTGCATCAGTTACTACGTTGCAACATAACACATGTTTCGGTCATTTTCTTATAACAGGGTGTACATAACATACATAAAGGGTTTGTCCAGAAAGTAATAGGACTCATTTTCTTTCGCCCAGATGTTAAATTTACCAAAATCAGTGGTTCATTCATTGTGACACAGCATTTGAACATGCGCAAGGTGCAAGTGCTCACTGACGACCAGAAATTGCGGCGAGTGGAAGTGTGCCAAGAAAATTTGAACATGTGTGAAAGTGACCCCCAATTTTTGAATAACGTAATCACAGGTGACGAGTCGAGGATCTTTGAGTATGATCCCGAGATAAAGGGGCAATCTTCCGAGTGGCACACGACGGCGTCTCCTCGCCCAAAAAAGGGAAGAATGAGCAAATCCAAAGTGAAAACGATGCTCATTGTCTTTTTTGACATCAAAGGCATCGTCCACCATGAATTTGTTTCTCCTGGACAAACCGTCAACGCCAAGTTTTACGTGGAAGTGCTCAGGAGACTCAAACGCAGGGTCAGTCGGGTCCGACAAGACATCGCAGCCGACTGGAAGGTGCACCACGACAACGCCCCGGCTCACACCGCCTTTCTTGTGAACAGCTACCTGACCAAGGCCGGCATCCCAACGCTTCCGCAGCCGCCCTACAGCGCAGATGTGCCCCCCGGACTTTTTTTGTTTCCTCGCCCGAAAAGGCCTATGAAAGGCAAGCATTTTGAGACGACAGAGGGGATCCAAGCAGCATGCACCGCAGCTCTCAAGGCTAATGCCTTCCGTGACGCCTTCAATGCTTGGAAATCGTGCTGGCAGCGCTGCTTCGACGCAGAAGGGGCCTATTTTGAAAGTTTTTAAAGAATTGTATCGATTGGCTCAATAAATTTTTTTAAATCGACTCAGTCCTATTACTTTCCGGACAAACCCTCTACGTACAGAGACAAGCAGTCGGGTAAGAAGTTCATATAAACATAGGATCGGCAAAGTGTCGTCCTCAAGATACAGGATACTAGGATTTATATAAAATTTAGGTTTTTTCGTCAAGATTTAATATAGGTTGTAATAAGCCTTTAGATGATTTTGTGAAACTAAGGACAAATGTATAGGTACCTGGAAATTTAACTAAGAAATAGGACCAAGTACGAAAAAGCAATCTCTCGAGTGCATATAGAATACAAATAAATATAGTAAAATAATACATTTTAAAAACAGGTTTTTATTTAGCTGTTAATCAAATGAACTAAAAATTAAAAAACCCTTTTTCAGATTGGAAATATTTAAATGATAGTCAAGCTCGTTCATTTCAAGTTTTCAAATAAAACCCTGTTACACCCTTTTCCCATCCTGCTGTCAAAACGTAATACGCCTTTATTTGAAAACTAGTGAAAATTTGTATTGCGTAATGGCATTTGTTTCATTTTCCGACCGCTCGCTATCGCCAACCTTAATCAACTCAGAATGTGTTGATTTTATCACGATCGGTGGAAATCAAAGATAATTCTAAAATAATTTAAAACACTAAGTCGCATCAAAATTGAAATAAATAATTTTAATCAAAATGCAAAAAAAATTGAATGTTCGAACGGACCTCCTTCTTGGGTTTGACAGTAACCCAACCTATTGTAGAAGCCTGAGCGATGGCAACGCGGCAGATTGCACGACCTTCTGCGTTACCATTGCTAGGCGATGTGGTGATGACTATCGCTTTTCAGCCCGCTTCCATATCTTTCTAACATGTGTTGAAACGCACTTATCGCGCTTCTCTCTCGTACACATTGAACTCAAGCCGTCAGACAAATTTGGTTTTCCTTGTATACACATGGCTTTCTTGTGGACATGCATGTTTATACCACATCCTAGGTCTCATCAGCATAGCTGGGCAAGCTGATGGTGAACATAGAGCTCGTCGCACGGGGCTATCAAACAATTAACTCATTTAGATGGCCAGAGGACTATTCTAGCAACTCAAACATAATATTTTACGTTGAAAAAAAAATCGTGTTTTGAACCCGACAATATGATCCTTGACTTGAAAATTTACATCCTGGAATTTCGATGACTACAAATCTGCTATAAAAATTATTGAGCTAAAAAATTGTACTGACACAAGAGTGTATTTCCTAAAAGAATATTTTATATATTTAAATCGATACCACATTTCTTTCAGCTCACAAATCAGGTTTTCCAAAATTGTCGTAGCCATTATTGTACAGAATGTAAAAAATACCAAAATTTCTGGAGCTAATCCGTCTCTGATTATCTAATTGTTTCCTATGGACACCGTCATTTGTGTTAGTTGTTTAAAATTGATTTAACAAAAACCTATTCCTAGTAGCATCCTAGTCACACTGTATAATACTTTCGCATCTCTCTATTTTACGTACATGGAATTCTAGATAGCAATATGGGTATGAAACACACAATGCCGTATTGTTTCATGTGGAAGTCACTGAACTGCGAAATAATTGATAGGGAAAAAGAGTCGACGGATTGCGTTGTTGTGTTCTAGTTTAGAAAGTATGACGTTTTTGTGCAGCTTCCGAAGCCAAAGTAATGCGACACCGATCATGTGATTACCTCGTTTTTTATGACATAGTGCATGATATAATAGATATATGGATCTGTAATGTCATAATCAATGAATAATAAACAAAAAAAAAACAGCCGGGTTAGTCCAAAAAGTCGTCATCAATCAAAGGTTGTTTATTCCATAGGCCTTATTCACGATCTATCAGGAACTACCCAAAACCGTTCTGATTTTCCGCAATCGTTTCTCTTGTTTTCAAAACGCACGGCGATTGGCTATTCGCAGTTCAGAATAATTCTGGGATCGCCAACTTTTTTGTAAGACGGGCTAAACTGAGTCTTGTTTGTGATCCGATGTCAGCGTTGCGCAGGAAGTACAGAGTCAACCTACTTGACGTCATTTTTTTCATTAATTTTTAATAAATGTTCTGTTTTGATATAGGTAGGTGACCATATAGAAAAATTAAATGGCGAGAATATGGTGGGGAAGCGACACTTCGAAGTAGCCAAAGCCCTGAAGGACATTCCAAGAGGGGCTACTTTTACCATACGGTTAATAGAGCCCATGAAGAGTGGTTTCACCATCATCCAACCCAAAAACAATAGAGGAACAGGAAAGAAGGCCTATGGGAGTGGCAAAGAGACGCTTAGGTTTAAAGCAGGTGGACAAGTTGAAATTGAACAACAGGTAAACGGATTTTATTTTTATCGACGATTTTTGTTTTGTAAGAAACTTTCACTTTTCAACAGCTTCAATTGAATACGAGCTCTGTAAATTAAGTGATGAGAATGATGTTTCTTAATTTTTTATTCAAATATAATTACAATTTTTGTATTATCACCCTTTACAATACGCCAGTGGAAACTGATCTTCGACAAAGAATTTTCCACCATAGCCATTAAATGAAAAATAATATCCAAATGCTTTGGAGAGTGCTGCAAGGATTAGTTCGTTGAGCTCGAAAGTGTGTTAGGCCAGGTGGTGCTGATTTTGGACAATTTTTGTAGTTATTATTTATTTTGTTGCCATCCTCATTTGTTATTGTTAAAACTCATAGCAACGTTACTCAGATATTATCCAAAGCAACTTTATTATGTTATAAAAATGTTTTATCAACATGATCCAAATAATGCATTGAAACTTTTAAAAACAAATATCTCGAAAACTATTAGCTTTAGACACGTCTAACAAGTGAACCTTTTTTTGTTGTGGAAATACGAGAAAATAAGATCTTTCGGTCAGTTGTTGTATACAGGGTAGCACAAAAAAGTTATGATAAGTTATTTATCGAAATAGTTCTGTAAGTGGCGCCCTCTAGAAGTTTGGCCATAAAAACTATGCCAAAATCTGAGATATTTCTCAAGCAATAAGGAAAAATAGAAAATAGAATTGTAACTTTGATACCCTGTATCTCGCAAACGATCAACTTTTGGACTGAGGTATGTTAATGTCAATTCACATATTTTGGTCTGTAGTATCTCCAGTTTCGAGATTTCCCACCCTTTCGCAGACTTGAATATTATTCCCCTTTCATTTTATTTCGGTAAATAACAGCTTAATACAAATCCTCTGTTAATTATTACTATAAGAACCGCCATGCTCACTTATACTAACTGCACTGCAAAAATAAATTTTAACCAGAACAAAATCATATTCATTAGCAGTACTAAGAATTTTGTAACATACTTGTAATTCTATTAATTTTTTTTTCTCGTGATACATACATCATACAATAAGTGATAAGGAACTTAATGCAAACATAGATAAGATAATGTACGCTAGAGCACGTAGAGCCTGCTTTTGTAATTTTCGCACTTAGAGTAGTCCTCACGATGATTAAATTAGATTAGTCATACATATGAATCTTAATTCATCTGCTTTATTTTTACCCGATGACATCGTGTGGTGGAGAATGAGGCAAAAACTACACCTTACACGGGACACGGGGTGTCCAGAATAAGTATAAATCTCTCAGATACATATAGAAAACATTAAATGATGCCAATAGTACCTATAAAACTGTGATGCTAGGATGCTACTGAAAATCAGATTTTTTTAATTCTTTCTATTTGGAACTCCCTACAAACACCATTTTTTAATACATTTAAGGGGTGGAGAACTTAACTAACTCGTGTATTCAAATCAATTCACTTCCATCAAACACTAGCACGCGACGTTCAAATCTGCAGCGCGGACCTTAACTAAGAACGCCAAAACTTCTCAAATATAGCTTTTCTATGACCTTGCGCAATAGAACAAAATTTTGACAGTGGAACCTTATACCCTCTCCACACTCACGCGCGGATCACGGCATGAAATCGCGGCGCGGATCGCGGTGCGAATCCCGAAATTTGTTCCTACAGTTTCAAACTCGCAGATGTTCACGCCTGCTTCACAGTATAGATCGCGCTCTTGACGAGTATTGGAAATTTATAATTACGCATATATAAGTAAAACTAAAACAATTGAAATGAAGCAGAAAAAACACAACCATTCCCGGCACTCGATATGAGACAAGTGAAACACTAGCGAATGAGGAGCCTAGTCATGTTCGCGATATGTTCGCGCCCTTTGTCGCGGGACAAAAAACCGACAACAACGGGAACAACGTGGGAACGCGACGTGAAGCCGCGAAGAATACGCGAATGGGATCCACACTCATGGGTCGCGGGTAGTTCGCGCATTACGTGATGGACTCCATAGAAAGTAATAAACCATATTCAAGGTACGGACTAGCCTTAACACAATTTTGAATTTTTATGCCGTGTGTTAAAAAACGATATTTAAGGTATGTTTTGAAATCCTGCTCCTTTAACTGAGAAAATGTATTCTTTCTTGGCATCAATAAAACTAGCCATTTTTTTCCAGTACCGTGTTTTAAGTTTATTTTGTGATACTAGATTCATTACATATGTTCCGCCATTATCAATCTACCTTAATTTTGAGAACAGCGAATCAATTTTCGATTGTCTGAACCGAGTTTTAGATTTTTGCAAACTTGTTGAAGAGAAGAGAAACTATTCCGCTGGGTTGCCCTTGAACATAATCAAATCAGAGTGCTCGCACTGGAGCGATGCGTAGCGAAGCGACTTGTTGCGTTTTACGAGTGCAATGAATATTTCACTGCGGTTCTCTTCACGTCGTTTCTACCCAATGGGCATGCACCTTAACAGGACTGTAAACTTGGCTGATAACAAGAGCTTCTCCAACACAAAATATGAAATATCATAACATTTTTCTTGTTTTTTTTTCAGGATGACGCCCTGGAAGTAGGCATAGAAAAAATCAACAACATCCTGGAATCCTTCATGGGCATCAACGATTCCGATCTGGCCACTCGTATCTGGGAACTGTCGGTGGGAAAAAAGAACTCCATGGACTTTGCTGAGGCTGTGGATGATTCTGACTTAGCTTGTTTTGAGTTCACTGATGAACTTATCATCGAGATTTGGGGCGCTATCACGGATGCAAGAGATGGGCGACTGAAATAAAATACACAACAATCCGAGAGTGCCAGAAGTATTTCATTGTTATATGTACGAGGTGTCTTAGAATTATGCACACAAAATATAAGGTGATAGAGACAGCAAAGTTTAGTAACAATGGACATGTTCACAAAATTCATTTTTTGTGAAAAGACCTCATCATCTGGAGGAATATGTTAATCATTGATGTATGTTTTGTTCATCTCTTATGAGAGTAGTAAATTTCTACACATAGAGCTAGAACTTTCTCAGTTTTTAAGACAATACATGCGAAATCAGGTTATATTTATGTGGAACGTGTCTCAATTTTCGACCAACTCCATCGTATTTCGAGTGCAGAGTTTTATGATACCTGTATGTATGTGTAAGTGCTAAGACACTTTGCAATATTAATCATTCGAACAAAACGTCTGTTTATATTTTAAGCAAAAAATGTTATATTTATATTTGTCATATTAAAGACGATTTGCAATTTTCTCCTTTTATTTGAAGTTGGAGTAAATATATCGGTATAAAACCTGGCAGGTTATCATTATGGACCAACCAATTCAGACTAGGTAGAAAAAGCAAGCCTACGGTTTGTTTGTCGCCAAAATCTCGGTCTGTAGTCAAGATGAAAGTGCATACTACAAAAGGACTTGAGACAAGTTAATGTTTTTATAGTTCTGTCATTAAATTCGTATTTTTAGTGTTACTTTTTAAGAACACGAGTGTTTGCTAATAACTGTGGTATTAGACAGGACATTGTTCTTCTTGCATACATTGCACAGAGCAGTACAAGTCTAATGAAGCTAGATCTTGCAATGTTGTCACTTCAGTAGACAAAACTATGGAATTTTGGGGACAAAAAATACACTGTAAGCATATGGGTTTGGATCCTTCTAATCTATTCGAATTCGCTGTTTTGAACATATATTCATCATTTTCGTTTGATGATCTTCAAGTTCTTAATGCTTTTTGATGTTAGCCTTGTGATTGATGTATGTATGTACGTAAAAAATTAGAATTGGTCAAATATATGTTATTCATCGTCCAAAAATAACTAGGAGCCATTTTGAAAAGGTTAGTATCTAACAGATGGCGCTATAGATAACTATACAGGGTGACTTTGAAGTTGAGTCATTAATTTTCAGATAATGATTGTAGAAGGAAGATAGACCAAAATATGTGTGTAAAAATAAAAAAATAAATAAAAAAAAATGTTACCTTGTTTAATAAAGTATCGTCCCGACAAGTATTTCAGTGCGGACCTGTATTTGATCGTGCGGTCTTGGAGCAGCATGCCCTGACCTGTGAGGTCTTAAGTCACCTGATTCACGAGCCCTTTGTACTACATTAACAAAGGCACGAGGGGTTGGTTGCACATCCGGGAGCATTTTGTAAAGACTGCCCCCCCGTAAATAAGAATCATGTCCACAAGTTCAGCATTTTCGTAAACATGTGCCATTTTTGATTTCGTTTGAGCCACGCAACAAACACTACTATTTACTAACGCGTTATCGACTGACGAAAAACATCGTGATAAACGTTTCAAATTCTTTCGCTTTTTTGTTTCCGATGCGATGAACCGGTCAGGCGGATTATATCCGTTGTCGCCAAACACGAACATATTATTATTGAGACAGGGCGGTACTCAAACTTCCAAAGGGCTATAACTTTGTTACTTTAATTTTACCAGAAAAATGGTAAAGGAAAAAACATTTCTTTTGATCAGATCTACTCACTGTTAAAATAAATGACTCAACTTCGAAGTCACCCTGTATAAATATATATGATCATGTAGTTGGTTGGGTGCCATCTATGAGATACTAACATTTTCAAAGTAGATTTCTAATTATTAAATAGAAGAGAAACCTAGTTCCGACAAATTCTCATGAACGACGCCATGGTATCTCATTTCATCTCGAATAATTTCTTGGAATACACATTTATCTATCTATGTTCAGGTAGAATATGTTGATCGATGGTTGTAGTCAAAGAATGCTTGAGGCTGTTGTTGCAGGTTTAAGCCCCTGATCTACAGATAAAAAGATTTGTTTATCTAAAAATCATCTGATTTTCTTAAACTTCGAATGAGGTACAGACCTGTGTGTTTCTCTAAAGTATATGCACCGAGAAAGAAAAAAGAACTTGCTAATGTACTGTAAGGCCCTCACTGATACGCCACTTCAAATTAGTACGCCACTGGAATAGAAGTCAATGAGTTAAACCATCAACTGCTAGATGGCAACGAACAAAATAGATCCCTGTTCACCGTGTCGCACAGTTTGCACTTGAGATGCTAGATAGTAGCTAAAGATAAAAATTCCTGTTTGCTCAGCTTGGTTAAGACAGCTAGTAGACATATACTGCGCAAGATGGCGCTGGTAAAACTAAATGAGTTGAAACCAGAAACGCAATTAGAAGAAACATTGAATATTTGAACAATTTTTAACCGAGGAAGGCATTTCTGACATTTTTTTGCACCATTATGCAGCTAATTTTTCATATTAATTACAAATTCATTTTTTAAAATTCAAAAATAATCATTAACGGTATGCGGCGTTGCCATATCAACTACATCTACGAGAATATGAAGAGATTTCCTGCCGTTATTACGTTTGTTCCATTTTACTATATTATGATTCAAAACGATCTAATACCCAAATCAAAAACGATTTTAAGCAAAAGTAGACCATTTGATATGACATGCTGAACTTTGAATCTGTGCTCTGAATTCTGACCGACAGGCAGACAGACAGAGTATCTATTTTTATCTGATGCTAAGTTGAAAAAGTCGCGATAATAGATAGACTATAGTTCACACATCAACTGTAAAGCAATTATATTCGACAAATAAGACAGATCTTGTACGTCCTACTTCCCTTTCCTTAGAAAGTGTTTTCCTGGACAGTCATCTCTCTACCGTTTCCACATACAGCGATACAATTTGACAACACTGTCAAAGATAGATTAATCCAACCTAACCTAATTTTTGTTTGGGTCTTCGATCGACTGTAAAAAAATTCATGTTGCTGTTAGACGATTCAAACGGTCTAACCTCGAAGAATCTCGCCGTAAGATGTGCTAGATTCCCGTGCTTCGGTTCAGTGAATGTTCTCCGTACTTTTCCTGGGGTTATGTAGTTAGCTGGCATACCCATATATCCATACTATGGCTATGAGCAGTTGGATCAACATCAGATCTGGAAGGATATACAGGTCCAGTAAGTCCTATTCTTCTCTACGTATTTAGATTAGTCTAAAACCTGTGTCTTTTCAGCTAAGCAAAGTAAACAGGAAGATGTGTTGGCGTCACTTAGTGATCTGGGTAAGTCAGAATCCTGATTGGCCTATTTTTGTTTTTGATGGTTGTTTCACAGCCTTCTGTATATAGAACGCGGAAAATGTGCGAACAGTTGAGAGTGTTTGGATGTTCCTCTTTATAGGTCAATGTATTTACTACATCAGTATGTCCTATATTTGGATATGGCTCATTCATGATTTTAGAGCTTGCAAACAAAACAGGAAGTTGCTTACAATAGTTGTTTGTCTGTGATTCTATCTTCAATATGGTTGGATTTATCTTTTTATGTTAATTTGAAAACTACTATACTCTCGAATTATCTATTTTGATGCTGTAGTATATGGAATCCTCTTGATATTACTTTCTTCTAATGTTTGTACCCTCTACAGCTAAATGACAGATATTTGGAAATTCAAAGGCTCCTCATAATTTAAAAACTTATAAACAAATACAGATACAGCATAAAAGTACCTATCTAGATTGCCATGTTTGGTATGGTGCTAAAATTTATTTTTGCTCATAGTGGATGAACCATGTGAAACCTGTGTATTCAAATTTCTTTGAATATAAAGAAGACTGATAACAGCTTGTAATTAATTGAACCCCAGCTCTACATAATAAGAGTTTAAAATATATATTTTCTTGACAAAATCATCTGTAAATGATTTTTCAAAAGATAACAGAATTTTTGAGTTTTAAATGTGGGGAATAGTAATTTAATAATATATTAGGATTACAAATGCTCATAAAATCAGTATATATTAGTAGTTCTGTGAGCAAAAAGCTAAGACTCTAAATTCTAAATAAAAATATAAATTGTAGCTATACTAGATAGTAATAATAGACATTAAAAACTACCTATTTAATTACTGTTTTTCATTCAAATATGACCCGAAATGAGTTTTCAAGTGATATCTTTTTTTATTTGATTAATATCTGAAAAATTTCCTGTTATATCCAAGTTATAATTGTGGATTAATATTTGAAAAAGATTTAAAGTCATTTAGAAGAAAACTAGTCAGCACATTCTTTTCAGAACCCCATGAATGCTGTAAACGGTTGTTGGCAAAAGTATGCCAAAAAGATGTGGAGGAAAGGTCACTCTACAATTACTTGAATGCCTTTGCCAAGTTTTACTTGAAGTATGAAAATGACTGGGAGAAGGTTGGATGGAAGACTGAAGAATTACTGTATTGGTAAATGTATATTTTTATTTGAGATTTGATTTCCATTTCAAATATACTTTTTCAAAATGTTACAGTGAACTACTCACTACAAGAGACCAAAATTGCTGTATATCCTGTATTTTAAACATATATATACATGTATAGATCAGAATTGATTCATTTTTCAAGCAGAACTAAAAAAAAACAATTAGTTGCTCCTGTACAAAGTGGTAGCAAAACTTGTAGTTTCCAACAAAAAGATAATGATAAGCTGCAAAATTATAAAATTTGTGTATTATTTGAAGTACACTTTCAATTTTTCAAACTTCACATACCTAGGTGATTTTAAAGATCTGATTCACATCATGGCATGGAATTGGTATGATAAAACAAATGTCTAAAAAGTAATCTTCATGTGGTGGCTAGCACCAGTTCAAGTTAAAGTGAGGGTTAGAGATTGCACCATCATAATTACCACTGAGTTAAGGTCTAACTCTGTGATAAATTTACTCCTCACTGGGACTAAAATATTTGTCAATAGATGGATTTGTGGTTTGGTCTATAATTTAAAAATACCAGGATGTTTTGTAGATCTTTGTAGACAACTTTTTCAGACATATGGAGAGACTTGGCAATAAGCACAGCAAAAAATATTTTCAAAATACAACATTCCAAACACAATTCCTAATGTAATACAACATACAATTGATAATAGAAAAGGATAACAGAACTCAAAATACAAGTAATACATGTCAAAATTCATGTCAGTATCAAATCATAAGAAACAACTAACACAGAACCAGATTTTCTTGCAATATTGCTAATACATGTATTCATTCTAAGAAACATCCTTATATTTCAAAGATATCAACACAAAAATTCCAGGTTTATAAACCCAGACTTACACCTTGATGGTGCAAAGCTACTATAATTTCCTAGGGTTACTTGTACCTTCGAGTTGAGTAATGCTCAATTTAAACCCAAAGCAGTGCAAACCACTGATACAGTTGATCTTGATGCATCAAATAAGGAACAAGATAAACCTTTTTCATACTAAGAAAACAGTGTGATTTTAACAAACCAATAGACACATTTTACAGTAAGTAAAAGCCTTGATGATCTTGTGGGTTGCTCAACACATTTCGTCTCTATTATATCTAAACCAATGCTAATGTCTTCTATTTAAATAACTTTGATCTATGGCCATGGCAAAAATAAAAAATACCACATAAAGCCTGCTAGTGGTGGTTTGGCCCAATGACTGCTAAACTTCCATCATGTGGCGACTGAATAAAGGGAGTTCACGGCATGTCCCTGAAGTGCCTCGAAAATTTGGTTATGGAGAGACATGCTCCATATGTATTTATTTTCAAGTAGTATTGACAGATTCTAGATCTTGTAATGTTTAAATAAATTTTTATCATAAACAAATCACCTGCAAATTATAATTACATACCTCATTCAGAAAATATTTGGTATAATGAATGGTCGAGATATTTCCTATATTTGATAATAATTCAAAAGCAATTGATTGCTTATGGGCTAATCTAATCTCTGAACAAACATTTATTGATCAGTGTTGGAAGAAATATTTGGTACCGGATGTAAAATGTAAATAAACGTTATATTTAGATAATATATTTTTCTTCTCTTCAAATACATTGCATTTTCGCTCTATCAATGAAGTTGTTGAATTAACAGAGGCGTGAAAAATGCAATGTCTTTCCCTTTAATTCTACGTCTAGAAAATCACTCTACAGACTAATCTGTTTGTTTTGCAAGGCCATTATCTTAATATTCAACTTGAACCTTGAATTGACATACAGGGAAACCAAATTTGTCTGACGGCTTGAGTTCGATGTGTACGAGAGATTAGCACGAGAAGGGTGTATCAACACATGCTAGAAAGAGATAGAAGACGGCTGATGAGCGAAGGTCATCACCACATTGCCTAGCAACGGTGACGCAGAAGGTCGTTCAATCTGCAACTTTGCCAATATGTTACACCAGAAAATGTTCGCACAGGTTACTTTGCTGCTAAACATAAGAAGGAGGTTAGAACATTTAATTTAATGTTTTGTTTTCATTTTGATTAGGATTATTTCAATTTTGGTGCGACTGTTTTAATTCATTTTAGAATTATCTTTGATTTCCTCCGATGGTGATAAAATCAACACATCCTGAGTTATTGTTACAAATTGCGACAGCGCGCGGTCGGAAAATGTAACAAATACCATTACGCAATACAAATTATAACTGACTGCGTGTATGCAGGTGAAAACCATTTCGAGGCAGGCCGACACACCCCAATGAGCGCTAGATGGGTACTGACCAAAATCGCCCATCTATGATCATAGAGGTGGAAACCTTGGATTGTAATGAACGAGATGCGGTGTTGCCAAGCGAACCAATGATGCAATGTTGCAGAATTTGTAGCGATCCTGAACTTTCATTCCGACCTAAAATGGAGCGCCGTTGGGACCGATCCGGCATCGATCCTGAACAGATTCGTCACAATTCACAATTAAAAAATGTGTACGCTCAAAATAATTATTGTATAATTATTTGGGCGTAGAGAATAAACTAACGCATATTTTCAACATGCATCTTTATTCAAGGAACTGATGTAACTTATTGGCAACGCGGCACATTGCCGCGTCAACGTTGCTAGGCTACGCGATGATGAGCTCCGCTATCCAGCCGGCTTCTCTCTTTCTAACATATGTGTCTATATACACTTCTCTCTCGAACACATTGAACTCAAGCCGTCAGACAAATTTCGTTCATTCTGAGATTGTGGCAGTGTTGTCACATGTTTCTAATGATCTCACTAACATACCGCGGTCATGAAACATATAGGGTGATTACGTATTGCCATTGACTGACATATTCCACCAGAAGATATGCGATCCAGTTGAAAGCCGTGCCTGTGCGAAAAGAAGGCATATGTCGTGGCGCTGCCAACCACTTAAGCTTATAGCTACATACCTGTCAACCACGATCTTCAAGTTGTCACCTCTTAGACTGTTGTCGCAGGTTTTCTTTATGTAACTCTTAAGAGAAAGCAGCAATCAGCCCTATGGGCAAGAAGCATGGTTTTGCTGACAAATCTCAATTAATAAAAAAAAATGGTATGCAGAGTATCACTACAGTGACTGATCTCTAATACTAAATTGATTGTTTATGTTATCACTTATAATTATGGTCCTATCACCAAGTCAGGGTAGCTCATTATTAGATACATATAGTCGGTTTGCTAACACACATTAGGGTATGTTTCGACCCTTTCACTGTATCTAACATTGATCTCGTGGATCTTTTACTTGATCGTAGGGAGCAAACGTAGTATGGTGCGTCGACGATCATTCTCTGGACCTTGTTCTGGAACTTCTGAAGGATGGCAATATTGCTGATGCTTGCTGTGTCTCATATCTAGATGCCATATGTCCAAATTTGTTTCAACAAAGCATTATAGAGTGACAGCTTGTTGCCCAATTGTAGTTTGGATTTCCTACCAGTAATCCAATACATTTCTTTGAATTGGAGACCGTTTATTCCCTTTTTGAGAAAACGTATGCTTGCCATGCAAAGCTTCTGCCTAAATACCTGTAGGTTTCAAGGTAGTTCGCATGATGAGATTGAAGAATTTGTAAATTCATAGTTACTGCTGGACAGATTTTTCTAAATAAGGTCAATGAAAACTCTGTCGACTTACTTTGATTAGCCTCTAGGTGCCATTTCTTTAGCCAGCCCTCAATTTTGAGCAAGTTTCTCTGGAGAGTTTGCGATACTGGACCTTAAAACATTTCCTTGTGGGCTCCTGAACCGATGGGCTTAATGGATGTTTATTCAGTAATTGCTTTATGTAAAAGCACTTATTTGTCATATACGATTTCAAAAGCAAGTAATGATAATACTGGTGGAGCTGTTTTAATTTAAGGCACAGGCCTTTATGCCAAGCTTTGTCAAATGCTTGTGATGTATCGAGAAATGCAGCTGAACAATAGTACCAGGTTTCTGCCAGGGTGTGATATTTCCTTGATAGGATGATGACATGATTAAGAAGGAACAATTTCCCTTAAACAATGATGGAGTCTGTTTTTATTGATTCTAAGGGAATTCCTGCAATCTTATATGGCGTCATGACAGTGATGATGGAAATTTTATATTATCGTCCAAATACAGCATAGGACTGGGCATCTTCTTTGAGAATATATTAAGCAATGATACTACGTAGAACGCCTGCTAGAAAATTTTCGTGGATTGTTTTTAAGCAAATGATGGTTATTTCAAGACGAAATCAACAGAACATTAAAATTTATTATTTTCTGATATCTATGTAATTAGCCTAAGGATACCATTGGTCCATGAGTCTTCCCAGATCAGAACAGTAGGACTGAGATGCATTCGATTGTTGCTCAAGACAGAGAACGATGTCGCCCACATCAACAAGCTTCTGATACCGTTCTTGATAGTAAGGTAAGTTAGTCTAACTTGGGCCAATTATTCATAAAATGATTATAATAAAATGTTTGCCAATATTTCACCCGCCTGTTTTTCTATTTTGATACTAACACTTCACTTTGTCTATTCATTCTTCAAAATATATTTTGCTGAAATTTAAGAGTCTAAAAAATCCTAGAACTCCCGATCCTTTCAGCAGCAAATGTTAACATTTCTAAATAAGCGAAATAAAGATATATCTATAATATGTTCTATAGTTTGATAATCAAAATAGTTCCTTGAACTTTCCTCGAACATTTGCAAATGATCTAACCACGCTCCTTCTTTAACAACTGTTCACATTAAGAATGAAAAATAACGTAGACCCCGATTAAAATTAACTCGCCAGTATAGTAAACATTCAGTTTATTATTAGACTGTAAATAACATTAGATACTCTTTTAAAATGAGTAGTCGATGATGACCTAACAAAAATCTGTATCGCATCGGATATGTTTGTGTATACTAGATACTAGACGTGTCTCAATGGTCAACAACAGAAGTATATTATTTGTTGGCAGCATATCAGAAATCAGCAATTTCTTTTTGAAATTGGCGAATAAACAACTTGAAATGTGACGACGAAAACTTGCACTTTGCAATCCTACTGGGCTTTGGAAAATATTTTATTCAGTTATACACAGGGTGTCGTACAATTTTGTCAAGAACATATGAGGGCAGGTTTAGAACGGTAAAATATGAAAGAGTTGAATGAAAAAACTCCACTATAGTCCCATGGTACCCACGGGTGTTTAGTCCTTAGACATTCGTGGTGGTTCAAATATAAAAAATATAGATTATACAAAACACCAAATAAACGTAAATCAAGGCCTTGAAATAGATATTTCAAGGTTTTTTCCAGAATAAAAAGTAGCCTATGTGCTATGTAGACTATAGTATATCTCTGTACACCAAATTTCATCCAGATCCGTCCTGTCATTTTTGCGTGTTTGAGTAACAATCATTCACACTTTTTTTTTATAATAGATTGATGACTCCGCTAACTTGAATTATTCACGTACTTTTCAATCTGTAAAAATATAAACATAAATTTGTAAATGCTTCGTTCCTATAATACTTTGGCAGTTTACGTTACTTTTTTTGGTACACACAAATATATTATTTTTTCTTAGAGAACATAAACCAGTGGTGTCAGTTTTGAAAAAAAAAATATATTAGTCAGATTGAATCTACCTAAAAACTGCATCTGGATAAATATTTTATTTTATTAACCATTTTATTCAAAAATTGTAATCAAGCTGGGATGAATTTAGCGAAAAACTCCAAGACACTTTTCAAGCAAGATCAGTGAAACTTTTTTGATATTTTTCGTGGCGAATCTGCCATAAATTTTCCTGGCAACATTCTGTAACACGCTATATATTTAGAGATTTTTTTCTTTGGAACTAAATAGTGAATCATCATGACATGTGCGAATGTTTTGATTAAAAGGTTCGGAAGTTCTGGGATCTTTGGGACTTTGTCTTATTTTAACTCTAAAGGAGCAATATTTTTGTTGCAATATTTGGCTATTACAGCATATGGCCCGGCTTATCAGTTATATCTCTGCTATATGTTGGCAAAATTATCTGCAATGTGTAGACACTTTTCAGAATTTCTCATCAGAAATTGTACGCGTCTCGGCAGTTTAATTACACTATATTCAGGGTTGATTTGTTTAAATCATTTGATTTGAATCAATGGTTTATAATCAGTAATTAAATCAAACTTGATTTTTCTCATGAAAGTTCATGGATTACTTGATCAAATCAGCTATATGAAAGAAAAATCTTATTCAAATAGACAGCTTTCATGAATTATTGTAAACTATGTTATTATACTAAACTATAACTGGAGCAAGAAAGTCATCCAACAACTATTATGGTATTCAAAAAGGAACACCAATTTCGCCGCTTTCTCATTTCCCAGCCTATTTCGAAGTGTAAATTGGAACAGACCAAATTTAGAAATAACGCTTTCTATAGATGCAGAGGAAGCCACAGCTGTAAACAGCTGGTTTACTTTTTATTATTATTACTTGTTTGAATAGATCACTCTTAGCTTTAAATTTAATCATTTTGGGTTCCGAAAATGCGCACTGATGACTTTTTCGATCTGCGGTGAGCGTATTGCATCGAACGTCAGCTAGAATGCTGTCAATGCAAAAAATAATAGTTTCATGTTCAAAACCAAAAAATTATGATTTTATCAACCCTGCAGGAATTTCGATAGTTTGTCAATCTAACAACAATATAGAATGTCAAACATGTGTAGCTCTACAGTCGGGCTATACTAAAAATATTGCCCATTTAGAGGATCCATTAGACTTCGGCAAAAGTAGGTTTTTAAAAATTCGCGTTCTAAATTTTTTCCGACCTTTCAAATATAGTGTTTTGAGAAGATAAAAAGACGACTATAACTTCTTTCTATCTTTATTTTCACAATATCTTTGAACGTGTACTGAAGTTTTACGCGAAACCTACATTCTTTTTCAATGTTCAGATATTTTGACTTGGTTTTAAGAATTGATCTTCAAATTAGAAGGACTGACTTGAACATTTGGAATGAGTTGATGCCTTGATGCGTCTGGATATTCAAGCTTTTCAGTTTGTTATAAAAATTCTTTCCTTGTGTTAATTTAGGTCGGTTGATTTGATCTTGGGAAACGACGTAGAACGTATTGAAGCAATGCGTCTGATGAGAAATATCCTGATAATAGCTCCAGCCAAATTTGACATAGCCATGGCGAGATGCATGGTCTCGTTGGCTTTTGATGGAGCCGAGGCCAAGGACAGGATGCTTAGGGTTTGCCTTGCTACACTTTCGGACTTAGGTGAGTCACAAAACAGAATAACCCGATGAAGAGATAGTACCACCAGAGTCCGGTTGACATTTCTCCCTATTCCAATTTCCTTTCAGGTGTACTGAACCCAAAACTGCTCATCATAAGCGGCGGTGTGACAGCTATATCCCGCAATCTGCTGGAATGTCAGACCCCAAAGATAGCCGAATCGCTGTGCGGAGTTCTGTTGCTGTTGCTGGACAAACCGCAGACGAGGCACTATGCAGCTGTTGACTTGCATTGTGCTGCCGCGCCGTTCTGCGATTTCCACTACAAGCACGGCACCAAGGACAAGAATAAGTGAGTCAATTATGTCGTGATCCCATCCTGTAAGCATGGTAATATTCGATCGCTTTAATCGGAGTTACCAAAGCTCCTTACTGTTTACTATGCTTACACTTTCTCCACGTAAGCAGAAAAGTTGGCCCTTTAGAATTGAACCTGTGAAGATTCCGCCTTTTGAAACGGCTTGACTAATCCCTTTACTTTGAAACCTCTAATGGAGGCGTAGAAAGTATAGATTCAATCTACTTGACCCAATTTTTTCAGTAGTTGAAAGATCAAGTGAAAGTATTACTTTCACGTTCTACAATTTATTATCCGGTGCATTGTATATGAAATAGCTAAGAGATTAGCCGCTGTTTTTCAGAAATGCCTAAAGGTGTATTCAAAGGATTTGTCATTGATGAAATGAAATAAAGCAAGCTGTGTATGATGCATTAAAATACTTTTGTATTTGAAAGCCCCAAGATTGCCATCATGTATGTATCATGACATTGTTCGAATGAATTCACTGCGTGGCATGTAGGCACGTCCATATCGTTCAGTTCGGGACAAAACAAAAATATTAATCATCTCTGTATAGCCATTGGTCATGATGGCGTCAGCAATGTTGTTTTTGAAAAAAATACGTAATCCAGGCAATCTATCGAAAATCGGGCTAATTTTTGGGGGAAATTGTGAATGGACAAATAATTTTGCTAAACGTGTGAACAGCCTTACTGAGCGAGAATATGGCGTCATGCCAGGAAAAAATGTTCCGCTTCAATTTCTTACTTGCAAAAAATAGGTTGAGGATAATTTTCTATTTTTCTAACAAGTTATTTTATCGCTAAGGGAATGAACCATAGCTCCTTTTTTAGTCCTGAGACACAGTTTTTTTGAACACCAAAATCGGGCAAATAATTTCCAAGTTTTTGCAATAAAATCACAAAAAATCCGACAATATACTGTTTGCCTTGATCACCTCTATTCGCACGACACTGACATTCAACCCTGTGACGAATATGAGCTATAACACGTTATAAAAACGCAATAAATGTCCAATCATAATATATTAGGTTTTTGTTTTTATTGCAATTTTTTTATTTGTTTCTTTTTTATAAAAATCTGTTCTACAACGCAGGGATGTCTCACGATTGACGGCCGGTACTTACTTTGTAGAGAAGGTAATGCAGTTGCATGATAGGAAAGCAGAATCATCTCACTGTAATTTAAAAAATATTGCTAAATTTAAATTGTTAAAAATTTACAATGCAATGAAAATAAATGGGTTGATTGATCAACCTTTTTCTACAATTATTGTTGTTAAATGGAGCAATTCCATAGCGTAGAGGGTTGTAAATTTTGCATCTTTAGTATAAGTGAAAGACGTTTTATTATTTAGAAATGAATTTAGCAAGGGCGACGCTGCCACAGCCCCAGCGTTATCAAGGTCGTTGACGAGGCGAACGGTAAAATGATATCAGGATGTACAAAAGTTATCCGGATATTGTGCAATATGCACCATATATAGACAAAGATGATTAATCCAGAACGTACGAAAGTCAAACATTTCAGTTTTTTTAATCAACAATATTTTTTTTACTGATATTTGTTATACTTTACGTTGTTATGTCAAGATCCGAGGATATTCGTAGCTGTCGAATAATAATGGTTCTAGAGCAAACGTTGACCTAGATTCTACACATGCTACATATTAAAACTCCATTTATCGAAAAATGCGTCGGAAGTACTGTAGATACTTAACTCCATTTTTTCTTGATGTCCTCTTATACGCGTGCCACTATGCAAAGCAGTATTTGCAACATAATGGCATATACATGTATGCCGGAAATGTTCAACAATCTATTTGAAGATGTAATATGGCACCATTTATTTTTATTAAAGTCGACTATTTCGATTCTTCTTTTAAAATTGCCGGTACATCTATCAGGTGACGTCTAGATATCCTCCTACGTCGATTCATTAGCTGGTCATCGATTTTTATATGTTGACAAATCTATCCTGCTATATCTAATATCCTCCCACTCCTCAAGTGTAGTAAACGTTACCATTTCAAATGAATTTGCGTAGCATTGAACTCATAACTTTAGCAATCTTTTGTTTACCAAATATTTCCTCTCTATAGCGTGGGATATAGGTGCTGCTGCTACCGCGAATGGCGCGGCGCCAAACCGAAAAACAAAACAACATCTAGTCGTCATCCAATGGGCAGCACAGCGGCACGTTAGTCATTTGTTTTTAAGCCTTGGACACGTGCACACTCACACGCGTCGCAGCGTACTCGATCATGTTGTTGTTATTGTAATTATTGATTCGCGGTGAATGGCGCAATGATGCAGCTGAAATAGCATTTTGCACATACCACTGACTATGTGTAATAACAAGTGCATTTTTTTAAAAAATGGCGTCAAGCAAGTTGACTCTGTACTTTCCACGCAACGATGTCATCAGTTGGTAAAGGGTTATGTTCGGTGCAAGTTAGCTGTTCTGAGAAAAAACTAGCGACGAATATGTATAACAAAAAATTGAATGACTCTCCCAATCCCGCGTGGATGACGATATTGACTTTCACAGCATATAGCCCACAACAGCAAGGGAGCGACTGCCGACTGTGACGCATGGCTATTTCTGTGTTTTAAGCGTAAATGTACAGGAATATATATGATGAGTGGAGTATGACTAATGGGTGTGTAGAATTATTGGGCTTGGAAGCGTATAAAAAATATACCAACGTCAAAAAAATGAGATATACCCTCCCCCACCCAATGCAACCTCCAACATCCCAATTTTGTACCTCCACAAAATTTTGTCCAAAAATAGTCCCTGAAATGGCGAAAACCGGAGTTTGAGCGATTTTTATTTTGTTCGTCTTTGTCTTTTTTTCCGCCGCCAATGGACCGATTTTCGAAAACTACAAAGTTTTTTCGTCCTTGGCATAGCAGTAACCTTATGTGAATATTTCATCAAAATCCAAGCGGTACTTTCGAACTTATAGACTGGCCAAAGATTAGCGGACGGATAGACCGACGGTCGTAAGTGACATAGTTTTTCGTGATGTACATGTCAAATAACATCAAAAAATCATAATATCTCATTTTCAAAAAGTTCGCGATTACAATAAAAAGAAAGACAAAATTAGTATCGCGCACGGCACGACCCACTTTATTCAAGCTGATGGTTTTTCTGTAAAATTTAAAACTGATTTATTTTGCATCTAATATTTCTCAATTTTAGCTTTATTTATATTTCAAATCTTTCTATATCATGTGGTTGCAGTATGATTCCATGTATGCATAGTTTTACCTCTCTTATTCTTTAATGTAACGTGGCTTATAATTTTGAAATTGTACTAGCGTTAGACTTCCAGCACTATAAAATGTGTTTAAATACTTATTTTATTGTTTGTTTTAGAAGAGATGAGCGTGAATTGAGATTGAACTGCGGAAGACTAGCATTGCTTACAATCTTGAGGAGTTGGTCGGGCATCTTACATTTCTGTAGTCCAAACGACAGGAGCGGATTCAAAGCTATCGTTGACGTTCTGTACTTAAAACAGCTTGAAGTCCGGGTAAGATGACAGAATTTAACATTCAAATAGAGGATAACCAGGATAATAAGATGACAAACGACTGAGGAAGTAGTTATTACATATAAATATTTTGAAGCGTATTACTAGACTATCAAAGTGTTAATCATTTTTTATTTTGTAATTTAGATGTAAAAGTATGTATCGAAATTTGATTTGATTGACTGTATAGGTGTAATTCCAATATTTTGTTTACAGAAATCAGTTCTGGACCTTTTGTATGATTTACTGGGATTACCTCAACCTGAATGGTCTGATGAATTGTCAGTAGCTCTAAGTGCTGCAGATCCGTGTGAACCTCAGGCGTCTTGGAGATTGAATGAGGGATTCGTTGTAGCTGAAGGAAGGTTTGTTAAAAGATCATACTATTACATTTTGGAACTTTCACTTAAAGTAAAAATGATTTGTTTGAAAAATAAAAATACAGTAGCTACGTGGGTGATTCGAACCCTTGACCTTTTACATTCTAGGCAGACGCTTTACAAGTTTTTCAATGAAGATGGTACCGTATCAACCGGTTCTGAACGAGTCGTCCCAAAGGAATACCGCAGCGCGAATTGTAGGAATCGACTCCGATCTTATTGAAGAAATCGATTCCGATGTTCTCGATTCTGATTACGGAAAATGTGAAAGTGCAACTTTCACAAATTCCAATACTACATTACTTACAGAGGGGTATCAATTAATAACCCTCAACAACCCTTCCACTTGTTTCATGCTACAATGTACCTAACTGCCCAACAACACAATCGGAATATATAATTTGTACCTCCCGTGGTGTGGTTCGTTTCTACGCTCATTAACACCGAAGCTATTTTTTGGAATTGCCGGAATCCGAATCGAAAGAAATCGTGAAGGAATCGATTTCGAGACCGGATTCGAAACCATCGAATCGAATCACTAAGGAACGACTTGATATACCTTGAGTCACCGTGCCTTGGTTATCATAGCGTCTGCATAGAACAGTGGGTTCAATTCCACGATTGTGAGCTTTACTTTGCAACTTTTTTAACCCAGATTTTCAGTTTCCCTCAGACCTGCCCCTCACCAAGGAATCAATGGTCACTTCGCCAGCAGCCAAAATGTTGGCGTCATTTGGCAGATTAATAATGCTCTGCCTGTTTTAGGTCTGTCTTACCGCATTTGGCTGCTGCGACGCCAACGACTGCTGACATGCATTTGGCACTGCTACTGTACTGCTTCCTGGAGAACGGCCTTTTAGCCGCTCTTGCGGAGGTCATCGCCACTAGTGACACCTTCATCTGCGTCAGAGCATCCGTTTTATTAGGTAATATAGCACCAGCAAGTTTCCAACACCTTACGAAATAGTATATATTAGCAATGATTGTCGTATTCTACCTGAAGACAACCAACTATATACTGTGTTCTGGCGTCTAAAAGATATACAGGGTGTTTCAGTTTATTGTTGCATAACTTTAAGATTCGATAGAACTTCTAAAATTAATGCATAAAGTCTATATAAACATTGGTCGAACAATGCGTGGCTTCCGAAATACAGGGTGTTTAAATTTACTTTCTAAAAGTTTTTTTTAAATATTTCGAACAATATTTGATGTATAACAGTGAAAATTGGTATACGAGGGTTTTTTGGTACAACAAAACGAACCATGGGCATAGTTTTACTGTAGCCGCTAGAGGGCGCTCTCTACTGTACCTGTAGTGTATTAAAATGACCGAAAAATTTTTCTTAGTGCAATTTTTTGCTTTTTGAATAAAAAAACTGATTCTTCGCACTTTTCTGCATAAAAAAGCTCTCCTGTGAGTTTTCGTTATAGTTAGCCGTTTTTGAGATAACTCGATTTTTAAGGTTCGATGCATTTTTAATTATTTATGGTAAAATAATATTTTTTTACATTTTCGATTTGGGCATTACAAGTAATTAAGATGATCGTTTAGATTGTGCTTTTAAACACAGCAATAATTCCTAACTCCAAATAAACACGAAAAAACAGAATATTAATTTGTTTAATTTTCCAATATTATTTTAATTAAATTAATTATTTACAACTAAAATGCTATTGGATAGTTAGACAATTCACATCTACGAATGATCGAACGTGGTATAGCATTATTCAAGTAAGGCCTTATTTCATCACATGCATTCCTGATTCTGTCTATTAGCATATCTCTTGTGGTTACGGGAGTCTGGTACACTTTTTCTTTTAGAAATCTCCACACAAAGAAATCTAATGGATTTAGGTCAGGGGATCGTGGAGGCCAGGCGACTGGTCCTCCACGGCCGATCCATCTTTCTGGATAATTTTCGTCCAGCCAGTTTCTAACTATTCTCGAATAATGAGCTGGACAACCATCAAGCTGGAACCAGGCCAATCTTCTTAAATCTAACATAACATCATCCCACATATTTGCATGTTCAGCCTTTAAAAATTCCAAGAAGGACGCAGCATTTAACCTTGCAGGCAAAAGGTAGGGTCCAAATAGTCGCTTACGGTAGATAACACTTGTGGTCGGATCTCTATCAAACTCACGCAGAATCATACGGGTAAATCTGCGCTGACGAACATTTATGTTTTGATCCCTTTGGAGATTCCCAAAACCATTTTCAATTATTTAGAGATGCACTCTTACAAATAGTGAGCGAGTTGGATGTCGTCTGTTTGGAAATCATCGTGCGTATTCTTTGGCTGCTTATGCTGCGTTTCCATTTACAAAGCCATACACAAAATGAATATCCGCTAACTGTTGATTGGAGAATAAAAATGGCATTTTTATAAAACTTAACAAAAAAAAAACAGGTAAAAGAAACTAAATTTCGTGCATTCGCAATTGCAAAAAAACGTTTCAGGTTTCAACAGACAACAAAACTAACTGTCAACTAATTGACGTTTAACCTTATTCTGCTTTCAATTTCAAAAATATTTGCAGGCACAGCCTACTTCTAAAAATTATCGAGATACTGACTTTTTAACGTTATTTTATCATAAATAATTAAAAACGCATCGAACCTTAAAAATCGAAATATCTCAAAAACTATAACTAAAATTCACAAGAGAGCTTTTTTATGTTGAAAAGTACGAAGAATCAGTTTTCTTATTCAAAAAGCAAAAAATTGCACTAAGTAAAAATTTTCGGTCATTTTAATACACTACGGGTACAGTAGAAAGCGCCCTCTAGCGGCTACAGTAAAACTATGCCCATGGTTCGTTTTGTCGTACCAAAAAACCCTTGTATACCAATTTTCACTGTTATACATCAAATATTGTTCGAAATATTTTAAAAAAACTATTTTAGAAAGTAAATAAACACTCTGTATTTCGGAAGCCACGCATTTTTCGACCCATGCTTATATAGACTTTATGCATTAATTTTAAAAGTTCTATCGAATCTTAAAGTTATGCAACAATAAACCGAAACACCCTGTATATCAGGTTCTTAAACCCCTAAGTGGAGCATAGAGCGTCGGTGAAAACGCGACATAGAGTTCTGTTTTGCGACAACGAATTTGCCTTGACTTCTCAGCTCATCCATGATCTATCTTCCCCAAGTTTGAGCTGGGCGTCCTCTTTTCCTCTTTCTCTGGTGACTTCTTCAGTTTATGGCAGCATTTGCCATGCAAGTGTTATTTTTACGAAGTGTGTGGCCTATCCAGCCCCACTTTCTAGACCTACTTTTTATCTCTACCCCCTTCTGTTCGGTCAAGTGCAGCATATCTTCGTTACCGTGGGTACACTCAATATCTCATAGAAGTGTGCTATTCATTTCTTTACTTGGTCATCTTAAGTCATCGCAAGTACTTCTGTCTTGATCTTACAATATTTGATGTATGAAACCATTTTTTGTTAGTAATCTGGTTATTTGGTATAGCTCTCTGGTTCTGTTGTGCAATGCAGATGTTTCTGCTTGTTTAATAATAATAAATATTTATTTCAAAATAACATTGCATGTTACACACTGTTGGGTGAAATATTCGTCACATATTCAACAAGGCAAACAAACATACTAGAGAAACAAATAAAAAAACTAAAACAAAAAGGGCAAACATATAACATATACAGATTTTACATTCTGAGTGCTTCAATAATTGATAAATACCCTTTTTAAATTGTTTTATATCCCCAGCAACCTTTTAATTTCTTGAGGTAACTTATTGTATATTTTAGTACAGCCGAAATGGACATTTTTTCGGTGATCGTGAGATGACGGACTGGATACAGATGATGTATATTTCAATTTTTTTTGTATTATAATCACTTCGCGGGTTACCGATAAAGTTGTCAATGTTTTTAAATGTAAAAATCAGTATTGCGACTGCAGTTAAGATGTTTTTGCTCTTGAATTTTCGTCTGCAAGTGTCTCTACAGAAAATCTTTAGTATGCACCTCAGTACTCGCTTCTGCACTACAAAGATCCTACTGATATGGCTACTACATCCGAAGAAAATGATGTCAAAACGTGCAATAAAGTCATAATTCTCGTAGCATATCATTTTTCGTGTCTTAAGGTACTTATTAGGCATTATAGTGGCAAAAAAAGGATTCAGACATATGAGGCAGTAGCAGAACCAAATACCAAGTATCCTTCTAAATTAATTCATGTGTTCAGCTACCGTCTCACAGGTCAAGCTAGTATCTTTCAGATCCCTTTCTAGATGCCCAAAATTCAGTATATGTTTTGCTATCTTCAGGAAAAATGCGTTTATCAGTGCTTTTAGTCACTAGATCAATCACCTAAGGATAACACAATAATATTCATTTTACACATGTACAAATATTTCAGGTGAAATTTTAAGGCTGATACAGATTCTTCTACCACCCGGTTGTTGTAATATATCTCCTTCGCTACCAACCCTACTGGACTATGCAAGCAAAAGTAAACCACAAGCAATAGCAGCTATTACGGCATTGGAGCAGCTACATATGTAAGCGGAAAGTAATACTATTATAATAATAATAATAATAAGCGTTTATTGCCCAACAGTTTAACACCATTTACAGAGCAAACTACTATAAAAAAAAAACAAAATCACCATGAGGTAGCTTGTGAAGAAAAAAAAAACAATAATAATTCATGTATCAATAACAAAAAATAAATATAGCTACAGCTTAAAAATAAGAAACGTAAGATAAATCAAAAGTGAGCACGCAATTTGCACTTCAATTCACCTATGCTATATAAGAATATGTCACATACATCGGCTATTTTATTCGCATTCACACACATCATAATGACAGGCGCTTTCGACAATAACTTTGTTTGAGCTCTTTGACATAAAAAAGGAACATTATACCTTGATGTTAGTCGTGGTACCAGAAACTGTATTTGTGAAAGTACTGTAGGGCAGTCTATTAGATTATGCAGTAATTTATACAAAAACTATAACTGCTGATTGCTGACGCCGTTGTTCTAAGGATTGAATGCCAAATTTATGAAGAAGGATGTTGTATTCTGTACCTCTAGTAGGATATATGCCATCGATCTTAAAACATGAAAATTTTAAAAATCTCTTTTGAAATTTATCAACAACATCAATATACTGCTTGTAAATCGGACTCCATATCAAAGATCCATATTCAAGCTTAGACCTAACCAAGCTAAAGTATAATGTCTGCAAAGTCAAAACGTCAAAAGATTTACAATTCCTGATAACGAAGCCATAGGTTCGGTAAGCGCTTGAAATGATTTGATTGATATGCTCATTAAAGGTTAGATGTTGATCAAAGTAGATACCTAAGTCTTTCACAGTTTCACTGCGCTCAAGAACAGTTCGATCATGGTATAATTATATACCATGGGGTTGGTTTTCCTTGAAAAAGTTACTACTTTACACTTACTTATATTAAGATGAACATATTTATAATCAAATAGATTGTAACTATGATTATGAACAAAACGTAATTTAATTTTGATGATCATAGTTCGTAGGAAACTAGTTTTTTTTTTCTGTGTTTATAATTATGTCAAATGATAATAGGTTGATGAAAAGAAGGCCGGCTTCATATAGTCTGCACCTGGACTATATAATCAGAAACAGCTACCATAAAAGAATGGAACATAAGCAAGAGAAGAATGTGAGGCATAAAAGTGCGTTGAAGAGCAAAATTCAACAGGTAACCAACAACATAGAACATGTGAGTGCTCACCATTCCATTTTCACGTAACTGAACGAATAGATAACGTATCATAAGTCATAGGTCATTAAACTATATCGCGTCGCATTCAGAATATGTTTTTTGAGTTCGTATGGGAATTTTAACCTTTGCTTTTTCACCATTAACTCCTTACAGGTGTCTCGTCACTCAGAACCGTATTGTGCATATTTGCCTCGTTTACTTGTTATGTAAGAGTGACAGAAAAGCTTTCTGGTATCAAAGTATACTATATAATTCTGACAAGTGTATCTGTCCTTGCATTGAAAACAATATTGTCAATATACAGCCGAGATATAAAGTCGGGCCATATGTTGCAATGTGTTCATGCTGATTCGACTATAGTTGCTACAGTTATATACAAGTGTTGCAATAAAAATTTTGCTGGTTTAGAGCCTCCTTAAGAGCCAAGAGAACGGTATACCTGCAAGGGGTTGATAGAAGAAAACTTGACTTTAGACTTTGGAAATATAATTTGTTACTTGATATTTTTTATACATTACAAAGGTGTATTCCCGAACTAAATTATCTAAATCCAAGATTGTTCAATTTAGTTTTGGTAAAATGTCGGAAATAAAACACCGTATTTTTGCCACGGACATTTACCATTTGGTTATATGAACATGTGACCTAAAAAGTCAGGATACAGGGTATTAAAAAAACAGGTTTTAAAAGTCGAAATAAAAAGTTAGAAAATAATTTTCAAGTATTGGAGAGTTTGTGTTAAAACAATAGAAAGTCAACAATCTTGCTTGATATTAAATGTTATAAATTAAATTTTTATATTGATCTTATTCCAAATTTTGGTCATACTTGATTATTGCAGTAACACAAACTCTACTATACTTGAAAATCGTTTTCTAGTTTTTAGTTCAATTTGCTATTAAAATGTGCTTTTCAGTTTTTTCAAATTATAATTTATTTTCTGAATATTTAGTCTCAAAACGACAACAAAGGAACTTACAATCAAGAGCATCGATTTTTGGTATTTGTTATACTCGTATGTACAGGGCCCGTCAGAAAGAACGCATGTTTTTTAAATGAGTAGTACAGTCAAAATAAGTATGGGAAAAAATATAAAAATACTCAGAAATACATGGCATTTTTTGAGTAAAACAAAATTTACGTTCTAAAAACGCAGGAATCAAGCCTCTCCCGAAATGAGCCCATTGCGTGGGCCAGCATCCGTGCAGGAATTTGGGTTACTTCTCTTCTTATTTCCTCCTTCAAATCGACGAAGGTCCGAGGCTTGCTTTGGTAAACTTTTGATTTCAGGTAGCCCCATAAAAAAAAAACACCATGTTGACAGATACGGGGATAAGGGCCAATAATCATCGTTGGGCCTACTTGCACACCAAGCTGTAACTTTCGGGGGCTGCAGGGGGTGCTCATGCAATTGTTGAGGCTTCACTGGAGACCAATATCGACAATTTTGTTTATTGACGTATCCATGTAAATGAAAATGTGCTCATAAACAACGTCATGTCATTCTTATCCAACTATTCAATCATGAGCTGTGCAAAATTAACACGTGCAGAATCCTGTTGCAACACTTGTTGACAAACTTAGATTTTGTAAGGATGGAACACTAAATCCTTCTTCAAGATGCGACGTACAGAGGACGCGTGGATCCCTAGGGAACTGGCACGCAAACGGACGGAACGATTCGGGCTTTGCAGCGTGTCAACTCTTACCCTGTCTACGTTTTCGGGGGTTCTAACAGTATGGTTTCGCTCTGGCGGTTTTTTCTTCATCACATCACATTACCTGTTGTGTTAAATGCTTCCACCCATCTCAAAATGGTGTTACGGTCTAGTACTGTTTCACGTCGTGGAACACGAAACTCACGTTGCGTTCGAACGACAGACTCGCCATTTTGAAAGTACCGACGTACAGTGAACACACGATTCTCAACGTTCCATACCATCTTGCCAACTGAAACGGCATTCTCCCACTATCCAACACGCCCTTCCCCACCGACACGGCACCAGCCCACTCAATCTAGTACCCATTCGATAAACATGCGTTCTTTCTGACGGACCCTGTAGTTGACAATACAATTAAATGTACTTCCTTGTTTTAAATTTCGAAATATCTAGTTTTTTTTAAAAATTGCCAAATCTTCAAATTATTTTCCAAATTTCCGAATTTTCCACTTATTTTCTAAATTTTCAAATCAAAATTTGTTTCCAAATTTGAAAATTGAGATTTTGTAAAAAAATTTATATTGGATTTTTTGCAAGATTATTGTATTGTCATCGGCCCTTGACGCCTATGCACATTTTCAAGTTAATCAGACTTGTTGAAATTGGTGAATATTAGGTTGAAATATTCTTACATACATACATACATACAGGTCAAGCTAAAACACACGTGTTAAAATGGTTTTTTATAGAGGAAGAATAATAAAAAACTGTCACAAAAAGTCGAAGATAGGTATGTAAGAACAGAACAACACTCCCTTGCAACAATCTAAGTTTATTTGACTATATTCTAATAATTTTTCGACATGTAATGAAGTTAGTTTTATTTTTTCCTTGAAAACGAAGTAAGATATGAAAAGATACCAGGAGACAAAAAAAATGTATCCTTAGCAGCTTAATCCGAAACGAATATATACTTTTTAAAATAGTCTGTGGCGTACATTATCTTCATCAAAATCATTCTGAGACTCCACTGAAATTCATAATCACCTGTTAATTATTGCTAATTTACAATGACCAATCCAACGTAATCAGTACAAGGATCTTTGAAATATTGATAAAAGACCAACTTTTTTAAACTTTGACACCCTGTGTCTTGAAAACATTTTCTAGATACATGTTTGTATGAACTTGTTTTACTAAAATTTGACACAAGAATGCGCCCTTATAAATATACAGCTTATCATTAAGTAACACCCTGGTTCAAATTATTTTTTAGTTGGTGTTGAAAGACGGGGAGGATCCAGTGAAAGAAACAGGAGTTTTAGCAAGCAATGACGCATTTACTTGGGACTGGAATTTGATTAATTTACTTCTGAAGGTTTGTTTAGTTAGAGATTTTAAAAGTATACTGTGATAATCTTTTTTTTTTTGTTTTAGGCTGAAAATAATTCTAAAATAGATTTTACAGACTCTTCTCATCGTACATTTGTTAAGAAACTGATAGAATTTTATATGCCATCTAAGAATAAATATTCCCATATGGACCTGGGTACCTCAAAATCTAGTATTATCTACACGACTGCAGGTACTTATTTTATGAAAAAATGGTTTATTAAATATCTGGATTGAGAAGTAAGCCATTATTGGTCAGGCAGTTTATATACTGATGCATATGGCGCTGAGAGGTATAATGTGTCAAATCAATAATGGCATTTTTTCACTACTAACACAGTTCGTAGTCATTTCACAAGGGAGGGGGTGCTAACAGAAGCTCATTGCCTGAAGCTCTTACAAACTATAGGACTTTGTTGTCTGGTTGAATCAAACCATAAAAACCCTGTCATGGTACGTGCACAAAACGGCATCAAGTAGGTTGATTTTGCAGTGACTAAGCAAGGCTGTCATCAGCTCCTAAAAGATTATGTTCATCACAAGTTGGCTCCTCTGACAAAAAAGCTAGCAACGAACATGCACAACAAAAAAATTGCATGCATCAAACAGGGTCATACACTTAAAATTTGCATATTTAGCATCCTTGAATGTACAATTTTGGGGCTCTTTAGGATCTGGGTTCCTGAGAAAATATGGTACCCATCACGCTTCAAAAAGTTATGGAGACACGTACGCTGTCGCTCAAAGGTATCTTTTGTCGATGTATGACTCAATCCCTGCCCTTGAAAAAAAATTAAAAAAAATGCCTACGTGCGCACATGAACGAAGCTATGTATACATATGACGTTACTGGCGATCAACGGTCCACACCTAGTCGAGCAGCGGAGGCCGACTGATACACACATACATTGACAGTACCGCGAAACATATGATCGATACCCGAAGGTCGGAAATATTTCTCCGTGATTCTAAAGAATAAATTTAAGTGGAAATTTATGATGAGTGAAATATGTCTAATAGGTGTGTAGAATTACCGCGGCTGGAGGCCTATAAGCATACGCCAAAAAATTGAGATGCACCCTCCCCCACTGCCATAAAACCCCTCGCAACCATCTTTTTACCTCAGGATGCTCTGAAACGTCAAAACGAACTTTGAGCGATTCCTGATTTCTTACCTGTTTAGCCACTAGCTGTATCGCCACTGGAACGATTTAAAAAAAACTGTAAAGCTTTCTCGTTCTTCGTAAAGTATTAACTCTACGTGAAAATTTCATTAAAATTTCGGAATTATAGCGTGGTCAATGATATTAGCGGACATACAAACTGACGGACCATAGGAAATGGGTGACATTTTTGTTCGTTATGTACATGTCACATTACATCAGAAAAACCTGATTTTCGAAATTTTTTGAGACCACAATACTTTCTCGTAAGAGTCGTAGATGCCCGAAACGACGTACAATAAACAGGAATAAAAAAATATGTGTGGTTTGATTCGGCCAAATAATGTACACCTATGAGCATGAAAACCAGAGATTATTTTTTTCAAACCATCTTTTTTTTACAGGTATAGAACTAATCAAATTTCTGGTAGAATTAAAAGACACAGACTACAGTGGTCTGAGACCGCGCTTGATGGGTGCAATGCTGGCCATGGACCTTTTCCAGGATATCTTAAACAATATTGAGGCTGTGATGACCAGCAGGAGTGTACATGATTGTTTGTTCAGCCCCCAGCACATGGTCAGCACGCAGTGCCAAAGCTATTTCTTGTTCATTGGACAATTTGCGAGGAATGTTAGGGGATTGAAGATGCTGGAGGGGATCAATATGTTCCAAAAGTGAGTCAAATTCCTTTTGTTCCTTCGATTTAACTTTAAAATTGAAGCACACTTTCAGCATGTTAAAACATGGAAAAAATGTATTGGTCTGGAAATGCCACGTTTCCATAATACTGGGTGTTTGAAATTGACTGTATTTGATGATTCACCTTACATTTCTCGACACCAGAGCTTTGATACACATAAATGTATTTTCAAATGTATAACATTGTTTTCTAAAACACTTACATCAGAAATGTTTGTGTTGGCAGTTTTATTTGTTTAGTGTAAAAATATACGTCACTAGTTTTCGCAAGAAATCATCAAAATGAAGTCAGATTGATTCTACTTAAAATCTGCCTCTTGGAGTTTTTCCTTCAGATGCATTGTTTTCCAGATAAATTATTTTATAAGACAGTACATCAATCTGTGTATTAAAAAATAGTCTCCGAGGCTGCTCCAACATAACTAAAATCTCTAATAGTCATTGTACAAGCAAAGTCAAAGTATTCTGTGAGATACATTCCATAGAGAGAGAGATATGAAATGAGCTGCCGTAGCGGCATCTATGAGAATTTCTGCTTTCCACAATAATTAGAAATCCAGAAGGTTAGTGTGTTATAGATGATGCTGTAGCCAACAATAACTCAATGACCATATCATTGGATACTGCGCCATCTATGAGACATTAACCTGTTCAATATAGATTTCTAATTATTGCGGAGAGGAGAAAAAACGCTGTGACAAATTCTCATAAATGGTATTTCATCTCGCATACTTTTTTGCACGCTGAAATTCAGTATTAGGTTGGCTATCTTCAGGGGGAATGCGTTAAATCAATGCTTTTATGGATTATTATCAAGAAAATTGAAGTGGAAAAAAAAAGTTTACAATAACATGGAAAAGGTAGAATACGTTATTTGATGGTGACACCCTGTATTTATTGTAGATTAAAACAACTAGCAACGACTACAAATCACGACTGTTACGTGAAGCTGATAATTTCCTCGATGGAGTACATCTTTCCTGGACCCTGTAGAGATATCTTAGAGGCAGTTTTAACATGTAACTCTGACAGTTCGAGATTGTATGCCACACAGTTCCTACACGTACTATTAAGAGCTAGAAATCCACTGTTTTCAACTTGGGCGATTCAGTTGCTTGTTAATCAGTTGAGCGATAAGTCGAGGTAAGTAATTCTTCCAAATTTTAACATCCTCAGTAAAAGTTTAGTGAATCTGCATTTCCCATGCAACGCTGTCATCCATACTAATATTATAAAGGAGAAAGTGTGAATGTTTGTTAATCAGTGACGCCAAATTGATGAACGGATCTGTGTTCATCATTTAAAGCAGTGTCGGATTTAGAGGAGGGCGCGGGGGGCGCGCGCCGTCCCTAGACGTCTGACACTTGCTTTTGTAATCTAACACCATTTTGTGTTGGTTTCTGACACATCATGGCGGCAGAGGCATACTACTGTAAGTTATAGCTATAGGAACTGAACATTGCGAATTTTTTTGGTATCCTTTGGTATTCCAAACGCGGTACCTCTCCAACACTTACGATTACAGCCCAATTCTTACGATATATACGAGTATTGTGACTTGTGACAGATCTAAGTCTTATGTTCAGCTTAAGATAATTGACATTCCATTTTTGGGAAGAAATATCGATTGAACTTTGTGTAAATTTAATAATTTTAAATGGATCCAGATCTCCAAATGGTAAGTTTGATATTTGCCTTGTGTAGCTAGAAAAATGTTTAGACACTTTGTCAAGGAGGAGTAGACATGTTTACTTATGTGGTGATTGTAATATAAACTTCTTCTCTGACAGTCATGACGCATATTTTAGAAAGTTTAACGACCTTCACCAGCTTCTTTTATATGATTAAATGCCCCGGCAAATTGTGAACATGTTTTGTCATTGTTTTCTCGTCATCAAATAGTTTTTTCGGTATGTAGCATATTATCAAATCCGATGGAAGTCAGTGATATAGGTTTTTCAGGATGTACATGTCATATAACAGCCAAAAACATAATATCTCATTTTCGAAATTTTTCGCTATCACATCCTCGCCAGTAGGAAGTAAAAATTAAATTTAATGATTTGAACGCAGTGGCAGGCAGAATACAAAAACTTGACTTAGAAATTCGCAAATAATTTCAACGATCTGGTTTATAAACAAATTCCTCAATTAAGCGTCAATTATTTAGTGGCGAGAAATATAGCCGCACGTTTTTCAGTCATGTCATTCAAAACGCGACTATGTGGCAACATAGAATAAAGCTCCGCTAACAAATTGACAAAATATGGCTTTCTGATATTTATTTCAAATAATTCGATACGAATATGATTACATCAGTTTCGCATTCATTCTTTCGGATAAGGTTCGTAGATTCAAATTTTTTAAATTGCAAATGGAGCTTGAGTCCCGAAGGTGTTTTTTTTTCGTTTTTTATACTAGGTTACTTTTTTATAGGTCGGTGGTTTTATCGGCGTTATCTACTCTACATGAAGCCTGTGAGTTGCCAGACTGTTTAGAAGCTTTGATAAACATAAACCCCGACTTGGAGAAGTTAGGTGAAAAAGGAAGTATGCTTTTTGTTAGATTTCTGTCTACTGAAAGCGGTTACAACAAAATTATTCATGATTCGAGTAAGGTAAGTTTTCTATGGAACACACTCAGAGAATTGATCCGATAATATTCTTAATCGCTCTCAAATGGGTGTTTGCAATCTTCGATTATTTTTTATGTCAGCTAGAAGTATATGTATCATACATGTTATTAGCTAGAGTTACCTTTTAACTAGAAATGGTGAATCTGGCTCTTGTAGCATTTTCGTCGTCGGCAATGAAAAATTAACTTCAACTCTTTCTATTACAAGGACAAAATAATCTCCGAACTGAAACGTTGGGACGAGCACCTGATCTACCGATACGTAAAAGTGGTGGAAACTGACCTGTCTGACGCACTTACCCTTCATCAACGTAACGAAGAGGGTAGATACGATAAGAGGGTGAGTAATCTGCGGAGTTCCAGCAAAAGGGACGTTTTTCTACCGCCACACATCTACGGACAGCTGAATCAACATATTGAAGGATATGAATTGTTGATATGCTGCGGGAGAACGGAGAAAATGATCGAGGTGAGACTTATTTTATAAATTTCTTTTATTTTGTTCAGTTGGTAACACAGCCAGAGACGACATCGAGAACCAGTTTCCCTTGTATGAATTTAGGTTCGGCACCTGTGTCACGTAACTGTTATTATTCTTGCTGTCATATTTAAATTATGTCAGATTGCGATTTCTGCAAAAGTCGACTATATACTATATGTCAGTGTTATGTTTTAACTGTGACACTGCTCCAGATATGGCAATTGCTTTGCTGATTCTATTGAACCATTGCAGACATCATATATCACTCGCATATTGGAATCAATGATCAAATAGTTGAGATCTTCATGCTTGATGGTGTTTCTCCAGTGAGATTTAGTTCCAAAAGCAACCCACAAACCATGACAGCGAAATGCAGGTTCTAGTACACGGTTAACCCGTTGTAGGTCGGGGCGACCAAAGCAGTATCAGTAGTTTTTTATTGACGAGCAGACCTTTACTATATCGTCAGAATCGACGGCATTAAGCGGTCATAGTGATGACTCAACTGTCGTCGCGAACTGGTACCTTCACAGTTTAGTTCACTTTTTATTTAGCTCTTTGAATACAGGCTTATTTATATGTGTATGATGTACGTGTACAAATGGTGCTATAAAAGTTTTGCAATACAGCTTAATTTATTGACTTCATTGAAAGTAATTTCCACCACATTCATCCGCCATCCGCCAAAACGAGTCCTTAAACGAGCTCTGACAAGTTTCACCCGGAGTGCGGCACACTGGTTGTTTCACGTACTCAGAAGGTCCTCATCGCTAGGTAACCGTTTTCCTGTTAACTTCATTTTCACATACGGAAACAGTGCAAAGTTGCAGGGAGGGTACTCAATAAGTTGGAGGTGGAGCGTTATCATGGTGAAGGTATCAAGTGCCGATTCCCGACTTTGGCAGCATGTTTTTCATAGACTCTGTGACTTTAGGCAGGCTCTGTTCCATGTACCGCTTAGATGTGACTGTCTTCTGTGTGTCCAAAACGATACGCTCCACAACCCCTCGATTTGAAAAATACAGCTATCATTTTTTTCTTAACAGATGGGGATTTTCTGACAGCTACGGGTGTGTCCTCATCATCAAACACACAAACTTTGTTTTGAGCATTGGTGGGCACAACGTAATAATAGAGCCAAGTCTCGTCACCTGTTACGATGCTATTCACATACCGAGATTGCCCCTCATCAAACATTTTCAGCATCTTTCGGCACCTGGTCGTCTTTTGCTCTTCCGTCAGACTGTACGGTAACCCAGAGAGAACAAATGTGTAAAGTCTCCTCTATCTGTTGGTATGTCACTCCCCGATTTTCGTCAAGCATTTTCCTCACTGCAATAATGTTTTCCTCTGTTACTGACGTTCGCGGATTTCCTTCCCTCTCAGCGTCCTCCAGAATTATCTGTACCACCTAAATATAGTCGTACGATGAGCACAATAATTCTTTCATGCAAGCGTCATTTCTTCTATACATTGGTCTATGCTTAAACCACGCGTAAAGTTATACCGTAAAACTGCCCTTATCTCACTACATTACTACGAATGAACAACTAAATCATCAAACGTGCTTCTGGCGGCTACTATGCACTCATGGACATGTCTCAACATACAGTAACATGCAGCCTCCTGCGTCCGTTTGTTAAATCTTGTATAGTATCCTTGTATAACATGAAATGTCCAAATCGTCCATTCAAAATAAGATACATCCCTAAAGTACACACAGCAACACTCACAGTTTAAAAGCAGGCATCATGAAACAGATAATATAAAATAATATGCATCAACATTTAAAAGGTCTCTTCCAAAAATTCCTGGTGGTTGTAGGATGCCTTACTAGACAGGGTGTCCCATTTTAATCTTTTTAGATAAATATTGCGCATTCTCGAAAAAAGTTTCAAACAAAAATTGTAGGGTTTCGAGGGGGCAAAATAAAAATGACCTTGGTCACGACCTTCAAGGTCATATAAGGGTCAATTGAATGTAGTGAAAAGAGGAGAAAATTTTACGACCGAATATGACCATCGCTATGACCTTGACTATTTCCTTTATGACAATTTCAAGGTCAAATCAAGAAATTGAAAAGAACTTGCTGTAGCAAAAATATTCGACAGCACAGGTGAGAGGTTTGTGTTGATTACCCAAAGGTGACTTTGGCCATGACCTTTCCCATTACCTTCAAGGTCATGTCAAAATTCTCCAAGGAAACCTCCTTTTATGCTGGAAACGAAAAAAATCAACTTTTACGTGACCTTGACCTCAACTACAGTCGAACGTGAAATTTACTGCTTTTTCCATTTCCAGTGTAAAAATAAGAGGTTTTCTTTGGAAATTTTGGCTTGACCTTCAAGGTCACATTTGGGTGATCCTCACAAACCTCACAACTGTGCTGTCGAACATCTTTGTGTGTTGTCAACGTCCTGATTAGACCTTGAAATGGCCTCGAAGGAAATAATTAAGGTCATGATGATTGTCATATCTGGATGTATAATTTCCCCCTCTGTTCATTTCCGATGTAAAAAAGGGAGGGTTCTGTTTGAAAATGTTCACTTGGCCTTGAAGATCGTGGTCAAGGTTACCATCATTTTGCCCCCCTCTTTCGGAACCCTACAAGTTATTTTTTTCCTAGGATGCGTTGTTTTCAAACGATTCAGGTGGAGAAAACCATGTATGTGTTAATTTTGTTTTCTTATAAATGCATATTCTTAGTGTCTTTAATGATTTGTGGGCTTGTAGTTCTACTAGATAGCTGCTATTCACTCTCGCAGTGTCGTATTTCGTGGTTTGTAGTAGTTTAGGCAAATATCAGCAAAACGGCCGCTGTGGTATTTCTCTATTTGGGCTATCTGAGCAGTACAGTAACTTTTTACAATCGCAACTGTCAGATTATAGTTTAAATAATTTAATCCGTCGTTTATCCATTTTGTGTCCAAACTTACATTTCCAATGACTCTAAGATTTTTTTGTAATTTCTAGGTTATCAAAAGTGCCAAATGTACAACTGACGAACAGATCCTCCATTTGAAGGCCTGCATCTGGGCAGTATCTCACTTGGGAACCTCGAATAGGGGCTTTGAATACCTCACCTCCTACGGGATCGTTGATAACATAATCCTGCTGGCCAAAAAATGTCCTGTGTACTCCATCAGAGCTACGGCGTTTTACGCCCTGGGGCTGCTAGGTACTACGCCTATTGGGGCGGACGAGCTTAGTAGAAAAGGATGGTTGTGTACCAGACATGACAGGTAACTTTCTCTCTATTACTTATTTTATGTGTCATCAATTTGGGGTTGACAATTTGCTGTTAGAGAGGTTCCTAGAGATACGTTGTTTGGATAATGCGTATGATGACGCGGCTACTATTTAATAGTAATTCAGAATTACGAATGAAGCAGCTCACTCCTCTCCAAACTAAATAAAACAATCACAAGACACCGAATGTGGACAAAGTTAAAATTTGTGATCTAAAAATTGCCGCATCGTATAAGGCTCCAATTCTGACGATTTTCCCTATGGTATTTTTAAAAATATCATTTTTGACCCTAATGTGAACCGGTAATTCATTTGAAAAAATTATACACGTGTAAGTCGTGGCCTTTCCGTTGCAGTATGTCTGTGTCGTAAGGTAAGTAATTGAGACCACTGACCTTCAAGTTTTTTATATGCGCTGAATTGTTCTCTGTTTCTAAACAAGAACAGGATATACTCAGAAATATAGCTAACGTGGCACAGTGAGAATACTCATATCTTTGAAACTTCCTCTGGAAGTGTCTGTTTCACAGAGATAGCATACATAGAGCACACTGATCTTTTTTGTGTTCTAAAAGCCCTGGCAGAGTCACTGCTGCTTCCCCAAAATATATTATTCCATATCTACATTCTTACTTTTATTTTGTTATTTAGCGCTGCCATTCATGTGTTAAATTATATTAGGTGTGCGCGACGCATAATGCATCGAAATAAATAAAATATTTATACTATTTACTTTCTTACCGTGATGATCAGTGTGTTAAGGGATATCACTGAACTTTTTTATTTTACAGGCACGACTATTGGCCGATAATAAAAGAGGAAATCCAAGATTCATTCTATACAAATTCTAGCGTTTCAACATCTGAAGACGTCATTTCTCTGGACAATCCTTTTGTAGGAGAGTTCGAGAATTTAGAAGATGATGATGACGATGATGTGGATCCAGAAGAAAGTCAGGATGCTGTTAGTTCTCCTATTTATTCACCAGGTACACTACCCATTTTAATCATTTGATAAAGTACATGTTAATGTGCAACTAAATATTTACCGTGTTTAATCGAATAACATAAATTACTTAACGATACGTGAACACACGCATGAGCGCCCATTAGGGGACAGGGGGCAATGCCTCCTGACTTTCACTTGGGAACTAAAATATGCCTAATAAGGAACCCGTTTCTTAAGCAATGAGTGTCGTGTGTGTATTTTTTTTCAATACATCCGCGAAAATTACCTTGCTAGAACATGCTATTTTTATTTAATAAAATTTTAGTATACTCAGTACTACTTGCACTTTTAAGACAAATCTAGAGACACCTCGTGTGATTGTCAGGTCATTGACAGATGTAAATTGGTGCCGGAAGGGCACAATATAGTTTTTAACAAAACACTTGCAGTTCTGTTAATGTAATTTCGTCCTCGCTCTCGCCTAAGGATAAAATTGTGTAAAGTACAGGGTGATTCACGAGTCGTGACCAAAAATAAAACATCATACGCAGCACCGCATTTTCAAGGGGGTCTTCTATGTAAAATTTTTTCCTCGATGGCTTCATTAAAACGATACGGGGTGTTGAAGTTGAGAACTAAAAAACATTTTTTTAATATCTTCAAAACCGTCAACTGGAATGAACTAAAATTTGGTATGCGGATTTACCTACGAATTACGTTTAAACGCAAACTCATACTTTGTAGCAAATTGAAGGTAAAAAAAAAACAGTGGCTTACTATTTTTATTTGGAAAAATAATGCCACAAATGCCCTGTATGTCCGCCACTGGTGCACGTTAATTTTAAGTAGAGACTTTCAAATGAGGAAAATTCGTAGATAAATCCACATATCAAATTTTAGTTCATTCTAGCTGACGGTTTTGAAGATATTAGAAAAAATTGTTTTTTATTTTTAAATTTCAACACCCAGTATCTTTTCAATGAAGCCCTCGAGGAAAAAATGTTACATAGAAGACCCCCCCTTAAATTGCGGTCCTGTGTATGATGTTTCATTTTTTTCACGACTTGTGAATCACCCTGTATATTCCATTTTTTCTTAAGCGACATAACATATCTCAAGTTTTGTCTTTCATTGCTCAAAATTGCGCTTTTTAGTATCTCTACCAATGGGAATGCATTAGAATACATCTTCGCCAGAAGAGCTCATCACTGATGGATTCCATCACAAGGCTAATAGCCGTCTCAAAGGGTTAATGTAATCTTTATATTCTTCTAGAATCCCGTAAGCTGCGTCAATCAACACTACCTCCCAATAGGAGACCGCCTGCCCACAAACGGTCCCTTTCAGAATCTAAAACCTTTGACACCAGCAATGGCTATGATGACGATAATAGACTGATAATAATGGGTAGGCATCGAAATAGTTCGATGACAGAATCTACTACGTCGGGAGTAAGTTCGTGTGACTCATTGGCCAACAAACATGGAACGTGGTAAGTTGAAACTCATTACATTTAGCTGCAGTGTAGCTTTAACGTTACATAAGAAGATAGCACATTAATCGTACTTTTTTTTTTTAGTGTGAACTACTCCAAAACGTTGAGTCCTATACCAAGTTCCTCTAGTTTAAGTACACTACAACTACCACCTACACAGATACGCAGAGTCTCACATAGAATATCTTCGAATAGTAAGTTCTAAAATATTTTTAATGCATTTTCAATGCATTGTAAGAAACTATATAAAAATATCCTTGTTTATATGCATTTTAGGTACCACAAATTCAGACATTTCATCTTCATCGCAAACTGGTAGTGCCTCAAATGAGCTCAGCATGCAAAATATGGTTGGTTACAATACTTTGAAATGGCTAAGGTGGAGAGAAGCCTTCAATCTGGATAAGCCCAACTATGAAGAGGATTACCTGTTCAAAACTACCCTTCACTTAGCGTAAGTACTAGTCGTACTTAGATCCTAAGCTTACTTCAAGTAAAGTTCCTATACAGGGTGTTTCAAATTCCGTGCTCACAATTGGGAGCTCGAAACGGAGATACGAAGTTGGTTAAATTGGGGCGCATTTCGGTAACTAAGAAAACGGCACTTGAAAAGCTTTCACACTGTATCAAAGAACTGAGCATATGAAACCTATGTATATCTGTATAGCCAGCTTTAAAAACAATAGTTTCCCATAGTAGCTTTTACCCCTTATTTCAACCACTTAAGTCCAATTGTCACAACCAAAGGTAGGCTATGTCCGTCTCTAAGGCCCGTATCGTCAGTCGTTCCTACAATTGTAGGGCGCCTTTATGGCCTCCTTGATTGTCATAGTTTTCTACTTCTCCGTGTCAGCGCTCTATTTTGAGGTTATGTCACAAATATCAATTTGCATCAAATTGTGCTTGGTTTTGAGTTATATCATGTTTTATCAGCCTGAAATTTCCTACAATTTAAAAGGAAAACAAATCTTCACAATAGGAGAGCGCTGACGCTGACACGGGACAAGTGTAATCTAGAAATTTTTGAAGGAAGCTGCAACGTTGTCGAGGCTTTTATTTACCCTACAAGGTTTCTATCAGTTACATAAAATACTACTGTTTCCAATATTTTCATTACTATCCTCAGATAATATGAGAAAGTTTTAGCATTATGTTGTTCTTAGTATCGTAGTATCACTTACCGTTTCCGTTTTGAGAGTCAAATTTGAAACACGCTCTATATTCTTTGTAACATTGCCTTCTATATCCCTAATCGATTGTGTTGAGACGTGAGCATAGTTACAGTGAAAAGTAACTATAAAAATTAATATTTTTTACAGGCCTACGACTCCAACGTTAATAGATGACTTTCAAATAGTAGACACCAGTGTGAGTACGGCTTTTGGTGTGGCGAAATTTGATGTGGAGTCCACTACTCCAGCCAGATGTGATCGTAGATATATGGGAATCTGTTTACCTAAGGTACAAGTACATATTATTTTGCATTGCCTACTCTGGTTCACGAATTAAGCCAAACATTCAAAAACACCTAAACCCAAAGTTCTTTGAATTTGGCATATGCTTAACTCAATTTTAAAAAATCCGATTTTTTTGACAAACTATTTCTATTGTAATTTCAGGTCCTTTTGGATTTGTTTCCACCTCAAGAAGAGATTCTTAGGGAACCGAAGGTATTTCCAGAGAGTTTGTCAACTTCAGAATGTGAAGGTATTGATCCCGAAGGGGAATCGATAAAGTCGAAAAGCTGGAGACATTGGAAGAGGTACTGCTTCTATTGTAGCAGGCTGGATGGCGAAGGGGACGGTAATAAAGACGAGAGGATTACAGGTAAGCTTTTACTTGTACTCAAATTCAAATTGGTTACATAAGAAAATAGAAGTAATACATAACAATAATAAAATAATTCCAAACCATATGGTGCATCATCCTGTTTGTTATTCTTACAGTTTCTCAGTTTTGATTTAAAAATATTCGGACTATTTAGTCGTTTTATATCTGAATGTAATTCGTTGCAACCCACATTTGCGCTATACAAAAAAAAAATTCGCAGTAAAATTGTATTATGAATGATTTGCTTACTGTATAGAGTTAAACTCTTAAAGTATCATCAGCACACATTTGGATTTCGCAAGTTTATAGTATACTGGGCAAATCATTTATATCCAAAGGGTACTATAAAAGTTTTGCAATACAGCTTTATTTATTGACTTAGTTCAGTCATTTCCACCACATTCAATGCACTTCTCCAGATTCTGTGACTTTAGGCAGGCACTGTTCCGTGTACCACAATAAACTGCTGGTGTATGAAGGTGTAAGGTCAAGCATTTTCCTCACAGCAGTAATGTTTTCCTCTGTTACTGGCGTTCGCGGCCTTCCTTCCCTCTCAGCGTCCTCCAGAGTGAAATTGCCCCTTTGTAATTCTCCGTACCACCTGAATATAGTCGTACGATGAGGGCAATCATTCTTTAATGCAAACGTCATTTCTTCTAAGCACTGGTCTATGCTTAAACCAGGCGTAAAGTTATACCTAAAACTGCCCTTATCTCACTACGTGACCATATTCCGCACTTTACACTGTCAATACGAATGAACAACTGAATCAACAGACGTGCTGCTGGCGGCTACTATGCACTCATGGACATGTCTCAACATGCACCCTCCTGCGTCCGTTTGTTAAGTCATATTGCAAAACTTTTATTCCTTTGTATAAGATGAAAAGAAGTGGTTTCATTATACAACCCTGCGAAACTCCGGAATCATTTCCCATATTTGATGAAATAACGTTAACTTGCATCCTGTTGGTCAGATAATCTGAAAACTATGTCAATACCTTTCCAGATACATCATATGTTTCCATTTTACGTAACAGTATGGCCCTTTCTATTGTCTCAAATGCTCTCTTCAAGTGGAATACAGCTATCACCACCTCATTAGTATCTATAACTCTTCTCCAGTTTTCAGTTTACTAGTCGTAGGACCGTTTCTGTAATAAACGCATTCCAAAAATAAAACTGAAGACACCATTTCAAGCTGGTTCAATCTACTTTTTCAGCATGTCAAACTGACTCAACAGATTTCTTTCAGACTACCACTCCTTCTTTTAGCATATTTAGATACATTTTGTTTTCTGAGATTTTACTAATCGAAATGTTTTTACGTAATGTATTCAATGATCTCATTTTTCCCAGATGAATCAAAATTGGAGGTATTGAAGAACGTGGAAAGGATAGCGAATCCAATTTCAAATAAATACGTGAGGGCGCATCTCATACGCTTCAAACAAAAAGAACCGGACACTTTCAGGGATATCTGCATATATTCTGAAGTATGCAAGGTAAGGTATTTGTGGAAAAGCAAGTTTGCACATACGGGCTCTGTAAATTAAGTGATACGACTGGCAACTTAGCCTTCGATCTGGCAACACTGGAGGTGTCGGGATTGGAGCGGAGCGGAGAAAGGGGGATATGTATGTACATCAGTACAAGTTTGAACTAGCTTGAGTCATTTTTTCTATTGTATTCTAAAAATGAGTGACATCAATTTCGAGCAACGGTGTACTATCACGTTTTGCTCCAGACTTAGCACACGGCAATGGAAACTCTTGCTGAACTTCAGCAGCCATACAGAGATAGTGTTTTGTCAAGAGCCCAGGTTTCTCGGTGGTTTAAGGCATTTTCAGAAGAATAAACGAGTTTTTGGCCTGTAAAAACATTGAGCCTTATTCATAAAAGAGAAGCATATCCTCGGAAGCACAAGGTAAAAGTATAAGGTCTTGCTTCGGAGAAAAAGGTAAAAGTATAAGCATATCCTTGTTTTTATATTCATAATGATTACCTTATACTCGCGAGGATATCCTCCTAGAAGAAGTAAAAGGTTGACTGGCGTTTGTATCTTGAACGACATGTCCTGACTTGTTCCAGCTTGTAGTTGACGTGGGAGTTCGTTCACTCAGCATCACTGACAGTTGTACTCCAGAGCTTACACAGACCGTTCCGTATTTTTACTGGATTCAGTTTTTTATCAAATTAATAAGCATGTCATCCTCAAGTGATACGGAAACTATAGAAAATAATGGCAACGACCTGCAGTTCATCGCAGATGAAATTGCCATTGCTCCCATTATTTTGCAAAAAGTCATAAGTTCCAAAAATAAAAATGAGAAAGGACGATGCCTTGAAGAAGATGTTGAAAAAATACGAATCAACATTCGGTAAACCATTATATACTTATTAAAAAAAATCAACAACAAGAAATCAAGATTGCAGAAAAAACAGACTATTTATTATAATGTTCAAGTTTCTTCTTATTTGTTGACCTAGTTGGCGGAGAGGAAGTACGTCATTCTCATGATTTTCTTCATCTTCATCTGGGTGTTGTTCAACTAACTCAAAGTCAGGATCGCCCAAGCTCTTCGCAACATTATGGAGTACAATATAAGCAATAATTATTTTCGGCACATTTTCCAACTTACGCGACAAACATACTGTAGGATAGGAAACCGGCTTTTCAGTTGGCCGAAACAGCGTTCAATTATAACTCTTTCTTGTTTTAAAAGCTTATTATAATTTATTTCTGCACCTGGAGTAGGATTTCTGAAGTGAGTCAAAAGGCATGGCTCGATAACATAACCGTCATCGAAAAGTAGTACAACATTTGCTTTATTTATTAGTTGTGATCTAGTCTGTGAATTTCTCCATATTCTGGAATCATGCACTGATCCAGGCCAACTAACATCAACACTTGTGAACTTCTGTCTGGCATCACAAGTGGCTTGCACATTTAAAGTAGGTTTACCTTTTCGGTTGATATACTCATCTCCATGGCGATTTGGTTTCAGGATTCCTATATGTGTACAATAAATTACACCAATTGCTGTCGGAAATTTATACATGCTTTGCCATATCCGCTTGGCCTCCAGTTCATTGTTGGCAGTTGGAAACTTGATCGATTCGTTCGACTGTGCAACTATGCTGTTCACAACTCTATCCACAGTCCGAGTTACCATTGCTTGACTAACACCAAGTTCCTGATCAATACCTTGTTAATATCCAGGGTCACCGAGATAGCGTAGAAATATCTCCATTTTATGAATACATGAAAGATCTCCTTCTCGAGTTTCCTCAATCTCAACTAAAAATCTGTCCGCAAGCCAATGTACATTAGCTTCGTCGAACCGATATTATTTTTTGAAGTCACGACCAAGTGAAGGTAAACGAGGTTTGTACGTTTTAACATCCCTAACATTCACAATTTCCGCCATCATTTTTTGACCACCTTTCGTTACGAAGTTGAGTCTACTACTGACCACACACAGAATTTTTGAAGGATCTGCTTCCTATACCAAGTATAAGGTGAAGATTATGAATATCCTTTTACTTATGTATCTGCTTTGAAGGATATGCTTATACTCAAAAAGTAAAAGCATTTACTTCAAATTATTATAAATACCACCTGGAGGATTTCCTTCAAAATTTGCAAGTACAAGGATATCCTTTGTTTTATGAATACGACTCATTAATGTGGCTCCTCAGCCTCCTTAATAGACTGACTTGAGTCCTTGTGACTTTTTTCGCTTCCCGAAGTTGAAAAATCACCTCATGGGAACTCATTTTGGGACAGTCGAAAATATTCAAACGGTTGTAACTTACCAGCTGGATGCTATCCAGTATTGGAGTTCCAGCACTGCTATAAGGAGTGGAAGAACCGTCTCCAGCGCGGACTGGCTTCAGAAGTTATTTTGAGGCTGCCAATATAAAATTGTAATTATATTTGGATAAAAAAATTAAAAAAATCAGTTTCATCACTTAATTTACAGACCTCGTATTTTTTATAAAATGCGCCTGACACTGTTTCCGAGTGTCAAATAAATGACATAATATTACTAAAATAATACCTCTAGCTAGATTGATCTTCTCATCACAGAATTTCGATCCCTCTTAGTTATATCTTATATTACATTCAGCAACTTCAATACATTCTCCGAGTTTTTAGTTTTTAACAGGTAGGTGGTTGGATAGGTGGAGAAGTTCTTATCTATGACCTGCTCGATTTCCAAACTTAGACTTCCTTGATTATTTATTTTCTATGATACCTTGTAAAGTTATTAGTTTATATTCCAGTAAAATTGCTGCATAAGTGATATGGTGCAATGGTATCCTGTAAATATATATTTGTCAAGATAACGTGTTTTCATCCATATTTCATTTTTTCAGATAATGTCCGAAGGTGTTTACAGACTTCCTACGCGTCGAGTTCTGCACGAACTGTTCCTTGACGTTTGCTTCGATGAACTTTACGATATTCCCGTCAGGTTATTGGGAACAACTATGGAAATCAAAGAGGAACCTCCTGCCACCCCCGAATCTGATAGGCAACGGAACAGTATTTCCAGCGACATCTCCAGTCCTACTGAGTCACTCAAAACACTAGACTCGCTCAATCTCACTTTTAAGGAGAACAAGTTTCCTATCAAACATTGAAGTGTGCATGAGTCGCTTGTAATTTATTATAATCCTGTTTGTACATCGTTTTTTTTTACCGGATGACTGACATAATACATGAAAAACGGCAACGTTTTAAACAATATACAAGAAGTGAAGAATTGAGAAAAATGATGTACAGCTTGAAATATTCAGGTGGTGTATCAAATGTAACTATGAAGATGTTTATGGTTGTTTTGGAAGTAATGTGTCCTAGTATTGTAGCCCCATTTAGGCGAATTATGTCTTTAGGAGAGGCTTCCATATTGCATTTTTTTGTTCCTCAATGGATATATTAGGTATAAGCATATGGGGAAAATCTTTTTCCATGGGGCCCAGCTTCCTTACTTCAAACACCATTATAGACAAGAAAGTCTTATTCTGACATCAAGGCTTTATGGTTTGTTCATACAGTGGTCAGTAACTAATGAGCCTTTTTTAGTTAGTGAGCCATCTATCATTTCTGAGCCTCTATCTACTGCTCTATGTTCCTCCTCCAGGTGATTCTGCAAAACTAGAATATAGAATTATAGAACGGATCGTGCTTCTGTTATGGAGGAACGGAATTCTTCATCGCTTCCTTACTAGCAAAGTGTTCCCCTGGTCACTTTTTTGATAAATAATAAGAGAAAAAGTGTGGAAGTCTCTGCTGCCGGTTAGTCTTATGTCTAAAGTTTTGTGCAGATTGAAGTGCTTCAAGTAGAAGAGCTAGAATATAATCATCCAATCAAGCTGATCGTCTCCCTTTGTAGTCTAAGATCCTCTTGAATCTGTAGGTATCTTTGGAATTCTAGTTCAACCACTATTACCTGTAATTAAATACAGGGTGAGCTTTTAGTGTGGGCTTGGCCGATAACTCTAATATCGCGCATAGTATGTAAAAAAGTTAATTACAAAAATTGTAGCCAACAGTATGAACCTTAATTGGAAAGTATTTATATCTCGACAGGGTGATTCATAACTACATGGTAACTCAAATGTAAATTTTTTTAATGAACTGCCCCGCATTTTATTGTAGATTTGGATAGGCACTTTATTTTCAGACTGTTGAGATATTGGACAATCGTTTGGCGAAAGAAAAACACTTTGACAACATGCACCTCCTCAACTTTTATAGCTAGAGTATTGAATTGTTTGTTAAAAAAAATGTATATATTTATACACGTACTTTTTCAGTTTTTTATAGTTTATACAGGGTAGTCAAGAACGAAGAATGAACGATTTGTCAAAATGTTCAAATGGAACACCTTGTATATTTTAACACTTTTTGATTTTTATTTTCATAAGCTTTTTTCTGATATAATACTTGTGGGAATTTGTATGACGGTTTTTTGAATTGCTAAAAACCGCCGTTTTAGTTTGAAAGGTACCTATTGTAATATTGTTCATTCGCCCCTGATATCTGATTTACAAACAGGTTAGCTGTAACTCAAAAACCGGTAGTACCCTAACAGCCTTATATAAAAAAAGTTTGTGGAAAGGGGAATCAAGGAAGTTGTACAGGGTGTTGCATTTAAAATTGTTGAGAAATCGTTCACTTTGCGTTCTTGACCACCGTATACAAACTGTTAAAAAACTGAAGAACTGAAGAACAAAATATGGCATCATAATTTGTTTTAGCGACACATTCACTACTGTAGCTATAACAGTTATATATATTTATATATATATATATATATATATATTATAAATGTCATTGTTTTAATCGATAGATTGTCAAATATCTCAACAATTTGGAAATGGAACTCTTTAGCCTTTGTTTAAAATAATGTATCGAAATCGGCAATAAAATATAATGTTTTCCATTAAAAAATGTATGTTTTGGTCACCGCATAGTTATGAATCGCCCTGAAGAGTTATAAATATTTTTCAAAAGTCATTTACAATTTTTGTAATCTCTTCTACTATCATTTATCATTCATAAAAATTTACTTTTATCAAAAAAACCGATACCTTCAGATTCAAGTGGCTAGATCTCGTACTATAAAGAGGTGGGAGCTACTTTGTGAGCCACAGCAGACCATTGAGTTGCAGTGGAAGATCGTGGTTGATCCACTCTCACCACTGTTGATAAATTACTAAAATAATCGAATAATCGGTTGTCTCGTCAGAATGATAATAAATGGGACGATTTTTTTCTCAACACAAGCATATACATCAACATGCTGCGCTTATAAATGGCGTCATTTATAAAGCAACTACAAGTATTTCGAATGTAAAACGGGTGCTGGCCGGTAATCGTTTAGAGTCTCGTGTACCAATCAATTCAGATCATCATTTGTCAACAGGTACAACTTTTGTGACCAATAAACAGAAAGAACGAAATATAGCAACGTTGCATTGCCACTAAGACATATAAAATGAGCCCATTTCCAAAGAAAAGTCTAGCAGAGAAACCTTTCAGGCGGGTTTCACATAGTATTAAAAAATTTAATTTCAACCTGACATTTCTCTTTTCTCATGCGTAGACCCCTAAAAGCTAATCAACTGACAACTTACACGTTTTACGAATCTACGAATTCTGTTTACGTGATGTGATAAATGAAATTTTTCGCGTGAGATTTTTTTCAATGTTTTGGATAGAAGTTGTCGTAGAACCTGTAAATTTTCATCTAGCGTCAGATTACACGATTTAGTTCAGTATCAGTATTGTCTTTTTCGTAAGTATCCATCACCGTAGAATTAATAATATGTATTTAAAAATTCCCCATATCAGCAAATGACATAAGCCTGACGGATCTGTCAACGCCAAGTAGACAGAGCCGTATTTTGTTTTGGTTTTTTGTTCGCTACAGATTCATTTTGTACTTGCTAATAATTCTTTTATTTAGATAAGTTAACTTGGATCCAAAGAAAAACGCTACCCGCAGGTTTTACTAGATTTACACCCGATTCATTGTTGCCAACATTACAGCCTTATGAAAAAATGTCACTTGCTGATCAGCTGTTTATCTCAGTAGACGTCAAAACGTGAAATAGGCTTTAGAGAATTGTTGGTTTGAAATCCCTAACCTCAACCACGCCCCAATGTCCAAATCTCTTAAGCGCTGATCTAACAGAGTGAAAAACGACAACGTGACACTTTCGATCCATCTGTCGTGACTCTTATTGTCTTGCGTGGACCTTGAAAGATGAACCGGTCGAGGATGGTGAACGGTTCGCGCGATCACGATTCACTTGATTTCGTGACGCCGACCAAGAAGAGAGCTTCTAGTTGGAAGTTTGCGATTTTCGTTCAGATGTTAATGGTATTTTAGTGAACAGGTAGAGAGAGTCACGTAGACAGATCGTTGAAATGGCGTTGTTGTATCAGAAAATGGATACTTGCAAGAATAAATTTGGAGGAACACAATTTGGCAGACACTGACATAAGAAATGAACACCCAGAAAAGCATAAAAATATGATTTATTTATTTGAAAATGATATTAATAACAAGATATGGTCTTTATTCATCATTCAAGGTAACTTAAAAGGTACAATCAGTGCAATGACAAAATGATTAAATGCATAGTTCAGCCTAAGCTGCTTTCCAACTAAAGCCTTAACAATGACACTCACAAAAAAATAATATACAATACAATATTACACTCAGTTTGATTTCCTCCTGGAACGTGTTTCACCGCACATTTCCAAGTGGCATACCAACATCATGATTTGTCTCGTTCTCCTCGACTGGACTGGTCAACGCCTGAAAATCAAACATATTTGATACCGCACGTGGGAGGTCGTGGACTGTCCTCTGTGCCGATGACGTCAGAGGCAAATTCGCGATACCTCATTTAGATGAGGCAATTCTGCGAATGTCAGGTTCCGTCAGAATGTAGCGGTGGCCGCAGTAGTAGACTCTTCGGTCTCCTGATCAGTCGCCGTGCGCTGTGCGGGTTCGATTCCCGACCCAGGAGGAATTTTTGCTCTTGGCTATGGATGTTGTGATTGTCCGTAGGTGGTAGACGGTCTCTGACTGTCGAACGCGGAGGTACTACCCGCCGGATCTCGTAGGCGGAGCCAGAATGTGTGCATGTTGCATGCACAAGTGTTCCCTCGCCAGAGTCCGTGTGGCGTTCCCCCTTTCCCCTGTATCCCCCATAGCCCCACGGTACCCAATGGGGCCTTGGGCTTTCGTGGTAGTCGGAGTGTATAAAAAAAGCTTTAAACTGCTTTGACCCTTCTTAGAAACCAGGCATTGTTTAACGACGGACAGCCTAACGAAAACCAAATGAAAAATAATAAATAAACAATTAGTTAGCACCTTATGACAAAAGATGTCTGTTCAGTGGTGCACGAGTCCCACAACTAGCCTTGTGAGGCGTTTGACTTAGTTTGTAAGCATGTATATAGGAATTTACGTACTATCTTTCCTCTTAGTTGGCTGATTTTTTTATTTATATTTATGTATATTTAAAGCAAACTCGTAACCAAAAATTAATTTATTATCAAGCGTGTGTATATATATTGTATAACACAGGGTGTTAGGAATCAGATTTAAGTTTAAAAGTGCAGTCGAACGTCTTCCATATTGACACGTGGTCTGTATCCGAAAAACATATTGCCTTCATAAACAGGGTGAGTCAGATTTATAGATCGATTTCTACATATGCCTACACGATGGTATACAGGTTTATGCAGCATATAAAATGGAAGTCTCAAAACAGAGAGAACAAGGTGGTTGAAATAACGAAAGGTTGAGCATGTTTCAAGTATATCACAATAAATTTTGATTGATGAAGTATCTCCAATACTGTCAGTCACTTATTACATCCGATTATAAACTCCAGTTTAAGGATTTTTATTTGTATGTTTTCAAGACGCCGTTATGATATTTAATTTAAAGATGTCACTAGAAATGTGCAGTCGCTAGTTGAATTTTATATAACTGATACAAATAGACTAATTCTGATTCACCCTGTATGTACCATAATTTTACACTCCTTTCAGTATATTCATCATGAGATTAATTTGTTGTATTTTTAAATAAAGATTATATTTCCTTTCATTAAGTGTTTTATTGATCTCATGCCTCTATTGGGAAGAAATTCAGTGACACTATTAATGGAAATCAATTTTAAAGCGGGAGGACCTCTTCAGTTGCACCTCTTCACGTTTCTGATTCTGGTAGAGAATTTTTCGCCTGATTTGGGTTAACATTTTGTATCAGGATTGCAGAACTAGCAAGACGTAGTTATTCGAGATGTTTGAATTTCATGCCAGTTTTGAAAAATGAGGAAAATTACCCCCTCGCGTTTCTGCAATCCTCTTAGCAAATGTCTATCTGATCTTTAACTTCAAGAAAGACTGGTCCGATGTGCGGATTTCATGAGCTGCAAATGTGTACCAGGATCGCAGAACTAACGACCGGTAATTGACCAAAACATTTAGAATTCCCCGCAAGTTCTAATGAATCGGCAAAAACAGCTTTACAATAGCTCCTTGCATTTCTGCGATCGTTGTAGCAAATGTTGGAGATTCTGTAAGAGAAATTTAGTCCGATAATAGAGATAATTATTATCCTCGTTAATTTTCTCACACTATAGGTAGCAAAGATACCTCTTTTTACCTTTTCGCGCTTATACGAAGCTAATAGCAATGTTATTAGTCATACGTGAAAATGTTACGAATCAACAGGGAAAATCAGCTTCAGTGTTGTATCAAAAAGTTCTGTATATTTTAGTGTGAGTCCCAATACCCACTCTTAATCCACCACAGAGTGCTAACACCTATTATTAATATACTCAACTGTTAACACCTACACTTAATCCACCCTTGAGTATTAACACCTACTATTGACTCACCTTACTTTAACTATCCAAAAATAGATGACAACTCTTCGAATTTAGTCTCTTCTACAATAGATGGCAGCTTGAAAGGTAGATAAACAGAACAGCCAACCTTGAGAAAAAAAATCCCTAACACATCTGTCAACATAACCTCAAATGTTGTTCGTATTTGTCAAAATTATAAATGTTCATTTATTTATCGGGATAATGACACCTTATCAGCAATAATTCTATATTGTTTATTTTTATCAGAACTAATATTATTACTTAGCTCCTTGATCCTGTCATGGCACTGAGCCGTATGGTTAAATTTTCAAGTTTAATGTAAGCTAGAGACTCGTGACAGCAGTCTTGTGCACAGATTTAAATTTTCTTTTTTATAGCTCCAAAGAGGTTTTTCTGCAACAGTATAGCAATCGAAATACCTTACGTATCCAGAAATCAGTCAGAAACTTTCGGAGAAATAGAAACAACCATGAAGAACCTAAAGTTAACCAAGATAGCCTTGCTACTCCATTCACAAATGCTACTATTGATTCTAGGAACCTACAAGTTGGGAGGTTGATGAAGCCCTTTTTGTTCACAGTTGGGGTAAACAATGTCATTCTTGTTGGACCTTGACATTAACAATATTATATCCTTAATCTACCAGACAACTTTGACTAATCTTGTTCGAGCCATTTACCAAATAAACATATGAAGAAGTTTGGCAAGTTGTTTCCACCATACTAATTGGAAATACTCATACTCAATACTCATGTTGGAAAAATTGCTTAAAAATTCCTGCTGGATGATAGTCATGTATGTTGATGTTGAGAGTGGTTGATAGTCAATAGGCAACCATTTTTTGGCTCTTCTTACAAGTTGTTAATTGCACCTATGCCCTTTGGGGGTTACATCTGTATATAAAATGCACAGTTTTTTTTTATTTTAGCAATATTTTAGACATAAAATTACACAATTTACCACCTAAACAGTAGTATTTCTAAATAACCTGTGTGAAAATCAAATTCAGTTTTCAGGAGCTACTTTTCTAGGAGCTGTGATATGGGAATATGAAAATATGCGTAGACATGCTATAAAACATCTGAAAAAGCCAGTAAAGTTTTTCAAACAGAAGGTAGATGAAGGGTTCCATGCCTCAGTAAGTGCATAACTAATATGTTGGCTTTGTTGAAGAATATCACATGATCAGTATTTACTGTGATTTGTGAGTATTTATTACAAAATATGATATTTATTGACCATCTAGCTAGTATCTGTTGATGTATAAGATTATGTAGAAACCCAGTATCACTGACTGGAATCATCAGTAAACACTGATGATATGATATAGATCACAGTAAAGCACTGACTGACATTTTCCTTATAAGGAATCTTACATACCTTTGAAAAATTCTTACCTACTTGTATAATAATATACTAAGTGACATATAAATCTGAACAACCAGTTTAAATGGTTTTATTTTAATAAAAGTTGGTGAATGTATTTATCTTACTGTAAATAACAAGTGAAAAAATTTTCAGCCTTATCAGTTGGACATTCCGGTTTTTATATTGCTTTTTTAATTCACTAACGCTCTAAAAATGAATATTTCAGCCGCAGTAAAGAATCAACGTTCTTGACATCCTTTACGATCGGTTACAATGCCTAGAGTACGGAGACCTGTACAATTTCATCAACTTAGTGAGTTTGATAGGGGCCGATGTAATCGCCTTGAGTGGTGCAGACAACAGTCACTCTGGGATCAGGAATAGAACAGTATTGTCTTTAATGACGAGTCTCGATTTTGTTTAGGCATGCACGATGGTCGTGCCAGGGTTAGAAGGCGACGTGGTGAAAGGAGGAATCCACAGTTTTTTTGTTGAAAGACATGTTCATCACACTGTTGGAGTTATGGTTTGGGGTGCTATAGCTTATGGTTCCAGGTCACCTTTAATCTTCAACAGAGGTAACGTGAACGCGCAGCGTTATATCCACGAAGTTCTAGAACCCCAGGAGGACATTGACCACCTGATCAGAAGCATGCCTAGGCGCGTTGGAGAATGCGTAGCACATCAGGGTGCATCCACACATTATTAAAGGTCAAAGGGCTTTAAAGCAGTGCAATCATTTTGAAATTTTTATCATTTACTTATTATGCTTCATTAAGTACTTATACAAAATTTTATTAAAATAAAACCATTTAAACTGGGTGTTTGGATTTATATGTCACTTAGTATAATTGGGTGTATTTTAGCATAGTGCTATTCTGCCAATTAACCCAAAAAAATGTACAACAGTAAAAAAAAACAATATTTCAATGTTAACAAAACTAGTAATAGTTGTATACATAAGTTTTATATGAAATATAACAGTTCTACAGTTTAAAGAATTAAATTATACTTTGAAAAATTTTGTGAAGTGAAAGGATAAAAAACAACTATTTCAAGCATATTTAACCAAAATAAATACTTTAATGTCTTTTCTAAATTTTTCATACTTCAGCAATTTATATGTAGAGAACTGAATGGAGTCTAAAAACGGAACATAAACTATATCACAATAAGTAATTTTAGACATGATCAGAGATTCATACATGTACATTTTTTTGAGATTATTTTTATTTTGGATATTAGAACATTGTAAATGATTATATATTTGTGAATCATTGGCAAAAAATTGAACAAAGTTTAACAGTGGCATGTAGATCCGATATACAGTAATGGACAAAAATATATACACAAATTAATATTGTGCTGTATTTCTTTTTTAACTTATTTTATTAATACACTAACCTGTATACATAATTCGTTATAGCATAATACTCACTTATACATAAATAAATTCATTAGACTCCCTTCAATAAAAAATTAATTGAAAAAAACTGGAACTATGAAGGACAAAAATATATAGACAAAGCAAAACAATTGAATTATAGAAAACCAACCATGTTTGTGTTAATATTTTGTAGCATAACCATTATTATCAATCACCGTCTGGCATCGTCTCGGCATAGATTGTAGAAGTTTCTTGATATAAGATTCATCAATCCATCTCCACTTTTGCTCTAAAGCGGCAAAAAGTTCATCCTTGTTTGAATAATTTTTATCTCGTATTTGCTTATCTAAGTATTCCAATAGATTTTAAATGGGGTTTATATCGGGAGACTGTGAAGGCCATTTGAGAACTGGTATTTTGTTCATCCAGAAAGAATTTCTTTGTGAGATTTGAAATCTGCTTCGGGTCATTATCTTGCAGGCAGTTTGATCTTAAGGGTATATTGTCTTCCATATAGGGTAACATGACATGCTTTAGTATGTCTGAATATACAAACTTATCCATAATGCCATCTATTCTAAGTAAAGGTCCCATCCTAAACCCCGAAAAGAACCCCCAAACCATAACAGACCGCCTCCATGTTTGACAGTGGGCAAAGTGTACTTGGGGTTCAATCTTTGTCCACCTCGACGTCTAACGTAATGAACACCATCTGATCCAAACATATTGAACTTGGATTCGTCACTGAAACATACCCTCTTCCAGTCGCAGATGCTCCAATCAAGATGCAACCGTGCAAACTTTAATCGGTCTTTACGGTTTTTCCTCGAGATTAGCGGCTTCTTACTCAGGCGACGTGCAAATGACTTCAAATCATTTAATCTTCTACTTATAGTTTTCGTAGAAACACTGGCAATTCCTTTTGTCTCGATTTCGGCTTTTATTTGTCTTGGGGTTTTAAACGGATCTTTGGACGAAATTACTTTTATTAATCTAACTGATTCAGCATTTAGTTTTCTAGGCCGACCACTTCTCTTAGAGGCTTCCAAGATACCTTTTTGTTTATATTTGTTCAATATTGCCCAAGCTGCTTTACGCTTCAACTTCAAATTTTTGGCAATGTCGACTTGACGTTAGCCATCTTTGTATAACTCATTGATCTTAGTTTTCACATCGAAAGAAATTTCTGGACCACGCGGCATGGTCTTAAAATCACTCAACTTATTTCACAATACTTGATGAACACAAACTAATCCCCTTCTGACACGAAACTGTACTAAACTAATGTTGAATAGAATTTGTCTACATATTTTTGTCCCTCATAAAAAAGTGCTTATATTCAGACTTGTATTGTGTTCATTGCAGATAATGTAGAAACAAGGAATTTAGTTTTTCTACTAATAACGCATTTGTTTATGAAGCAATGAAGTATGAATTCGTTTTCTTTAGGTATTTAGGTAAATATTCATATTTGTCTATATACTTTTGTCCATTACTGTATATAAAATAAATAATAGTGGTCAAAGTACAGACCCCTGTGGCATCCGTAGGAAATGAGGCATTTTATAGATCCTCTGAGATCGCTTTTGTAAAAAGCTATGAATCACATTAACAGAAGAATTAGAAAAACCTAAAAATGTACACACTGTAACTAAAAGATGGTGATTTATGGTATTCGAATGCCTTAGAAAATTATAGTATGATGTGATTGTTTGCTGTTCCCAGGCTGTCACTGAATTGTTTGTTATATCAGAGAGTTCCATCCTTGATCTTGAAATGTGTCACTTCAGGTGTCAGAACTGGGAGAAATGTTTCCTTTTCTCATATAATATTGTTTTTGAATCAACACTTTTATACTTACACCAAGATGAGTTATGATAATAAAGTTTAAAAATGATGTTTCCAAATTCTGTAAGCATGCAATCTCTTTTTCAGACAGAATTAACTCAAGAAATTTACAACTGGTGGAATAGGCTAACAACAGGCGAGAAGGTATTTGTCCCAATTTGCGCAATAAATATTCTTGTCTTTGCTGCATGGAGAGTACCCAGATGGCAGCCATTCATGATGAAATATTTCTGTTCAAACCCTGCCACTCAAAACGTGTGCCTTCCTATGCTGTTGTCAACCTTCAGCCATTACTCAGGAATGCATTTGCTAGCTAATATGTATGTCTTGCATAGCTTCAGTACAGGTAAGTTATCTAATAGATGGATATACAATCAGTAATTATTGGTTACAAATCATTCCTTCCTGGGCAGTGGAATAATAATAATGGAGATGTGACATCAATAACAGAAGAGACCTATACAGGGTGTCCCGAAAAAAGTGTGCAATATTCTACTAGCGGTTTCTAGAGCTTAAAATAGGAAAAAAAGCTTATATAAGCATAGGTCGACAAACGTCCCCTAAGGGCACTACGGTTTTTTAAAGGGGCTCTCCTGAAGATCGTTTTTCCTTAATATTTCCGAAACGTGTTGAGGTAGACATAAAATTTGGTATTCTAGCCTAGTTTTTTATGCTGAATTTAAAAATATTAACAATTTTAGACAGTTTTGTTTGGAAGCGTATGTAACAAGGACGGACTCATGTTATTTTAGCCCCAACACTTTTGTGTGATTCTATTTTTGAAATTCAATTTTAGAATTTGAAAATTTAGGGTTTTCTACATAAAAAAGGTACTCTTATTGAATATCGATAAATTGTGCCATTTTTTAATAAAATCAAACCAAAGAATTTGTCACATGATAGGAAATGTACTGCGAATTTAAATGAATTGTTGAATAATTAGTCATGGCAACGAAAATACTAATTTAATAATTGGTAAATATTACATAGATACATATTTCTATTGCAACATAGCTAACATTTAGGCAAAAACAAAAGAAATAAATTTTTTCTACGAACGAAATTGAAGTTTGTTTAAAAAAGAAGACATACAGTTGGATAAAATATACTTGAAACTAGCTTTACAATAAGTGTTCAATTAAATTCCCATTTTGTTGGATACAGAGTCTCGCTCGACAAACTAATGATTGCGTAGCCCGAAAAGTGGAAAACATATTTCTTCTTATTTCATTTGCAGCCTGATGGATTCTTTGAAGTAAATCTTCTTGAGTATTTACTTCGGTCGAGTAAACTAGGTCTTTTAATGACCCCCAAAAATAAAAATCCAATGGATTTAGGTCAGGTGAACGTGGCGGCCACGCTATAGGACCTCCTCGGCCTAACCACCTGTCTGGAAAATTGTCATTCAACCAATTTCGAACATTGCGTGCAAAATGTGCAGGGGCGCCATCATGTTGAAAAAACATATTTTCTTGAAACTGCTGGCGCACTTCAAATGGTATTATATCCATGAGCTCATTCTGAAGAAAGTTCAGATACACCTCTGAATTAAGACGATTGGGAAGTACAATAGGCGAAATTACTTGATCCCCAATTACTCCTGCCCATAAGTTCAATGAAAATCTATGTTTGAAATGAAATTTGTATGGCGAACAACTTTTGGATTTTCATCTCATCAGTGATGCATGTTATGGAAATTAAAAGCACCATTCCTAGATATTGACTCAACCCACCATAATATTCTAGGAATAGTGTTTTCATTTGCACTGGCCAAACTCGATTCGTGGTAAAAAATCTGCCTCCGTTAAATGCTGCACTCGTTTAAAATGATAAGGATGTAATCCTTGCATTCTTGTCATTCTTCCTATCTAAAATTATTATTTTTAGGATAACTATCAAATAGGTATTCATAAATTTTTCTTACTATTTGATCGAGGTATATCCATAATTTCTGAAACATTTCGTATGCTTATTTGCGGATTATTTTCAAACATATTTAAAGCAATATCCATACGATGATTTCCCAGTGGCCTTCCTGAGCCCTGCCTGCGGTGAAAACTTCCATGGTTTGACAAATTCCAGTGAATATCAGTAAACATGTGACGTCCAGGTACTATGCGATTGGGAAATCTTCTTTGATATTCTCTTACGGTTGCCAATGAACTGCCATTGCAAAACCCGTACACAAAATGCATGTCAGTCAGTTCTCTGTCTGTAAATCTTGGCATTTTAAATCGATTTAATAAAAATTTTGATTCTAATCTAGTAATTTTACACTGCTAACAATGTCAGCTTAACGTTAAAATAAGTCATAACAAATCAAAACAACTTTTGTTTGCAGTCATGGCTTTAAATAAGTCATAACAAATCAAAACAACTTTTGTTTTCAGTCATGGCTATGTACTATATAATCAAAAATTCATTTAAATTCGCAGTACATTTCCTATCATGTGACAAATTTTTTAGTTTGATTTTGTTCAAAAATGGCACAATTTATCGATATTCAATAAGAGTACCTTTTTTATGTAGAAAACCCTAAATTTTCAAATTCAGAATTGAATTTCAAAAATAGAATCACACAAAAGTGTTGGGGCTAAAATAACCTGAGTTCGTCCTTGTTACATACGCTTCCAAACAAAACTGTCTAAAATTGTTAATTAAAACCAGCATAAAAAACTAGGCTAGAATACCAAATTTTATGTCTTTATCTCAATACGTTTCGGAAATACTAAGGAAAAACCATCTTCAGGGGAGCCTCTTTAAAAGACTGTAGCGCCCTTAGGGGACGTTCGTCGACCTATGTTTATATAAACTTTTCTTCCTATTTTAAGCTCTAGAAACCGCTAGTAGAATATTGCACACTTTTTTCGGGACACCCTGTATATGTATCAAATGTCTAGTTGCACTGTTGGGCGCCCCCAAATCTGGAACTAAATTGTAATGGAATGTTTTAGGTGCAGTCCAAAGTTTAGGAATGGAACAGTTCCTGGCACTTTACTTGAGCGCTGGAGTTGTATCAAGCTTTACTAGCTATTTTTACAAAGTAGTGACCAAGCAACCAGGGTTATCATTAGGAGCAGTAAGTGTTTCAATGTCATTTTTTATCCACCTAGTGCATAATTTTGAAACTGAATGGGATGTTTGTTAATGTTTATATATAATAATTTATATATTTATAACACATTTTTTTCTTTCAGTCTGGCGCCATAATGGCAGTATTAGGCTATGTCTGTACTCAGTTTCCAGATACAAGATTAGGAATAATTCTGCTCCCAATTATTACCTTCTCGGCTGGATCGGTGAGTTTTCACTTTTAATCCTATTTCTGTAGGTAACGAGGTCAGTAAATGAAGTGATGAGGCTGATTTTTTATCTAAATATAATTACAATTTTATATTGTCGCCCTCAAAACTACTTCTATCTGCAGCCACACAGTGTGGAGACCTTTCTTCCACTCATGGCAGAGCTGGAACTCAAATACTGGAACGGCCTTCAGCTATTTGGTTACAGCCATTTGAATGTTTTTGACAGTCCTATAATGAGTTCCCTTGAGGTGATTTTTCAATTGCTGTCTGACTAGGGGCATTATTATGAACACCCAGTTGTTCTTGATCTGAAGAATGGTGGTGTGAGACAAATTTAACTCTTTCCCAATCATTCTGACTGTCAACCACTGATCTGAATGCACAAGATCTCAGATTCTGTCGGTATTTCCATCGGTTCTTGAGTAGGAAGCCTCCAGCATTTCCAGATGGAGCGCTATATTGCCAGTCTCATCACCTAATTTTTTTTTGTTGTTAAAACAAATTTGTTGCAACACAAAATTCGGGAATATTCCTCCTTACTACTTAATTAAACTTTAGTTACAGTTTTGTGTTTTTTTTCCATACTGGATTTAAAAAACCAAATAAAGATTATAGATATTTGCGTATGTTGTAGGCGATAAAGTTCATAATGGGCCTGGACTTAGCAGGTGTGCTGTTAGGCTGGAAATTTTTTGATCATGCTGCTCATTTAGGAGGAGCTGCCTGGGGAATGTAAGTTTTCAGGATGAAAATAATAAATAATAATGAAATACATCGAATAATTAGCTAAATATGTTGGACGTTGAAAAAATGAGCTTATCAATTCAAATACGCAATTTTGAATAAGTACCATGAGTTTCTACATTGATTGACAAATTATTGGATCTGATGATTCAAACACTACCAGGGCCACCTGTCCATAGAAATATTTTTTATTTCAGTACATACGCTTTGTGGGGCAACAACTTTATTTGGCAGAGGAGAGAGCCAGTTTTACACTATTGGCACGAACTTAGAGGGTCAATAAAGTGAACAAAGTTGACAATAAAACTGTCACAACTAAACCATGTAAATACTAATTATTTGTATTATACTATATAAATACACACATTTGCAATTCACTTTCATTTTTTTAAGTAACCCTTTGAAATTTATTGTGATAATCCCTTATTTTGTTTGTTTGTTTAAGATTTATTTAGCAATGATTGCTAAAATTACATTCTTCTAAAAAACTAAACAATTACATAACGTACAGACATTCAGAAAAAAAACAAAATTTGCATCTCTAAGAATTTTCATTTTCCATGAAATATTCCTTTAATTTTCTTTTAAATATCTTTAAATTACAAGTAGACTTTATATCATTATTTAGTTTATTAAATCCAAGTAATCCTTTCTGAAATATTGATTTGTTAGTTATATTACTATTGCAATTTTGTAAATAAAAATCGATATTTCCTCTTGTATAATAATTGTAGTAATGATTATTCAATTCTATGTAGTATTCTTGTAAAAGATGATTTTTTCTTTTAAATATTAAAATAAGAACCAAATATGATATGAAATTTTTTATAGTCAACCACTGCAATTCTTGTAACATAGATTTTATTTCGGTGTACTTATTTTTATTAAATATTATTCTCATAGCTTTATTTTGCACGACTTGTAATTTTGAGAATACAGTTTCATTGGCAGTGAACAAGTTAGTTGAACAATATATGGTTTGTTTGTACAGCCTGTTTGCTGAAAATGAGCAAACTAATTGTCAGTGACAAGTGATGACCTAGTTTACTCAGTTAGCTGTCACTGACACTTCACTGACTGTATAAATTGCGTACATGAGAACGTTACGAGTTGGCTGAGGGAGCTTGGACCGATTACCGGCAACTGATCCACTGTTCGTACAGAAACTTCTGACTGTTAGATGACTGTCAAATTAGTCAGAAGATCCACTAAACTGTCGGAGCTCGAAATCAAGTAGAATCATTATTCGAATGTAACATTTTTCAGCATGATGCAGACAATTTAAGAAAAGTTGGGGTATGTTGATTTGCTGTAAACCAAAATGATTTAGGATTTATCGTCCAATTGCCCGAATGTGCCTAAATTTTCTTCTAGAGAGGACACTTTCTAGGAAAAATAACAGCACTCGAAAATGTCAAGTAGATTTACTCAGTAATTACCATTCAATTCTCATTTAAAAGGTATAAACATAGGTTTGAAGAAAAGTGATTCCACTCATCGAATAACAAGTTGAAGCAGCAAAAGTAAGAATTCTGAATAAACATCTGCAGTGATTATGCATGAAAAATGTATGAAGTATTGTAAATGACTTTTAATAAAACTCGGATAGTAGGGTTTTTGTTGTTTTCAAATCCCGATACAAATAAAGTCAGGAAAAAACCATTTTGCGAAAATACAGTTTTTCCGTCTCCCTCCGGAAGTACGTTACATTTTGAATCTTTCATTTTGTTGACTACCTCATTTATGCGACTTTGTATCTCTTACAGTGTCCAAGATCCCAATGGTGAGTGCCGAATTTGAAACACTGTAGACTCTTACTAGAAGAAAAAAGTAAAAATAGTACAAGGATTTAATAACATCTTGAAATAATAAGAAACTAAAATGGCTGGCATAACTACAAGCTCCATAGCTATAAGTTTCACAGAGTTCCCAACATGGATAAAAAGAACTGAGATTACGAAAATACATAAAAGTCAGACAAATCGAGTAATTTCGCATTTTGCAACTGTACGAAAATTTTTCGAAAGATTAGTGATCACAAAAAATCGTATTAATTATGATTCTTGAAAGATTTGTCTTCTATTCTTCGGATTTTTCTTACTGTATCTTCGTTTTGCTGTGCTCACCCGAAAATGTTACAAGAACTAATTGCTGTTGAATTGTGGCACTGTTTTCTCCACCAGATTCACATATTTGGGTGTCATTCTCTCCTCCAGAAGAACTTCAAGGACTTCATCTTCTTGGTATATCGCTCAGTTTTTTTACATTGAAGCAGCCGAGCATGTGAAGCTTACATGCCAGGGCACCGCGGCTGCTATGTGGAGCTTGAAGAAACTTTGTTATTCCAATTTTTGAACTACCTAAGGTTAGTAGAGCTGGGGAAAGCTCCTCCTGTAGATTGTTCCAGGATCTCGCCACCCTTGGGATAAAGGAGCGGTCTTATCGGACAGTTCTGGATGTACGAAGTTCGACACGATTACGATGGGAGGTCAAAATCAGGCGGGTCTGTCTGGCAGGCACTTCGCGCGGCGACATCATGGAGGTGAGCTCTGAGGAGCAAAGCCCGTTGGCGTAGCTAGATCGCCAACGGCCCGTCGGTGCGAAGGTGTCCCCAGACCGTCCATTAGAGAAGAGTAATCGATCATTAAATACCTCTTGCGAAGCAATGTATGGTTCTCAAGATAGTTTCGACACACTGTGATACCTGTCACTGTCACTGGTTCACTGATGAATTTTTGAAATAATGTATTCATAGATCTTTCGGTTTTATATATTTATTCAAAAGGATATAAACAATCACAAGGATCAGAATTTATACCCACTGAAAATACAGTTGGGTTAAATTAATGATTTCCTGTTATAAAATGTTAACTGATATATCTTACTTCAAATGTTTAACATGGTATTCCAAGTGTTCTCCAATGAATGATGCAATGTAGAAGTAGCTGTGATTATAACCATCTCGCTTTTTCAGAATGGCGGGAACTCCAGCTGCCTTGCAAGCTTTTATCAGGTTTTCTGGTAAAAGCTGGTTTTGCTTCAGGAAGTTGTCTTCCAAACCCTGTACAACAATACATATGATAGTTTCAAAATATTAGGATTGACCTTATTGATGTAACGGCGCCACAACAGACTTTATGATTTTGCAATTTGAAAAAAATGGCGGTGCTCGTGCTCCAGAATAATGGAGATATGCAGATGCAAATGATGAGAGAAAGAATGTATTGAATGATTATATTTTAAAAGTATACCTGGTCAATGAGCAGTTCCAATGGCGGTCCGTTGTACTTCTGTACCAATTCGGTGGCGTCCCAACTTGCCCAATCCCCACCTTCACGAGGACCTAGATATCCGTTAAAAGCTTTCTCTCCCCAAGGACATTGGCAAGGGTTGCAGATAGGGGCAAATGCTGACACGGATTTGTACATCCCTGGGTTCTTTAGGGCGCAGATCAAGGCACCGTGGCCACCCATGCTAACGAACACAATGACAGAATGACGTTACTTTTTTACAGCCGCAAATCGTTGGGTTTACAATAATACACAACGCAAGAGCTGCTAAGAAGCAGGAAAAAATGCAAAGCGTGTGACGTCATCAGATGTAGGCCGGCCGAGCGGCAGGCGAGCCGTGTGTCAGGGCAAGAGAATACAGGGTGTCCTCAAAAAAGTTGGTACTTTCTTTTATACGGCATATAGATCTTGGAAAAAAAGAGTAGCCTTCTCTAGTAAGATCTTCACTAGTCTCAAGATTACCGAGATGTAAGGCTCCGCAAATTAAATCAAACCTAATCCGGTCCTGCACCTCTATCAGGTCAAATGTGAACACGTACGATGCCCATCAGTACTCAATCCACGCGCTGGTCGCGTTGGTAAACAAAACCTCTACACATCGGTTCTAAAAAAAAAACAAAAATGGTACATTCATACAGCAATATCGGAGTTGTCCATATTATTTTACTTTACGCGAGAGTTTTCGAAATGCTAGGGCTTCGCGAGATCGTTTTTCAAGATCCTTCTTTTTTGTGTGGGACGAAATTAAATATTTGAAATTTCTTTGAATGGTACTTCAATTTTTTTTTACTTTTTCGCTGTTTCACCACATTAACTTTTACAATACAATTGCAAACGTCATTTTTTCTGAAAAGGAAATTCCTAACTTTCAGGATATTTTAAGTTACTCTGATGAGGAAATGATAGATAAGTAATTCAGAAATGTATTTTTTTTATATAAAGGAATGTGTTTTTGGTGATACCGTCTATACTCGTGTTCTCATGAAGGGCAGATTTTTTTTTAGCCATGTATTTCAAAAACAGGAGGGCGGTTTAAGTTCTAATTCCCTACTAGTTTCATACGATCGGTTTTGAAACATTACATTATTATTGCCAAATTGTAATTATACCATTTGCGTACCATTTTTTCTTAAAAAATATCGAAGTCAATACCCGTACGCACGCCACTGTTGAAGCTAAAAATTATTTTTGCATTAAAAAATATGCAACTTTATTAACTTTTACTACGTACTAAATATCAGTGAAATATCTGAAGCGGTTCTGAAAATATTTATTAATTTTCATTTTTTCCTAAAACTTCAGCACCCCGAGTTTTTGTAAGGAAATATTCACACCCTTAAATATTCGTATATCAGTAAGGAACACCCTGTATAGTTGTAAGCATAAAGCTACTCAACGACAAAAAGACGACAGCCTGCACACTTATGATTTCTCGTGAGTTTTTTCTTGAGTAGGAAGTGAAAAAACCAGCGAGGTTCATGGACAGTTCACACAATCACTATTCAGTTTAACCAAGAAATCGACCATGAAGGAGCTACTTATTAATAGTTGTGCACTTTTGGGTTCAGATTTTAGTGGCATGTTGGGAGTCACGTGGATAGATAAAAAATAAAAGAAAAGGCTTTATTGGGCTAGGACGTGCATACTCGCATGATGAAACTTGGGGAACACTTGACTTGACAGACCCTGTGGTTAGGTTAGTTAAGAAATGAACACCATGAAGATTTTGAAAAATTTGCCACAAATTCAGTTTGATTCAGTTTTCCACACATTTAATAGGCAGATTTTGATTTGCCTTGCTCTCAACTGGTGTGTTCACCTCAGAATCAAACATGTTTCATACTGGGCATACATGCTCTCCTGATGATGTAAGAGTTAAACTCACAATATCTCATTCAGACGAAGGCAAATCCATGAATGCCAGCATCATGCTAGCGCGTCACACTGGCCAAGCACACAGCAGAACTATTCAGTTTAACCATGAAATCGACCATGAAGGAGCTACTTATTAATAGTTGTGAACTTTTGGGTTCAGATTTTAGTGGCATGTTGAGAGTCACGTGGATAGATAAAAAATAAAAGAAAAGGCTTTATTGGGCTAGTGTGTGCATACTCGCATGATGAAACTTGGGGAACACTTGACTTGACAGACCCTGTGGTTAGGTTAGTTAAGAAATGAACACCATGAAGATTTTGAAAAATTTGCCACAAATTCAGTTTGATTCAGTTTTCCACACATTTAATAGGCAGATTTTGATTTGCCTTGCTCTCAACTGGTGTGTTCACCTCAGAATCAAACATGTTTCATACTGGGCATACATGCTCTCCTGATGATGTAAGAGGTAAACTCACAATATCTCATTCAAGTGAACGCAAATCCATGAACGCCAGCATCACGCTAGCATGTCACACTGGGCAAGCACACAGCAGAACTATGGAACATATGTCTGTTTTCGCGCAGACTTTAGATTGAATTTGGTATCTTCTAGTAGAAAATATTATCAATGGTTATAGATCACCTCAACTTGTATTTTTTTATCTCAAAAATAGCATGTTTTGAAAAGCAATGCTCTGTATGACAATGTCTTTCTCCTATAACATTACACATGATATAACTTGATATAGGAAGTGTGCTTCCTTCAACAATATTCTGACCTTATAGTTAAAGCTTGTCAAACTTACCTATGTCCCATGATAGACTGTTTTCCCTCAGCAACTCCAAAGTTTTTAGCAACAACTGCTGGGAGCTCCTCAGTTACATAGCTGTACATCCTATAGTTCTTTTTCCAAGGCTCCTGGGTAGCATTAACGTAAAAACCAGCTCCTACACCAAAATCCCAAGCTTCGGAATCACCAGGAATGTTCAAGCTTCTTGGAGAAGTGTCTGGGTTCACTATGATTACACCATGCTCCGCAGCATACCTGGACCAAGGTTTTTATAAGAATCTCATAGTCTACATCCATAACAATTTTAGCGCAATGAAACTACACTGTAAAATGGAAGACAATACAAAAACAATTCTTGAGAGTCATAGAATGTAATATATATGGTAAGATCTCAAAATTCTGATGTTTATCATTTAAGTTTTTAGAGAAAAGACTGATGGAGATTTGCGAGACTTCTGCAATTTTTGTTTTGTTCATCTTTTTGACTCTTTAGTTGATATCTTGGTCAGCGCTACTTGACGAAATACCTTTGGGCTCCAGCTTTCTGGATGAAGTTAGCTTCGGAACATTCTAGTCCTGATAACCAATAAATAACAGGCAGTTTTTTATTTTCTTCTGCCTGTGGGGGCAAATAAACTCCAAATTTCATGTTACATCCTAGTTCTTTGGAGTCATGGGAAAATACTTTCTGGAAACCTCCAAAACTCTTGTTTGATGAAACTTCGGTTAGGGCCATCTAAAAACATTGTAGTAAGGGGCGTTAAAATAGCCTTTAAATAGTAATGAATCGTAAAAACAGTACTTACGGTTAATCCTTGCAATGCAACTTTGGAAACGGGGTTAATTTTAACCAGATTGTTTACCGGATTTGCGGATTTTTGCAAAACTGTTAGGTTAGGTCACCGAAGCTCAAGGTTACCCAGATTCAGATTTATCAAAGGTTGACGACACCAAATTATGAACGCATCAAAGCATTCTCCAATATCCAAATGTATCTAATTTATCACAATCAGAAAATAAATCACAAGAAATTCATAAATATTAAAATTCAAATTTGAATTTCGTGTGCAACGTTGCCACTGTTGCCATTACAACAATTCTGCAGTTTGACTAAAAAAATAACCATGGTAAATCTTATCGTATTTTATATAAAAAAGGTACGGTCTTATACGATAACTATATTTCATTGTGAGCTATAATTGTCGCACAGTAGCTATTCAAGATTCGCTCGAGAAAACAAGTTAAGTATTTCAGTCTAGCAAAATGATTCCGGCTTTGCCATCTATGTTCAAGTTTTTTCCTAAAATATCACTTTTCATTTCTGAGCCTCCCTAGATGCCCAAAGCAGGAAGAGTTGCACTGTTTAATTTTTTGTCTCGTCAAACCTGATTGGAAAAGGCATTTGTGTCAACACATTTTTCCATAAGTGCTTAGTTTTAGTTCATACTCTTGACGTAGTTGTCTAGCAATGCCTGTTAAAGTAACAGTGTTGTATCAACAAAATAATGGAAACTTATACCTTCATTTTGCTTGAGCGCTTTTTGCAAATTATGTAAGAAGTACTATGTCTTGAAATCAATACAATTATTCGAAAATTCTCGCACTTAAAAAAACACTATAATATGCATTTAATGACTGTTAAAAAATAGACTTATGTGAAGTGCACCTTAATCTCCATCACAGACTATGAGAATTAGGAGGAAAACAAATCCTTGACATAATACATAATTTTAGCTAAACTAAATCATTGAAGTGGTTTTATTCAAGTTTTTGACTGAAATATTACTTTTCATTTCTGAGCCTCCCTTAAATGTTAGATGTCCAAAGCAGGAGGAGTTCAATTTTTTAGTTTTCCGTCTCATCACGCCTGATTGGTAACAGCATCTGTGTTTACTTTGTAAAATAAAACTAGTATCAGGATAAAACAGTTTTATTTATTTCGACAGTATCCTCAATTTTAGCTAAACAACACATCATTGAACTAGTTTTGGTATAATCAATACTCACAAAGTAATACACTTTAAAAATAAATAAAAAATATGTTATAAAAACTCAACAAAAACATGAATAGAAAAATATTTCCTAGTAGCTCTCCGATAACGGACAGTAAAGCAAACTGACCATTTTTCAAATTTAATATATTTATTCCAACCTCTAAGCAAAATATTTTCGGAAAATGTGATACAACGTCAAACACTTTCAAAGCACGATGGGTGTAAGGAGTTTTTGCAACAGTAGCAGTGTGGATATTCTTATGGGATATTGCACACAGATAGAAGGTTACATAGGAACGTCTAGTCTAATATTCTGCTTGTAGATTGATTAACAATGACGAGTGTCTGATGGACAATAAGATTGAGGTTCAAACACGCAGCTTATTAGGGTACCATCCTGTTAAGTTTACTACCTGAAGCTGACATATCCACAAATTTCTATATTAAAACTTCTTCTAACTTCAGAGAGTATGACTGAACAGGTGATTTGGAGCAGCTGCAACATACCACAAAAATAGCAGCATAACAATTTGTGCTGTTCAGGGTGGCGCAGAACCTCTAAAAAATTTGTTGGAATTCTTATGATCTTTTTTCAATGAATCTTCCAAAATTAACATACAAAAATGTTCGAGCCAAGGCCGTTGGTAGTCTCCTTTTTTTAACCATTGAAATGTCAAACCTTTATTTTTTACATAAAATTAGATTTATGAAACGTCTGCGACCACCCTGAGTTTTGCACTGCTTTCCGAATTTTGGAAATCTTGATTCCAAAAAATGGTGATTTGCTACTACAGCAGGGTCTTTTGTTAAATGGACAACTGGCTCATTTCATTCTATTTTTACATGACAAGAGTTGATGGTAATTCAGAACAGATAAGTAGCATTCTAGCTATTGATTGTGTAAACACTTTGTTTACCAATATCGACGGATTATATGGGAAGATAAAGTCCAATTTTGTGTTCATTCACACTGCGACACTTTAGATCAAGGATGTACCAGGTCTGTAAATTAAGTGATGAGACTGGCAACGTAGCGTTCGATCTGGCAACACTGGAGGCGCCGGGCTTGGGGGGGGAGACAGGGACACATGTTCCACTTTCAGTACAAGTGTGAACTCGCTCGAGTCATTTGGTTGTCCGTAGCGTTTCTTTTTGTGAAACAGTTTTTCCTATTGTGTTGAATGAATTAATGACATCAATTTCGAGCAACGGTGTGCTATCAGGTTTTGCTTTAGACGAGCATAGTGCAATGGAAACTCTAAACAGCAGGCCTACAGTTTTCAACAGCCCAGGTGTTTCGGTAGTCAAGGCATTTTCAGAAGGGAGTGAGTCGATTGAAGGTGAACCACGAAGCGGAGGACGTCATCTTCAGGAACTGATGAGATTATTGACAGAATCCGGGATCTTGTGCGTTCAGATCGTCGATTGATCGTCAGAACGATTGGGGAAGAGTTAAATTTGACTCACACCACCGTTCAGCAGATCAAGAGCAACTGGGTGTTGCATGGTTGCTCAGTCTCCCTATTCGCCAGAACTTGAGGCCTTGTGTTTGTTTTCTCTTCCTGAATTTGAAAATATCATCTCAAGGGGCAGTCGAAAACATTCAAATGGCTGAAGGCTATTCCAGTATAGGAGTTCCAGCACTGAAATTGTGTTGGAATAAATAAAGAAATCATACTCATCACTTAAGTTACAAACCTCGACCCTTTATCAAAAAAAAAAATAAGGGTACCAAGTATGGCCACATACATGAGTTTATCAAATGACTTTTCATATCTGTCTGGTACCAAGTGAGATGCAATAGTTTTTCAAGTTCCGTTTTCATATCCAATATTTGGTAAAAAATAATGCCTTCTAAAGTACTTACGAAATCAAACATGGCTACTGTTTGTGATATAAAGCTCCACTCCCTCATTTAAAGTGGGAGAAAAATTGCAGATGGCTGATGTTCAAAAACACCATCCTCTACAACTTACTTTTTATATAAGGGGCAATAATAAATTCTTAGTTCTTGAATTACAATAGCATTCATAAAATAGATCGCATACACTGGATTGTAGCACATGCTGAAAATGCGTGCTGTGAGTTGTTCAAATGACGTCTAGGACAGAGGTGGTCACTCAAAGCACCTTTTTTCAAAATTTCCCGCACAGTGATTGCCAATCTTAACCTAGTACATGAGAGATTTCAAATGCTCGTAGGCCGTATTCATCACACCCCAACTCAAAAACGCCCTCATACAATTCAGGTGGATCCCATGATAAAAGTATTTCATTCTCCCACCTCTCTCTTTGTACAACTTTAAAAACACGTCTACGACATTTTCGTACGGCCCGCCGATTTTACTTTGCATACTAACTTTGACTACATTAAGAGGATAAAACAACGCGGATAATATCACCCCGATCAGAGCACCACAGCAGAACTCGGAACAAGTTCGTAACACTTGGTTGTTATACTTGGGCAGTCTGTATTGCAGTTCGTCCCTGATGATGAAAAATCCTACGTTCGAGGGCCCGTTGCGTAGCAAAATGGGCATGAATCCTCGGTAGTACTCTCGCCACCCGTAGTTCTTGAGTACCTTGAAGGCGTGCGCTGTGTTACGCAGCTCGTCGTGGTATTTCGAGTCTGCCAACAAAGTCTGTACTCTCTCAAAGGGCATCAGGATTACTTCTGTCGTACCCGAGGCCAGTGCTGCAACAGCTTTTGCTGTATACCTGAAAAATAATATTCGAATTCAAATTCCTACCATAAGCGATAATTTATTGACATGAAACGAAGCTATTCAATCGCCTTAATATTTCTGAATTTTTACAGGATTTTTTTGCCGTTATCAACTATTATATAACTATTATCCCTAAATTAAAGGAAATGTCTTATTAGTCCTTGCTTTTGAAAATCCAAAAAGAGGCAGAAGCTTCTGCTCAAGAAAAAATCTATTTCATGGATCAGAGTTCCAACGGCTTGATGGATTTTGAGATATGAGAAGTCCAGCCCAGAAGTGTTCAGTTTCCTATCCGACCTAAATGGAAAGCTCTGACGTGGAATTCGATAAACATTTTCTTAGCCAGATCCTCGTTGTAAAGAGTCATGCTTGAAGAGTACGCATACACTTTCTGAATAAGGAATTCTTTAGGAATTAAGAAACGATAGAGCAGTGACTATTGTTTTCTGTAAAGAATATATATCTATAAATTCAAATCCTACTCAATTTCTATATCACGGGCAGATTAAACAGCTCGATAAATTTGTCCTAATAATGTCAGAGATACTAAGCATGCTAAAATTGTATAATATAAAAATGGTTTTACATCATGTCATCTTAAATTGCAATGATGCCTTCGCGCAAAAACTCAGTATGTTGCAGGACTTTTCATACTGTTGTAGTAAAACATTGAATTGGAATATGTTAATGACAGGAAAAATCAAACGAAGTATCACTTGGAAGACATAAATAAAATATATTGCAAAAAAGTGTTAATTGAACTTAAAGAAGGTCGCCATTGGGATAGACTAATTCAGACTACGTAGAAGGGCCAGTCAAGGATTTGTTTGCATCCTAAATAATAATAATAACGCCTTTATTTGTTGAACAGGTGAGGGACAAAGATAGAGTTTAACCTAGGCTACTCTTACACTTAACTATTTTTGTCAGTACATTTAGAGCACGATGTAATGTGTGTTGCCTAAGATGTTGTAAAAAAAATATAGTTATAACTAAACTATTCTATAAACTAAAATGCAAAACTATATACAGTATGTACATGGATACATGTATACACACACATATATATATATATACATACATATACACATATACAGGGTGTCCGCAAAGTTGGGGTGTCCTTTTCAGAAACAACTACCCTTGAAATAACAAAGGTAATGTGTAGTGAAACGAGGGCGACCAAGTAAAAAAAAATAAAGGAAAAAGTACTCACTCTCCAGTTGACGAGAAGGGCTAAGTACGTCTCTGCCAGAAATCATACCGCTCCAACAGAAAATGAGATCAGCTGATGCGCTACCGAGCAGACGCAGGCGGTGGTGCAGACCACGAAGAGAGGTAACAAATATGACGGCGCTGCCGCGTTTTCAGTTTAACGTACTTTATAGGTATTGTTCGAAGTTATCGCCGTTTGATTCAAAAACACAGGTGCGTGCACGACGTAGCCAAGCATCGGTGCAGGCTTTGAGAATGGAGTCCCTCCCCCGAATGAAAGCACCAGCTTGTTCAATTCTGAGACGAAGTTCGTCAACCATATGCACTTCAGTTTTGTACACTAAGCGTTTCATTTCTCCTCAAAGAAAAAAATCACATGGTGTTAAGTCTGGAGATCGCGGAAGCCACGCTACGGGTCCATTACGTCCGATCCACCTATTCGGAAATAATTCATTCAAAAACTCACGCACTTCGCGTCTAAAATGGGGCGGTGCACCATCGTGCAGAAACCACATTGATTGTCTTACAATTAATGGCACATCCTCTAACAAGGAAGGCAAAATGTTGAGTAAAAACTCTAGGTATTGCATCCCGTCCAATCGATTTAGGAGAATAAATGGTCCAATGAGCATACCGTTCACCATGCCAGCCCAAACATTCACCGAAAATGTTTGTTGAAAATGTGCCCGACGGACAGCGTGCGGATTTTCTACTGACCAAACATGAGTGTTGCGAAAGTTATTCACCCCATTACGCGTGAACGTAGATTCGTCTGTCACCAATATGCACTTCAAAAAGTCAGGATTATTGTCATGTTGATGCAACAACCACTCACAAAACCGCACTCTTGCTGGAAAAACGTCAGGTTGAAGGGCTTGTACACGTTGGACGTGAAACGGATACAGCCCCTCTTCACGCAGCGTTTGCCACACTTTAGTTTTTGATACTTGCACTTCTCTAGCCATGTCTCTAGTGCTTGTTGAGGGATTCTCGTCTACGCGATTCAGTAGTTCTTCCTCAACTTGCACCATTCGTGGTTGTCTAGGCCTCCCACTGTGCCCACCTCGAAATTCCTCCAAATGGCCCGTATCCCTGACTCTCTGGACCAGGTACACAAATCTGCGGGGCCTTGGATGATGCCGTCTAGGGAAACGATCTGCATACACTCGTGAAGCCTCTGTAGCATTTTGAAGACATTCGCCATAAATTAACAACATATCAACGAGTTCATTATTGGTGTATGAGTGTGCCATTATTATTTTTTTTTTGAAACGCAATCAATTATACGGGTTCGTTTACCTCTACACGCGTGACTGTAACCGTCGGTTGAAGGTTGCATACTGACCTGACTCACTGATCCCGACCCAGTTCTGTCGTCGGGTTGAGCCAGTGACCTTGTACCACTCGGTGATGTCGCGGGTCGCGGCTACAGGACGGTATTCAGCTATCTGTGATGTTGCAGAGCCCTTTATCTCGGTTCCCTTAAGACATTGGTGTATATGGTACTAAGAAAAATTGCTTATGTTTTCAAGATCTACACGTCGTGTAAAGGAAAACCCCAACTTTGCGGACACCCTGTATACATATATATACACATACATACATATACATATATACACCCATACACACCTAGAATATTTAGATACAGATATACATAAGAAAAGATACTGCACGAACATCAGGTAAGGGTAAATACAAATTGTTTTATTTGTTTATGGAAATTGACAGGAGACATTTCCTTGTATTTACCTGGTAAAGCATTGTAAAGTATGGCAGAATTATACGAAAAACAACGCTTGAAAAGTGTTATAGAGTGAGGCGGTATTCTGATTATTTTACAGTCTCTTATGCTCCTGCTATGAACTTCATGACTAAATATAATCTTACCTCTCTAAATCTCACAGTATGTAGTGAGGATTGAAGTGCACTTGACATAAGTCAATTTTTTTAGAGTTTTGTCATTAAATTTGTATTTTCAGTATTGATTTTTAAAAGTGCGAGTGTTTTCAGATAACTGTTGTGTTAGATGATTTCAAGACAAGGTACCAGTAAGTATTACCATTATGTTGATACAATGTCATTACTTTGGTTAGGCAAATGAGTCCAAGTATGCGCAAAAACTATGAAATTTTGGCGACAAATAATGCAATGTAAACATATAGGCTTGGCTAGTCTTAACCTATTCGAATTCGATGGTTGAGAATGAATCGCCCTTCATAGAGAGGAATTTTAAACATCTGTTTTTGATTCGTCAGATAAGCATGGGGTTTGTCCAGATCATGAAAACCACAGGATAAGTTTCTGATGTTACTTTGAAAAATGTTCTCTTCATTTCATTGTCGGGCTTGAGAGAAGGGGAACAGCTTCTCAGAAAACTTTATTAAACTACAATAAGTACAGAGACCGAAAATGGTATTCGACGAAAAGTAAGTAAAAGCGAGATTGGACGACAAAAAGTGAGAAAAAGCCAGCAACTATGTATAGACAAAACAAACGCCATGTCAAGGTAGCAAATACAATATATCAGATTCTGAACAGTAGTATAATAATGTAAGTGAACCTTCTTAAGCTGTGACTTATGCACAGTTTAGTGTAAATTCTTGATGAGTGCCTCTACCTTACCTATTCATTCCTTGGTCGACAAGTCTCCGTCGCACCTCTTCATATACTCCAAACATAACTGAAAGAGACAAAGTCTTCTGGCATAATGGAGGTAAGATTCCTCTGTAGAGGAAGTGAATCCCTTCTGAATGTAACTGGCTATAAGCATGTTGTAGTTTAACACCATGTAGCATCTGAAAGCAGACAATAATAATAATAATAATAATAATCTATATTCCAAATTGCACAATGACATTACAAAAATTGTATAGCCACTACAAAATGAAATGTTGCGTCACTGTCACCATAACTATAGTAGTTTACCTGAGACCTTTGTTTTGTGTTACATGGTTATTTATCTTAAAACAGCTACTATCTTATACTATTACAACTCCCATAGAACTCATCTATTGTATAAGGCTCTGACTGTACTAGAAATTGCTTAATAGTCTTTTTAAATTTATGTAAACTGTTTATGTTTTTAATTTCATTTGGTAGATTGTTAAAAAATTTTAAACACATGTAAATAGGGCTTTTTTCTGTGGAGGATAATCTGTGTATTGGATAAGTAACATTGACTGTTCGAGTATCATAAACAGTTTGTACCTCAAGCTCAAATAAATTTTTATTTTTGAAAAAAATACAAGATACTCATACACATAGATGCATACACAGTCATGATTTTTTCAGTTTTAAACAGCCCCCTGCAAGTTTCATTGAAATTTAGTCCCTTTAGCAGACGTACTGCTCTTTTTTGAACAACAAAATTTTTTTGAATAAACCTATTGCGTCCCCAAAAAATAATCCCAAACTTTAGAACACTTTCAAAATTAGCATGGTACAATATTTTCATACTCGTATTATTTAGATATCTTGATATCACCCTAAAACCATAGCAAATGGAATTGAGCCTCTTCAGCAGTTCGAATACATGTGTTGTCCTCTCTAAAAATTCATCAATATAGATGCCTAAGAATTTTATACTTTCACTCAACTGCAGTTGATGATCATTTATATCGATATATTGTGGCTTAACGACTTTACTCTGCTTAGTTCTAAATAATGTTGCACCAGTTTTGGATTTATTCAGCACTAGTTTGTTCTCAGAAAACCATGTATTCACACTTCTGAATAAGAGATTCCCATTAGCAGTTAGGTCCTCTATACTTGTCCCACCCAACACTAAATTTGTGTCATCAGCATAGCAGATAATTTTATCCTTGCTATGATCATCACAACAGAGATCGTTTAAAAAAACTACAAACAAAATGGGCCCAAGTATACTACCCTGTGCTATGCCGGTTGAAGTCAACTCAATGTTTGACTTGTAAGTTTGACCTCCTTCAACAATTTCAACCCTCTGTTGTCTATTATAGAGGTATAACTTGAACAATTCTAGCCCAGTTCCTCTTACACCATATCTTTGTAGCTTTAATAACAATATGTCTCTGTTGATGCAATCATAAGCTTTGGACAAGTCCAGGTGGAAACCAACCGCTAAGTTTCCCTCCTCTAATTGCTTAAGTACTGTTTGAACAAATTGAAAGATTGCAGTATCTGTTGATCGCCCATGTAGGTAACCATGCTGATGTGTATTAAATAAATTACAGTCATTCATGAATTCTAATAATCTCTTTCTGATGCCTAACTCAAATAATTTTGAAAAACCTGTTAAAATGTTGATTGGCCTATAATTTTCCAATTGCTCTGGATTACTTTTTTTAAAAATTGGTTTTATAAGAGCTATTTTCAAATTCTCTGGGAATGATCCTTGTTTAAAAGCATATTATGGTATCCTCATACAGAATGATAAAAAAACAACGTATTATCATTATATTGATACAATGTCATTACTTTCGTTAGGCAAATGAGTCCAAAGTATGCGCTAAAACTATGCAATTTTGGCGACAAACAATGTAATGAAAACATATAGGCTTGGCTAACCTATTCAAATTCGTAGCAGAAAGTACGTATATCTGAAAATTACATAGCATGAAAGTAGGTTCTTGAATTTAATATTTCCTGTTCGAAGCATTTACATTGCTGATGAGACCGATTAAGGATAAATATTCTTCAAATAATACTGGGGCCCCTTGATGTACCGACTATATACAATTTCAATAACTTCGGCATATTCGCAAAACAGAATGGATATATGTTTTTAAAGGAGATTTCACCTCATATCTACATTCTTCAAATAATATTGGGGGTTAGCTCCTTGATGTACCTAGACCATATACAATTTCAATAACTTCAGCATATTCGCAAAACAGAATGGATTTATGTTTTTAATGGAGATTTCACCTCATATCTACAAACCAAGTCAAAATATCCCAGTTTCTATGTCACTGGTGTACTTGGTGCCAATTTTTCTTGCTAGGCCACTGGATGAGGGAGTATTGTAATCCCGAAAAATTTCTAAAAATGAGATATCATGTTTTTGGATGTTATATGACACGTACTTCATGAAAAACCATGGCACTCATATCCGTTGGCCTGTCTGTCTGTTGGTTTGCCCGCTAATCTTATAACTGGAGAAGTACTGCTCAGATTTTGATAAAGTTCTCACACAAGATTACTATTCTGTCAAGTATGAAAAAGCTTTGTAGTTTTTGAAAATCGGTCCATCGGCGGCGAAGCTATGGGCAAAAACACGAAAAAAAAAATAGAAATCGCTCAACCCTCGTTTTTAACGTGTCAGAGGCTCTTGATCATTTTCGGATTTTTTTTTGTTGGGGATGGAGATTGTAAATGTTATGTCTGTAGTATTAGTCAAAAACGTTCTATCATTAAAAAGCTTCTGTTCCCAGTAACAATGGGTAAATTAAATGATAACAGTCAGATGTATAAAAATAACTTGCAATCATTGAGAAGGTCACTGCCAACTGTGCAATGGGTAACAAACCCCACCTGGTGAATCTACGGTGGTGTCGTTACTGATACTCTGCTACAGGAGAATATATGTATTTTTTAGCAATATTTTGATATTACTAGAATGTACCACTTTAGCATTCTGCAATGCTTTTGTAAATGATGGCTTAACTGTTTTTATCTGGGCAGAGTATGCCAAGTACCTGATGCATCCCTACCTGCCACTAACAAATGTGCAACTAGTTGGTATTATCCTCACAATTCATGTGAAACAATTACACAATAGACTGTCGTTCTATTTGGCATTGCCTGTTTAGGCAAATAGACTGTCCATTACAAATACAATATAACCCCAGAGTGAGTGGTTATGGCACCTGCCAGATCATCAAAAAATAATTTAGCTAACATAGACATAAATATTAGTTAAGGTTCTGATAATATATCTAAATATTTACTCTATTTCTATTGATCAATGTCACTTAGGCATGCATTTGTAAATCACTTGGTAATATAATCATACACAGTAATGACCCTTGATTGACACATGAAATTTTACACTGTAATACTATGTAACTTTATTTTTAGAATGCCTTAATTATTAGAGCATCATGTAATGACAAAGGACAGCCCACTGATATCTAACTACCTTTTATGCAACTTTTTTGTTAATTTGAGAAACTCTATGGTCACAATGTAACCCATTTATCATAAAAAAATGTTTTTTGAGCACTTTTTGATAACCAAATAAAGTAAACCAACAATAAACCATAACAATTACAAGTGACAACACTCATTTTTCCAAAGTTTTGAGCAGGGGAAGAAAAGTGCATTTTTGACATTCTAGTTGATTTACTTAAAGTAACTAGCAGTGTTCAGCATCAATATCATTCAACTGCACATTGTATTCGCTTGCATCTTTTACTAGAGCACAGCAAGCTGTCTTTCATGGTTAGCAGAATATTATGCTACCATCATCAAATTTATGTAAAGTTACATCCAGAAAACAACTGTTTTAGTGGTTTCAAAGCGATGAATTTTAAAATAACTTACCTGTCTGAATATGAGCTTGTTCACAGGGTAAGTAATTGTTACATTGATGAAGGCAGCTCCCCAGCCACATGCAAATTCCCTCCAGTTAATTTTTGGAGTAATGATGAGGCCGCTATCGCTCATTTTCGTGATCTGGTTAGATTTTGAGTTATATAATAGTCAGTCTTTCTATTCAGATAACATATCATTTTCTCATATCATTCTCTAACTATTGCAACTGTACCTTTGTAACCACCAAGTCATCTCCTGTTGGTGGTGCAATCATCTTTCATCACGTTTCGGCTGAGTTCGAATTTGACAACCAACTGTTGCATTTTCAATACTCGTTTTCACTGAATCAAATCCATGTCTAGACATTTCCCAAATAGACGACATGAATTAATATTGCTTATGCATTTTTTATTTTTGACATTTTTTTGACATTATGGAAAATCGAATGAAAAATTAGGTTAACATTTCTGTAGTTCAAATCATAGTTCAAATGCATACATGTTTCTTACACTGTTGCCACAATCTTTTAGTTCTTTGTATATGCAACCAAAACGAAACGCTTTGAACCTTGTCGTGTATGACGTCATACGAGATTATCAACATGAAACGTCGCAGCGTTAGACGCGTGACACGGACTTAATCAAACTCGTAGATCAAGACAAATATTTAAAGTGTCCAAATGATAACATGGCGACTTGGTTAGAAGAAAGCAGATCACAATAAATATGTAGATACTAAACCCGCCGCGTCAACTGCGTGGACGTAGTGTAAAGTCCAAGTCATTCGTTTTGCATTAGTGAGGAGAAGATTGGTTTCGGAGAAAGAACTGCAATATTCAAAGTAATGCAATAAATTATATATATATATATATATATATATATATTTTAATATTAATACCTTCAAATATATGGAAGATATTCGGAGAATCCCCGAGCTGTCAATTATTTCTGTTTATGTATCCAAACATCGTAAGGATAAACATCGATGTATCCATAGATCAATGCTTTAGGCAAAAAACATAGTTGCATTGAAACATCGGGGAATCGAAATATCAATGTATCGGAACATCGACTTTTTTATTTTGAAAATGAAATAAGCTCAATGAGCTAACAGATAATGAGTTTTTGGACAGCGTCTGTAAATGTCAATTTCATTATTCTTGGGTGGTTAATTGTGTGATTATTAAATTATAACTTTTTTCAGAAGAGAAGAGTAGAGTTGTTGTGAACTTTCAGTTTTCTATTTTACGGAGTATCCTGGGTTTGACCCAACACTTACTTCCTTCATTTTCAAACTTCATATCCAAAACCACTCAACACAATATCAATAATCAAATTCAAGCGGATAACCAAATGGAAATGGTATTTACCATTTTGGGTTGGTATTTACCAATCCGTTCAAGCGAGTGTAGTTATCAGTTTGGTTATAAGATCCGTGACGTCACGAATCAGCTGTTATATGTCATAGTTATCACCGCAAAATTCTGGTATTTACCCAACTCAAGAGTAGTTTTATATTTCTGGTTATTATTTGAAATGTGACAAGTTAGAATTTTGCCGGGTATTGGATATTGTTATTGTACTTCACTTCATTTTTGAGAAAAATGATACAGGCTGACTTCAGTTTTACCATAAAGTGGAGCACCTTATTAGTTATACTCATTACGGTTGTTGTCCTATGCTTAACAAAGTATCCTGTGTAGCCATATACCACAAGAATATTAAAATATGGCCATATAAACTCACTAGATGATATCCACCTGTATACGGTTTTGCTAATTTCCTTTTTCATCATTTCTGCTGAATCAATAAATGTTTTCTTTGACATGCGGAAAAATTTAGAGAATTGAAATTTATCATGGCTACAAAGCCATGGTTCCATCATTAAAAAAAAATCTGAAAAAAACATTTCTCCCATGAATATTATGAAAGGTTTCTTATTTAAACTTTCCATATACAGTTGTAGACGAAAAAGCACCGATTATTAAGTGATAATAAAAATAATCAGATATTATATACGCGCTTTTCTAAAATACACAACTTGCAACAAAACCGCGGTTAAAACCAACGCGTTCAAGCGATTCGTGTAACTGACGTCATCAACCCGTGTGTCATTTTGAACCATATTATAACCGCGGCACATAACACAGAAATTTTAGTTATTCGCTTGGATTTGATTAATATCATATTACCTCATCTCAATTATCTGTGATCTGGAACCAACAATGTGCCATTAATTATCTTATCGTTTAGTTACTTATTTCATATGAGATTAGTAATAAAACTAATCTATTAATGCATAGTTGAGCTCTTTCAATTTAACGTTATCATTTTGATTGGGAAATCAAACATGCCTCGCAAAGCTGATGTCGCCGACGTTCATATATGGTCTAGAGCTACCACTACACAGTATTATACTTGAAGTAAAACCAAACACTACAACATCTAAATCAAGACGATAACTAAGAAAATACATTTCGAAACGCAGTAAATGCACGATACGAATGCCATATTTATATAACCTTAATCATTTCGGTCGGACCAGCGACTAATCGCTTCCGTTCCAGACACCTCATGTCAAATTCTGTTGAGCCGTTTGGGTAGTAGCACGTGAAATGGATATTTCAAAGTAAAAAGCAAAGACAAGAATATATGCACTATTCCTGACCTACCTAACAGTTCATCTAGATCCGTTCAGTCATTTTGGCGTTATGGTAAAAAATATCAACACTTTCTCATTAATACGTAATATTAGTAGGATTGTAAGATTTATAAAAGTGTTCTGATTCACCAGCAGATGGCCGTCTAGTGACAGCCAAGCCGTATTATCGAAGCATAGATTGTCGATTTTTTCGGAAACCATGATGCTTCGCGATATCGCTGGTTATTATTTGTTAAGAAAAGCCTATATAGTCATAAATCCAAACTAAATGATGATGATGATTTGACAGAAAAACACACTTTTGTTTTGATGTGGTTATAAAATATAAAAAGGAAATCAAGACCATTTATAATAAACTTTCTTTCATGACACAAAACACTTTTTTATAAATCTCTAATGTAGGGTCACGACGTTATTCACGAAGCTTTATTTTCAACGCGTCTATTTTTATCAACGACAATGTATATTCTGTAGTGAATTTTAAGCTGCAATAATGCGTATTTGTTTTCAAAACACATACAAATACCGGTGAATTTAAACCAGTAGTGGATACTAGTAAGAAATGGAAGCTAGACAACGTCGCGCACACTTCATCTAGTCCTTATAATCAAATTCAAGCGGATAACCAAATGGAAATGGTATTTACCATTTTGGGTTGGTATTTACCAATCCGTTCAAGCGAGTGTAGTTATCAGTTTGGTTATAAGATCCGTGACGTCACGAATCAGCTGTTATATGTCATAGTTATCACCGCAAAATTGTGGTATTTACCCAACTCAAGAGTAGTTTTATATTTCTGGTTATTATTTGAAATGTGACAAGTTAGAATTTTGCCGGGTATTGGATATTGTTATTGTACTTCAGCTTCATTTTTGAGAAAAATGATACAGGCTGACTTCAGTTTTACCATAAAGTGGAGCACCTTATTAGTTATACTCATTACGGTTGTTGGGGACACTGTAAATGTAGTTCCTATGCTTAACAAAGTATCCTGTGTAGCCATATACCACAAGAATATTAAAATATGGCCATATAAACTCACTAGATGATATCCACCTGTATACGGTTTTGCTAATTTCTTTTTTCATCATTTCTGCTGAATCAATAAATGTTTTCTTTGACATGCGGAAAAATTTAGAGAATTGAAAGTTATCATAGCTACAAAGCCATGGTTCCATCATTAAAAAAAAAATCTGAAAAAACATTTTTCCCATGAATATTATGAAAGGTTTCTTATTTAAACTTTCCATATACAGTTCTAGACGAAAAAGCACCGAATATTAAGTGATAATAAAAATAATCAGAGATTATATACGCGCTTTTCTAAAATGAACAACTTGCAACAAAACCGCGGTTAAAACCAACGCGTTCAAGCGATTCGTGTAACTGACGTCATCAACCCGTGTGTCATCTTGAACCATATTATAACCGCGGCACATAACACAGAAATTTTGGTTATTCGCTTGGATTTGATTTATGACATGGGCACTAGCGCGGTCATATGGTGACATCGACAGGTGTCAAAATGTCAAAAAAGTGAAACCTGTAAAGTTATTGTTTATTTTTTGTTATAACAAAGGGAAACTAACTAATTTTCTTATTTATTTCAATCCAAGAAATGAGTTGGCAGCATGACGCAAATCATGGGTAAGTTTTTAGCTATCATAATCTCCGGAATTTGAATTGGGCTACAAACAATTCAGCATAACAAATTATGGTCTATGTGAGGTTTTTGCTTACCTGTTATTTTGTTTTATAGCTGAAAAGAAGCAAGGTCTCACGTTTGAGATCGTCTCAGCTAGAATCTCAGATGTTTTTGACGAGAAAAAGCATGTGGTGTACGCACTCCAAGTTCGCTTCATCTCAGGTAAGTAAATTACTTCTATACCAAGGTTACCAATTGCTATCAGCTTATGTAAGTATCAATTTCTTAGATGTGTTCAGTATTTGATTGAATAATTTATGATTGTCATTATGTTTTCTTCAGGTAATGATGATATGAGCCCTTCAGTAGTAGAGCGCCGATATACTCACTTCTTGAATCTTTACAATGCATTAAAAAAAGAACATCCCCAGTTGATGTCAACTGTGGTGTTTCCAAAGAAGGTTCTCATTGGTAATTTTGACAATGATCTCATATCTACCAGGAGCACTGGATTTGAGTCCTTGTTGAACCATATCTCAACAGAAAGTAGATTACGGACTTCAAAGTCATTGTTAGACTTTCTACAAGATACAGAATTGAGCAAAGCCAAGGAATTCATTAAGAAGGAAGACTATATAACAGCATGTCCTATTTTGGAGAATAACTTCAAGTTACTTAATAAGGTAAGAAATATTATTGGAGCAGAACAAGTTTTGATCTTTTAGCAAAGAAAAAAAAAGGCAGAGAGGTATTAACATAATGAATCATATGTTGTTATGGCTGAACTTTAGTTCTATATTAACATATTTCATTGCTGTTTTTTTCAAAACTGAAAGTGTTTCATGAAACTGTTTAAAAGAAAGAAAAAACATTTTATATAGCTTATCATTTTATTTCCATTATCTAACAGCAGATACTATTGTATGGCTTGTACTTGTAAGGTTTCAGCCTTGACAGTATTTTATGTTTTTTTAATTTAATATGCATGAAACACTTATTTAATATTATATCTTATGCATTGCAACATAATTGTGTTTTTTCAATCTGTATGAAAAATAGTTGCTATGTATTTGTGAATAGTTTATATTGAAAAATGTTTAATGTGCCATGTTAGGTTTTGAGGATTTTGAACAAAAAAGAAATCATTGCAGTTCTTCCCACCAGAGGCCACAGCAAACTATTTATGAACATAATTTATTTTAGGACCCATCTCAATACTTCAGTCTATGTCAGGTGATTCATATTCAACTCCCATCATTGGGATCTTGGAAATAGTATGAGGTATTAAGTTGCCTAAATGAGAGCAAAGTTGTAAATCATTTTCATTTTTATCTGAGGTATGATGTAAAAATTGAAAGTACATTAACATTGCCACTTTTTCTCATCTACAAGATGCCAGACGTTTTGTCTCTTGTCCTCAATCATCAACTTTATTTTTTCTTATAGATGACATATTGGTTTCTTGCACAGGTGAATAGAGTTTTTGTTAAGTCATATTGCAAAAATTTTATAGTACATGTGACAAGTCAAAGAAGAAAAAGTGATTCATACATAAGACTTATTAATTCTTACAATTATAAGAAAAAAGTTAAACCTACACATGATAATGACAATTTAAAACTTGTAAGATAAAAAGTCTTGTACCATATAAAACCAGCTATGGCACAGAAATTTCTTTACTTTATGCTTAAACTCTTATAATTTGTGATATCCCTTAGATAATAATTATTGTTGAATAGGTGGATGCAGTTGGAAAATACAGATCTTCCATATGCTGTTGTTTTATACCTAGGAAAACTTCAAGCATACTGTGTGTCATATTTTTGGGGTTTCTTCCAAGGAATGTAAAGCCATCAGGGCTGCTTCTCACAAATATTAGTATGTGAATTGATGAAAGTGTTACAGATTGATGAGATTTTTCTGTATGACTCATTATAGTTTAAACAAAAAATGAACCTAATGATTTTTTCCGAGCAAAAGATACCCTTTTAAGATCAGTAGTTACCCCCAAGTGGAACTATTAAATTAAATGATAAATGGCTAAAAACAAATGCATATAGGCTTGAAATACCATCCTGGCTTAGGAGGTGTTTCATTTTGAAAATAGAAAAATACACCTTGTTCATCTTTTTGCAGACTAAAAAAGTAGCTAATAGCTTTACACCAGAGTCGAAACATATGACACTGTCATTTAAAGTATGGAAATTGCTCTTTAATAATAAAATGTATAAATGTTGTTTTGTCATTATTCAATATTCCTTGCTTTTTAACATCAAGAGTCCATCTCAGACATAACGCTTTTTATTTTCCCTTTAATCTGTTATGGGGATTCCCCATACACTATTACAAATGTATCATCTGCAAACATAACTTCCCTGCATTTACCTGTTTGGGTACACCAATCGCAAATAGAATAAAAATTAATGGTTCCATCCTTGATCCCTGTGGGACGCCCAATTTGAAAGTACTATAGTATGTCACATCGAATTGCTTTGTTTAAAAGGGCCTATCCGAATCTTGGATAAAATCTATGTCCATTAAGAAAATGAATGTTTGGGCCAACACACAATTATGTATCAACCTGTAAAAAATAAAAATATTTTCTAAGTAAGGAGCATACCTTTGGCTACAATTTTTGTAATTAACTTTTTTTGATACCATATGTAATAACGCAGTTATCGATTCAGCCCACACTAAAAACGCATATAATAATAATAATAATAATAATAAAGGGTCTTTATTGCACTAAACATTTAGTACATTACGAGGGGCGAGGTTTAGCGTGAGCTATTCTTCCACCTAACCCCATATAATGTGTTCCAGATATTTACATATTTAATTTGAAAGATTCAATATATAATTTGTTCCAGATATTCACCGACCGCTCCCCAGCAGTATTACTGGCGCTCTGCAGATTGGTAGCCTGCCTAACCTTGCTTCAAGACTTTCCAAATAGCCTGAAGTGGGCTGACTTGGCCCTCCATCGATACGAAGGTGTCAGCGACAGTGATTTGCTTGAGCTGTATGTACCATTGCTGAACGCGTGTAGCAAGATTTGGTGGCAAAACGGTAGGAATAAGGAAGAGTTGGAGAAGAGGATAGAGGAATTGAGGAAGAAAGGGCATAGGGTTGATGGGGAAACGAATCTGATGGAGGCTGTTGACTCGGTGGAGAGCAGGATTTTTGGGGAAGCTAGATAGTATGGTCTATCTAGTGACATGAACATTATAAAGGCATTGGTTAGAATAACATCTGTTAAAGGCTACATGATAGAGCAGCACTTCTACAATATGAATATAACCATTCTTCCACAACATTAATCTTTTTTGATGATTTGACAAATGATGCAACATGATTTTGAGCTTACAAAATGACATTATTTTGTTAGATGTAGTGCATATCTTTTGGTAGGGGAGCAGGCATAGTAGTCTTAATTTTTGAAAAAGGAATTAAAATAATTCATAGAGAAAAGCTGACTGGTGAGGGGAAATTTTTGTGTATATTCGATCGTCATCTAACTCTTTTCCTTCTTTGCAGTCCTGCACTCCAAATGTCGAGGGGGGTAAATGAGATCATATAAAAAATTGCTGTTGCCAAATAATTTAGACATACTTGCCAAATAACTGACTAAATGATCTGAAATTGGACAATGTACCAAAATGGACCCAAATTTCTAAAACATGCCAGTAACCTCAGGTCTATAAACTATTCCTTGGTGTGTGATGTGATGATTATAATGATCTAAATAGTAGTTAAATGTATGTATATATTCTTCGCAAAAAATAGAACGTACAATAAATTTGGATTTGTATTTGGGTTTTAGTATCCACATACATTAGAGGAGCATCTGTGATAGCACCACACCTTGGTAAGTTCAACCAGCTTACAGTGTACTGAGGCTTTTGTAGCATATACATATAGAGCAAAACGTATGTTTCAAAATCGTTATTTGCGAACCTTTGCTGCCAAAAATAGTTTATATAGATTGAATTCTTCTAAAGGTATAGAAACCTCGAGTATTATCTTTGTCTCGTAACTGTGATATCTATGTTTCCAAAAATCTATTCATGAGTCTTACTAAAAATATTGCTGCATTTTCTATTCGATCGGCAAAAGAACAGACGAATCTCAAATTACCCAGACTCATGTCTTGTATTTTTGCAACTTTTATTTCTTACATCAACTAGAATATAAGCAATACATTCTCAACATGTCAATTTCTATGATGTAAACATTTGTTTCTAACCTTATGCCTGAATGAATAGATATATTTGGCGCTGAAATTATCTATAGACATTATAAAAATTATTTGTTGCCCTCAAACATATAAAGATATATTTACTACACTTTTGTAATAATCAAATAGAAATGTTACTATATGAGACGTTTAAATATAAAGTATATACGCTAACCAATTGTTTATTTTTTGCCAGAGTACAATGTTTGGTTTTGGGGTTGAGAAATCCTTTTTCTATGTTTACAATGTTGCCACTTGAACCGAATATGTGAGTATTTTCTTTCGTCATTTTGATCTTGTGGAGTAAAAATTACCACCATATCTTTTGTAGACTTCCATTGAACATGGTACGTGTCCAAAAAGTTGTAGGTATGGCTTGTTCCTTCATTTCGCAAAAACTTAAAACCTTAGACTGACTAAAAGTCAGATTTTTTGTTTTCACGCTAGGAAAATTTGATGCAAATCATTTTCTTCATCTTCCCATTTTTTTCCACAGTTTGACTGTATATCATGTTGCCTTTCAATGAGATGCCCGAAATGTTGCTTGAAATTTGCATATGCAAATATTTATTTCCATCTGATACCCCTGTTTGACTGGGCTATATCGGATTCAGGAGTTCCCGGAATATTCCCACTAACTTTGAATCTTGGAAATGCAAGCGACACATGTGATTGGTCGATTTTGACTGTTGTGTGTTTTCAATTGTTTCTAACGGTTTTTCGCCGCGATGATCAATTTCAGCACGGGCTTTTTCGGGAGTGTTGTTTGTAGTGACTTATAAGGAAAACTTTACCTAATCGAGAAAATTTACCGTTGAGACGTGAATTAAGAGCCCGTGAAAGATTTTCGGGTTGAGGATGAACTATCCGTACGGTAGGTCGGCAGTAATAAGTACGATAACTTTACAATGTTTTTTGTGCGTATGTGGATGTGATATAAGGAGGATGGTGCCAGTTGGTAAGTTGGAATTTATTTATGGATTGGACTAAATCCGCGGCTCCGGTCGTGGTAAGTATAGTTTCGGAAAAAGAAATGCAATATTCAAAGTAACGCAATAGCAACTTTAGCAATAAACTTTTTTTATCCAACATATTAATGCAATGATAAATTAATTCCAGTGTTTCGCTTTTTTATATATTCGAAACAAGTTTACCGGGAAATTTATCTGATTTAAAATTACTTTGAATGTCATATGATCAGATTGATTGACAAGGATATACGTGAAAATTGTCCGCAATTGGCATTTCATGAATTAAAATTTGATGTTTCCCGTTATAAATTCTTTTGATCTTCCAGTGCGACCTTGATTGTCATAGTCAAAGTGTTGGACATTACATGAATCTCGGTGTTATTCGAGCCTTACATAATTTTTCTTTATGTAACGTATTCTTCGAGACATTTTGCCTTTTCCATACTTTCTGGACACCCTCAAATCGCCAAAGATATACTTTAAGGAAAAACTTCCCCCTCTATATATTTCCGGTGTCAAAAATGGGGGTTAGTTGCTACAACTAACAAAACTCCTTTCTGAATTAACTGTTAGTGGTCCTTCTTCTTCTTTTATTCTTCATTTATTCAAAATTCGATACACCCCCCACGGACGCCACTGAGATTCTTCGCGCTAATCTTCCAATCGGCAATATCATTAGACAATACATTTGAGTTGTGCATATGAGTGCCGTGTGTCAATCGGCGCTCACAAAGACTGAATAGACCAACAAGATGTAGAAGAAGAAAACATGGTGTCAAGTAGATTTACTCTGTATTTCCCACGCAATTGGACAAATGGACTTTGTATATGGAATGTGCTATAATTGTAGTATAGTATCTGTCAACTTTTGCATGCTCTGGTATCTTTTTTATTCAACGATCATGACACTCCTTGTACATTGACATACGGCCGTAGAGTAGTATATGTATCAGTGAAAAACTAACATTATGAACTTTGAATAGTATCTGAATCAACTTTCACACGTTCACCATTGGTCGCCCATGGAAACAAAACCCTTAGGCCCGTATCGTCAGTCGTCTCTACAATTGTTTGTAGGGCGCCTTTATGGCCTCCTTGATTGTCATAGTTTTCTACTTCTCCGTGTCAGCGCTCTATTTTGAGGTTATGTCACAAACATCAATTTGCATCAAATTGTGCTTGGTTTTGAGTTATATCATGTTTTATCAGCCTGAAATTTCCTACAATTTAAAAGGAAAACAAATCTTCACAATAGGAGAGCGCTGACGCTGACACGGGACAAGTGTAATCTAGAAATTTTTTAAGGAGAGAAAGGAATATGACAATCAAGGAGGCCATAAAGGCGCCCTACAATTGTAGGGACGACTAACGATACGGGCCTTAGAGCTGGTGATGTTATACGAATCCATATAATTTTTTTTTCTGTTTTCTCTGACTACATGACATTATGTCGTTTTTTTTGACACATTCAGTAATCATTTTCTCACATAGCAAATATCACTGATTTCATACACATGCAGACCAAGGCACACAATCACCACACCATCATCCAGATGCGATATACTCAACCAATTTTCTTTCTGTTACATCTTCTCAAAGATATAATCTTCAAGCACTCGGCATTCTGTAACCAACAAAGCATGCTGGTGAACTGACTTCTTTTAATTGAATAATTTTTTTAGCGAAAAAATAATCACAAAATTACTATTATTATTCGTACTAGACCAGATATATTTTTATTCTCTTTGCCTGATATTGGTGTGCCACATACGCTGATTCTTCGCATCTGGGGAGTCACCGAAGATACTCGACGATTTGGCTACATAGCCTAGGCCTAGCGGTTCGTGACAAGTCCATGTCTGAATTCTATGATTTGTATGTTTTTGTGTACTTAATAATTCAGAATTCGGCCAGTATTAGTATTGCCTGTGTTGCAGTAATTTTTTTTAGCGTGCGTTCACAATCTAGAATTAAGAAATGGCTGATAGGGACAGTGGTGGTGAGGGTAGTAGCACCGGCGTAGTAGCTATAAAAAATGAAGTGTGCCCAACATTATAAGGAAGACTGGGAAGAACTGGCAGATTTCCAAGGCTGGCATAAAAAAAGCAATAAAGAGCACGATTATGCGAAATGCATCGTTTGTGATAAAGATATTTATATCACAAGTGGAAGAGATGCACTTATAAAACATGCAAATGGGCAATTTCATCAAAAGAAAGTGCAAACTATAGCAAAACAGAAAAAAATTGTGGTCATTTGCATTTGCAGGTGCATCAAAGAAATTAGAAAAGGACATTAAAGAAGGTAAAATTAATTAATTTGAGAAGATTCGAGGTTATATCAATTATTTTACTATTTCTAGGAGAAATTCGTTTGAGCGCATTTTTGACTGAGCATAATTTGCCATTTCTGCTGATGGACCATTTGTCAAAGCAAAATTAGTAGATAATATGACTGATAAAAGCATACAAAAATGAATCGGAAGACTGTTTATCCAATATAGCTTACACATTTTTTATTTTATACTATTTTTCTGCTTTTATTAGGAATATCTTATTTTTAGTTAGCTGAAGTGAGATATAAACTGTTTATTTTCGTTTGTCTTTCTGTTTTAGAATATATTTTGAGTTAAATGAAATTATTTTAAGTAAATGCCGTCATTTACTCTCCGGTACTCAATCTACCGAAAAATTTCACACAATTCTACCGAAATATATCGTCGACCCCACCTACTTGTAACACTGGGTGACGCTTTCACCGCTCAAAAAAAATGTCAACTTGCTGCCTAGTGTGCAGATAGTTCATTCCGCGTTTGCTCGCTATGAGCGCTTCATCAAAAGCGACCGTCTATGGAAGAATGACTCAATGATATGACACGCTCAATGACCACGCTGCAATCTGCAAGTCAGTTTTTCATCATGCTTTGTTGGTTGCAGGATGCCGAGATAGTCTGTAGAGCATTGATTCCCAAAGTGGTCTATATCGACCCCTAGGGGTCTACGTCAGCGAAAAAAAATTTGGGGGTCCATGAAATGAATATGGGGGTCCACGATAGTGGATCTCAACACATACACCGATAGTACCTATTTACTTACATCATACTATCTTATAATATCAAAACATATACATTATTTATAAAAGTACCTATGAAGTAAAAAATTTATTATATATGTTTATAAAATTGTGTAAGTTGTAGGATGTTGGTATTCGCTTTGTGGTCGCAATACATTTTGAACTTGTAAAAACCTAATAGTCCCAGTCTCAGAGTTTCGCTACCTTGCACTGACTTCAATTCGTCACTCTATAAATACGAATGTGGGACAAATACGTTTATTCGTTTCCTGAATCTTGAAAAGGAAATGATAAGAAAATATTTTAAAAAACATAAACAGATAGTATATCACACAAATTATAGTGAGTCAGTGTTATTTTGTTTGAGAGTGCTGGAGAAAAGTAAGTACATTATTTTTTATTAAATTTTAGTTTTGTACTCGTAGTTAGCAAAGATAGATAAATTACGCCAATCATGACTTTAGTTATTAGTAGTTAAATATTCAATCATGCAAAATTACACGAGTACTCCTCAATAGTTTCTTCTTGAAAGTTTTAGCAATCGGTAATACAATTACAGTGGAATCTCCGTAATTCGAGCTAATTGTTGCAAGAAGATGTTCGAATTATGGAATGTTTTCGGAAAAATCAAAAAATATTTTTAATATACAGCTGCTGGATTTTCTGTCTTATTTAAATAATTTAATTTTGCCCATAGATGACTGATGTCATGTCCGAATCTAAAAAGAAATGTAGACAGTACAGTGTTGATTATTTGAAATTTGGCTTCATTCCATCATTGCCGGACAAACAATCGCCTATGTGCCTTTTATGCAACAAAGTTTTGGGCAATGACGCTATGTAATTATCTAAACTGCAAGATCATCTGAGAAGATGCCACCCTGATAAAACAGAGAAAGATTTGAAATACTTTCAAACACTCAAAGATAAATTTCAGAAGAGACCTACACTGGACAGAATGTTCGCTTCGACGTCACAAAGAAATGATGATGGTTTGCGGGCGTCTTACAATATCTCGTTACTTATAGCAAAATCCGGAAAACCGCATACTATCGGAGAGAAGTTAATTTTGCCAGCCGTTGAAGAGGTTTTAAAAACTGTTTCACACAAACCTGCATCTGATATCGTTAAAAGAATTCCCTTAAGCAACAATACTGTTGAAAGACGTATTGATTAAATGAGTTCTGATATTGAAAGCGTCTTATGTAATTATTTGCAAACGACCCATTTCTCTATACAACTGGACGAGTCAACTTGCAGCATTATTATTGGCATATGTTCGTTTTATTATGAATCAAGAAATCTACGAAGAACTGCTCTTCGCAAGAACTTTGATAACCGACACTAAGGATTACTTCATTGAAAAAGCAATTCCTTTATCAAATATAATATCAGTAGCTACAGATGGAGCACCTGCCATGGTTGGACGTTATCGTGGATTTATAAGCTATTTAAAACAAAATGTGTCAGGGATGTTAGCAATACATTGCGACATCCATCGACAACATTTAGTTGCTAAAAATTTGAGTGTTAGATTGCATGAATCACTTCATTTAGTCATTGATGCAGTAAACCGAATCAGAAGCAACGCGTTGAATACGCGGTTATTTGCGCAGTTGTGTGAAGAACATGACAAACACTTTCATCAATTACTCCATCACACTGAAGTACGCTGGCTGTCGAAAGGCTTATGTTTGACTAGATTTTTTACACTTTTTGAGACTATTTTAGAATTTCTGGATACTAAAGATAAAATTTTAAAAGAAAATTTAATGAAGAGGAAAACAGACATCGCCTATTCAACAGATTTGTTTACAAAATTTAATATGGTTAATTTGCAATTACAAAGCGACAGTTTAAATTTGATTAAAACAAAGTCCATCTTATCAGCGTTTCTTGCCAGAGTTAAACTAATGAAGCAAAATATTGGACGTGGCGAATTTTCTCAGTTCCCCAATTTGTCACAGACAAGCGCCAGGAAGACGACGTTTCAACTTACGTTCAACATTTAAATGCCCTCTATTCAGATTTTGTATCTAGGTTTGAGGATATTTTTACTATGGTAATACCACTGTGGATAATTAATCCATATGGTGTCATAGAAGAAACGAATGTCATAATACAAGAGGAACTGACTGAACTAAGTACAAACGAAGAACTTAAGGTTCAGTTTAAAAACGGATATCAGCAATTCTGGCTGCAAAACAACATACCCGTTACTTATCCCGTATTATGGAATAGGTATAGCGAGGAAATTTTTAATTTCCTTTCCATCGTCATACCTAGTCGAAAGGGGGTTCAGCGCTGTTACTAATCTCCTAACGAAAAAAAGAAACAGACTGGACATCATTAGTCGAGGGGATTTAAGATTAACCCTTACAAAATTGACGCCAAATGTTGATAATTTATTATTAAATCATCAGGTTCATCCTTCTCACTAAAAATATTGACTTATTGCTTATGTTATTTTATTTATGGTTTATTATTAAATTCGTTAATTTTTTGCCTATTTTTAGATAACTTAAACGTATAAGAAGCGGAATTTAATCAAACTAACAGTGAAATTATTGTAGAACATACGTTTATGTTATAATTAATAAACGAACCCGGTTATTGTACTATTTTAAGTAAAAAACTTATTTTTTAATTATTTTTCACTTTTTTTTTTATTTTATCCCTCTTATTTTTTTTTCAATGCGGGCACTTATTCCCAATGCGGGCACTGATTGGTCAGACACCTGTTTATTTAATGTTACGTATATTTTACATAACAGATACAAAATTTTATTTTGAGTAGTATTAATTTAAATTCAATTAATAAATGTATAAATTATCATGTGTTTTTACAATAAGTTTTTAACACTAAACTTCAATACAGTTAGAAATTTACAGGAAATCAATATCAGGTAAGTAGGGGGTCTACCCTACACGGAAAAATATGGCAAGGGGTCTACGACACAAAAAAGTTTGGGGAACTCTGCTGTAGAGTATACTCGTACTCTGAGAAGATGTGTGGTTGAGTAGCAGAGCAGCAAGATCACATCTGGATGATAATGTGCATTGATCTGCATGTGTATGAAATCAGTGATATGAGAGAAAATCATTACTGAATATGCTGCCCATGAAACATATTTATTAGCTGTGCCAGACGGGTTATTTGCGTTGTCCTTTCTGAAGAGAGGCTCAAAGTTGTACATTACGATTTTCCACTTTTTATTGTGTTTTCAAAAACATTGAGAAGCATTCCGGGAAATCAGTACCGCACCCGTGTTGTGCGTAATTAAGTAACATCACAGAAACATAAGGGTTGTCGCATCACATCACATACAAAACATTTTCGCACTGCCTCATATCTAGACGCTGATTTGTATTTTCTACTCGACATCGTAAAATAAATTTCTATAAAATTCAAATGACTGGACATAAAAATGTGAAATGTAATAACTTTTTTACATTCCTGTATGTACCATATTTTCTCACTTGTTAGTTTTAATATATGTACTTCTCCAACCAGCGATTTTCTTTTCCTCTAGCTCTCTTTTTTAAAATTCAGGAAATTTGGATATGTAAATTCCAGGTTGAATAAGAGAAAGTGGATGCGCAACTAACTTTTAGCTTTGCATAAATCTCAAGTAAGTGTATTTGAGACAAGAAACTAATGGAATTATCAGTAACACAGATTTTATTAGCACACAGATGTTACATCACATCAGAGGCAAACATTGATAGCTGAAACATCATGACGTAAAGGCCGGTCCAGACACTACGTCTTATCAAACGATAAAACGTTCATACAAATTGTTCGACAAAAAGTACAAAAGATAGCGCGGCCACACGTTTACAACTAATCGGTCAAATTTTAGTTTTGCGACGTTTTCAGTCATGAAAGAAGCACTTCTTTGGTCGTTCTATGTATTTGCATTGCGATAAAAGGCAGAAATAAACGAAAAAATCGAAGATTAAGATGGTCGAGGGAATGGTTATTAAAAAGACAGGAATTTTCTCATGTCAGAATATTACGTGAACTTGAACCAGATGATTGGCGTAATTACCTGAGGATGGACACTGAAACATACAACCATTTGTTAAAATATGTTACTCCTTACATTGAAAGACAAAATACCTGTATGAGAAAAGCCATTTCAGCTCAGAGACTTAGTGCCACGTTAAGATTTCTTGCCACAGGAAGAAGCTACAAAGACTTGGAATTCACCACCATCATGTCCAAGCAATCACTGTGTGAAATTATACCGGAAACTTGTGACGTTATTTACAGGGTTTTAAAAAAAGACTTCCTAAAGGTGAGTTTTGGAAAATACTTTTATTAGAAATAAACTAAACATTAGTGAAGAAAAGTAAAAAATAAAAAAACGTCTTCCATAATACACTACCAATAATTAATTTAGTGATGACACGTTTTTGATTTCTTTAAACACCCTCATTAGGTTTAAAATTTAAAACATACTGAACAAGATCTTTGGGATTAGAATCTGTGTCCTTTTCTGAAACTGGGGTTCGATAGTCTGAAAGAGTAAAATTTGTGTTAGCGGGTTCCTCCGGTGTGGTTGAATTATGAATTAGTTGTAGCTGTTGGACATGCTGTTCTTGACCGATTTGCGGTACGTAATACCCTTGACGCCAGCCTTGACTTGAAATTTGTCTATTTGGTTCGGTATTGGTGACACAAGGTGGCGCATATTGGTTAAAGTGTGGCTTTCTGGTTTCTCGTGGAGACTGTTGAGGAGGGTGTTGGTCTTCAGTTATAATTTTGGAATATCTATTTAAGGATAATATGTCATCAGAGATAAGTTTCATTGCAAATTTAAGTTGATCAGGATGAACTGATCGAAGTCTATCAGCGACATGTTTTCCAAATCGGTCATGTGAATCTTCCTGCAATAAGTCCAATTTTTTATTAATTTTAGACATAACTTCGGCTGTTTCGTTGTTATTTGAGACCGCCTTCTTTTTGCGATTTACAGTGCGTGTAGGTAGCAGAGCACTGGTAGCGGTATCACTAGTCGGAGTAGATGGCCGACCTGTAGCTGGTGTAGCAGGAAAACTCTGATAATCCAAGTCAACCTGAAACAAAAAATATTACAATTTTATAATACAACAAAAATACAACCGTAAATAAAATGTATAAAAAAATTTAAACATGTTTAATTCAAAACAAAATTCCATTAACTCATTTAAGGTTCCATTTTTTAAATTTTATCGCTAAAATTATTAAACGATAAGAATATGTATTTACAAGTTACTATAAAGGTAAGAATAATGTAATCTCTTTTGTTTTAGTTTCCAAAAAGCGAACAGGAGTGGTTACAAATAGCAGCCGACTGAAAAAAAATGGCAATTTCCGCATTGTTTGGGTAGTATTGATGGCAAGCATATCAGAATTGTTCCTCCCAAGGGAAGCGGATCATATTACTTTAACTACAAAAAGACGCATATCATAGTTCTTATGGCAATTGCTAATGCGAACTGTGAGTTTATCTACTGCGATGTTGGCACAAATGGTAGAATCTCTGATGGTGGAGTAATTGCTAATACCACATTTTATGAAAAACTAGGCAATAATGATCTAAAACTTCCTAATCCGGAATCTATGCACAATTCTAACGAAATTCTTGGATATACGTTTATTGCAGATGAGGCCTTTGCAATGCGTTCCGATCTTATCAAGCCATATAGTAGGGAAACACTCAATAGAGAACGAAGAATTTTTAACTACCGGTTATCCAGAGCCCGACGGACTATTGAAAATACTTTTGGCATTTTATCGTCCCGATTTCGAGTTTTCCACACTGCTATAAATTTGAAGATAGAGAACATTGACAAGGTTGTTCTAACATGTTGTGCATTAAATAATTTCCTTCGCAGGAAGTCTCCAGAAAATTACACACCCCCAGAAAGTATGGATAGAGAAAATATTCCTGCAGATTATTCTCTTGCGTTAGCAGACAGGTGTGACCCTAATTTAATGCATGACCTTCAAAGAGGAAGAAGAGGCCAAATTTTTAATGATGCCAAAATAGTTAGAGAAAAGTTCTGTGAATATTTTAACAATGAGGGCTCAGTCCCATGGCAAGATAATTTAGTTTTTCAATAGGTCATAGTTTGTATAACATGTTATAAAAAGAGAATTCTATAATTCTGGGCAATAAAATGCTTTCAATACCTATATAATGTAGCTTTATTATTAATAAATAGACATTACTTACCTCTTTTTCACTTTCCTCTTGATGTGCCTCATCATGGATAGTGTTTGTCGACTGTTTTATTTGATCTTGGTCACTCAGAAAGTCAAGCAAATCAAAATACCATAACGTCGGGTTGTAGATATCATCTTCACCAGCACCACTTTTTGTGGAATTCATTATTTTGGCACGCTATTTTTTGTAAACGGTGCGTAAAGAGTTAATTTTCTTGGTAACTGTCTCTTTGTTTGCCGCTTCATCAATCTCCTTGTATTTTTTAATCATTATTTCATATGCCTGTGACTTCTTATTCCGATCACTATACTCGGCACTTTTAACTTGCCACAAACAAGGAAAACTACGATAGAGTTCAATAAATTCTCTTAAAAATTGTCGGGAACACTGACGAAGATCAGACATATTGCTTGTAAAGTTTAAAATGCAAAATATATTTAAATACGCATACACAAAGTAACACAGTGTCATACGTATACAGGGTTATCCAAATTAAGTGTCCACCATTAGTAACTTTGTTATTAGTGAAAATACAAAGTTGTTTGAATTAGCAAACTAGTAGCATTTTTAACGCTGGTAAAAATGAGAAATAAAAAAAAACAATTGAGAGTCGTTATTTTGATTTTTTTCAGTAAAATAACATTTTTTTAAATGGAAACCCCTGTATATTATATTTTTTTCTGTTAAAGCATCAAATTTTAAACAAAAAAGTTCATAATGACTTTTCCGCTAAAGTCAAAAATAAAGTCAAAATAACGATAAATATTTTTAATTATTTGCAGTATTATAATATTAAGACGGCTATGAAAACAACATGGCGTTCGCGATTTGACAGCATTAAGATAAGCGACAAATTGTTAAACTGGACATACTCGCAACTAGAAGGCTTTGGAAAACAATGATAAAATCAAATAATGTCAAACATTAGTGTAAATACTTGTTTATAAGCTTTATTGTGTCATTAATTTAAAGAAAAATGTTCTCCCATGAAGAAAAGTGTGATATGTTAGAATGCTATTTAGTGTGCAGAAAATCCTCCTTGAGAGCAAGAGTGAATTATATCCCGCTCGCATTTAACCGTATGAACGATATTTTCTGAGACTTTATCGAAAATTTAGGGGCAACGAAAATGTTTTTGCTAAAACAAGGGCAAAAAAAGAATTCATAATAAGCGAGGCCACGGAAATTGCAGTTATTGGATATTTTGAAGCTTATCGTGAGAATTCAATAGCAGATATTCTCAAGGACTCTAATTTCAGTTATGGTACTGTTCAAAGGATTTTAAAAAAATACAAATTTATTCCGTATAAGTACCGACCAGTTCAAACGCTTTTGGCAGGGGATCCAGAGAGAAGACTTGTTTTTTGCCATTGGTATCTTAGCTTCTGTCGCCAAAATGTAAATAACTTTCGTTACCTTTTATGGACAGATGAATCAAATTTTTCAAATTCTGGAATGTTTAATAGAAAAAACCACCATTATTGGTCAAGAGAAAATCTTTTGTTAGTACATCCAAGAGGCCCACAAGTCCGTTTCAGTTTCAACGTTTGGTGCGGTATAATTGGTTCAAAAATTGTTGACCCGTTCTTTTATGAGGGAACCCTAACTGGTGAAAGATATGTGGAATTTATGTCAGAAATTCTGACTAATTTCTTAGACGAATTGGATCTTATAAGTAGACATCATCTGCATTTTCAGCAAGATGGCACACCTGCCCACAACTCCAGAGGTACTTATCATTTTCTAAGTACTACTTTTAATGATCAGTGGATAGGAACAAATGGCCCAATACAGTGGCCTCCCAGATCACCAGATCTAAACCCACTTGATTACTTCTTGTGGGGTTACTTAAAGAACCAAATTTACAAGCGAAGGTACGATAACCATGACGCGTTAAAGACTGCAGTTAGGGAAAAGATAACCCAGATAGATGGTAGGACCATACTTAAGACAGTTCGAGCAGTTGAAAAACGTGCCCAAAAATGTATTGAAGAACAAGGTGGTGTTTTCGAGCATCATCTTTAAAAAAAATTGTTATTGTATTTTGTAAGATTATAAGTTGATGTTGAAAATAAAGTTTGTCGATACAATTTAATTGTTTCAGATTGGAGGCCATAACTTCAACAATTTGTAACCTAGGAGAAAAGTTATTGTAAGCTTTTTTGTTTAAAATTTGATGCTTTAACAGAAAAAAATATAATATACAGTGGTTTCCATTTAAAAAAATGTTATTTTACTGAAAAAAATCAAAATAACGACTCTCAATTGTTTTTTTTTATTTCTCATTTTTACCAGCGTTAAAAATGCTACTAGTTTGCTAATTCAAACAACTTTGTATTTTCACTAATAACAAAGTTACTAATGGTGGACACTTAATTTGGATAACCCTGTATACTATGAAAATATACTAAAACAATTTCCAATAAAACCGAAGTCGGTCCACACGCTCCAACTTGTCGAATCAAGTTTCATAAATGATGCCTCGCACTTCAAATTTTCGACTTATCGTACAACCTTATTTCGATCATGCAAGACGTACGTTTTGTGGTCTACACGCGCCGTTTTACTTGATAAGACTTGTCTGATTCGATAAATAGTTTGATAAGACGTAGTGTCTGGACCGGCCTTTAAGGCAACACGTACAGCTACGGAACGAGTACACAAGTGTACAACAGTTAGTGCTAAGTTGACATATTGTATAAAAACCTGCATAATGTTAAAAAAACCTGTATAATGTAAAAAAACCGGCATTTTGTCACTTTTCAAGATACGTAATTCCCCTGCGGATTCACACATTTCTGAATAATAAAACGTCTTTTTTCTGATACCAAATATGCAACATTTACACCCCATTTAAATCCGCAAATGATCCGAACGCGGTATCTATAATTTTCAAGTTATGGCAGGGCCAAGGATTATAGGATTAATGGGCAGACAAACAGACCGACGGAAATGAGTGTTGGTTTTTCGTGATGTACCTACATGTCATATAACATTAAAAAATATAATATCTCATTTTTGATTTTTTCGCGAACGTGATACGCCAGTGGCATGTGAGGTACAAGAAGAAGATTCTGTAGACATCATCCGATCACTACTGACTGTTGCGAGCAGGTAATTCAGCAATCGCCGCTATTAGTAGACATTTGAGATCTGCGTATGTGTGTGTATGACACTCAAGAAGATGAAGATTTTCAGACCTCACACGGACGCCACTGTTCTGTTGCGAGGAGCTAATCTGGCAATCATCGATATTAGTAGGCAATACATTTGAGTTGTGTATGTGAGTGTGTGTATGACCAGTCGGCGTCCGCAAAGACTAAAGAGCCGAAGAAGAAGAAGAAAAGTGCTTTGACGATGCTGCGGTGAGCGGCATTTGTTAATTACAAGGCACGCTGCGATCGTACCGACGATGCCACAACCTGCAGACGAAGATATGATGAATTAGCCGACTGCTTGCGGCACTACATCTTCAGCTCTCGAAGACCATTCGACTTGTAGATGGGATGCCGCATTTCAACGGGTTTTGTGTTTCTCACTTGGTCTCATTACACTGATCAACAGCCAAAAAATATCCTAAATAAAATCAACAGAATATTACTATTTTTAATGTGCTAAAACCGGAATGAAACTTATTTTTTCAATATTAGTTCAAGTTTTAGAGATACGGTAATTATATGTGTTCCTGCTGTGACAGTGTTAATATACTGTAATTCACAAGAATGCACGTGCTACATTTTTATATTCGGCAAGGAAAGACGATGTAATCGGCATGATTGTGTTACGTTATACATACGTGTACATTATATTGTTTTATATTAGCTATTTTTTCCTCAGTTGGCTGACAGCGTTCATGCAAAATGTCTCGAAAGTGTGTAAACAATCCAGATCAGTTTTGTTACGTGTGTGGTGATGTGACTTTTGCGTCTCAGAGACGGTCTATTACTCCACTAATAACAAAGGCATATCAGCTTTATTTCGGTTGTAAACTAGGTGATCAAGACAAACAGTGGGCACCCCACATCTGCTGTAATACATGTGCTTCAAATCTGAGGAGCTGGTTAAATGGCAAAAAACGGTCTATGCGCTTTGCTGTCCCAATGGTTTGGAGAGAGCCTACAAATCATATTAATGATTGTTACTTTTGCATGGTACCTTGTGTTGGACAAGCCACAGGTATGTCCAAGAAAAAAAATCGGTTATTACCTACCCAAACATACCATCTGCGATGAGACCTGTGCCTCACAGTGACGAAAATCCTATTCCAAAACCCCCAGAATCCTACACTTGCGAATCAGAAAACGAATCAGATCATGGCGATCGAGTGATTCGTCAGGAAGAAGATATGCCATCAACGTCAAGAGATCCTGATTTTATACCGAGCACGTCATGCCACCAACCGCACAAAATAACACAGTCAGAATTAAATGATCTTGTAAGAGATTTAGAACTTCCAAAATGTAAGGCAGAGTTACTTGGATCAAGACTGCAGCAGTGGAACTTGTTAGAAGACGATGTTTCGGTATGTGTTTTTCGTAAACGCCACAAAGACTTAGAACCATTTTTCAATATGAGAATAACTTGGTTTTCTGCAGTAACATTAACGGCTTACTGGCGGCTTTAAATATAAACTATAACCCAGAAGAATGGAGATTGTTTATAGACAGTTCAACATTGAGTTTAAAGGCAGTGTTATTGCATATTGGAAATATTTTACCATCTCTTCCTGTAGGGTATGCAGTTCACATGAAAGAATCATATGACAATATGAAGTACCTATTGACATGCATAAAATACGATGAGCAGCAATGGCATATTTGTGGCGATTTGAAAGTTGTTGCACTTTTACTTGGGCTGCAGCTAGGCTACACAAAGTTTTGCTGTTTTTTGTGTCAATGGGACAGTCGGGCAAAGGCACTTCATTACACCAGACAAAACTGGCCTG